GGTTCAGATAATCGTCACCGGTGTTTGGCAGTGAGCGGGAATCGAACTCGAGTCGCCGGGTTCGTAGCGCAGCGTGCTAATCGCCACGCGACCGCTTCACACAAAAAAGAAAAGATACACGCGCGCACGTACACACGCGCGCACGTACACACACACACGTGTCTGCGCGCGGTGAACGCGTACAGAACGGTCTGGTTCCCCTGCACACGTGGGTGACCTTGAACACAGACACGGTCTGTTTCAAGTTCATAAGTGCCGTGTGTGTGTGTGGCATCAAGCTCCACGACCCGAGTTCCATTCGTGCTCAGGCCCAACATCGGTAACGATTATATTATTTGAACCGGCCCTAGGGCCTGCCCTAGGTCGACTCAGCCTAAAATGAGTACCTGTTGCGGTGTATAAACATCGCCATAAGGGAGACACTAACGGCCGGGTGTGGTTGCTGGTCACCTACTTTCTGGTGTGCCGTTCCGGCCTGATTCATAGGTGCTCGCTAATAGCACTCGCCCGATCAGTATGTTACAGGCTGAATAATGCGATTGTGTTTTTCGTATTTAATTCGCCATTTCATTCTCAAGGAAGGCGTTCATTTCTGGATGCTATTTTAACAAAACCATAACACGCCGAGGTCTCCGTTGGCGGCGGTTTTGCGCCATCAGGAATGAACAGATGCATTTAAAAACGGGAAATCCCATCAAGAGGGAACTTTGATCCGAAACGTCAAACAACTTGACATAAATGTTGCGTTTTAAGGAAGTGTTCGCAACGAGTGTGGTGAAAATGCAAGAATATAATGGGCTGCGGTGACATTGCTAGAACATTTTTTTAAATATATATAATACCACCCGTATCACAAACACCACTTTTATGTTGATTTAGAAAAAAAAAGAAATGCGTGCCTGTAATCGGATACCATTTCAGGGACGATGGCTCACTTTCAAAGTGTCGTATCTGCGTTTGCCTTTTGTCAAACGACACAATGGTCGAGTGGGGACTGACTGGGTTTAGGTTACGGAGGTAGATTGGTGACCCGTGTAAGCGGGGGGCGGGCGAGGGTGGCGGTGGTGGTGGCGGAGGATGGGGGGGGGCGAGCGATCCAATGAGTCGCTCCCCATCATCAAGCGGCAGCGAGACGACAGCGCGAGACGCGGCGTGGACGCACGTGCGGCAGGGGGTTGCGCGCGCGCGCGAGAGGGGTTCGTGACTCAGCGCGCACGGGGGCGGAGATGACGAAGCGTGCGGGTGATGAGGCGTACGCGTGGGTGGATGTGCGTGTGTCTGTGCGTGTGTGTTTGTGTCTGTGTGGGTCTGTGTGTGTGTGGGTCTGTGTGTGTGTCTGTGGGTCTATATGTGTGTCTGTGTGTCTGCGCGTGTGTCTGTGCGTGTGTTTGTGTGTGTGTTTGTGTGTGTGTGTCTGTGTGTGGGTCTGTGTGTCTGTGGGTCTGTGTGTGTGTCTGTGTGTGTGTCTGTGTGTGTCTGTGTGTGTGTCTGTGGGTCTATATGTGTGTCTGTGTGTCTGTGCGTGTGTCTGTGCGTGTGTTTGTGTGTGTGTTTGTGTGTGTGTGTCTGTGTGTGGGTCTGTGTGTCTGTGGGTCTGTGTGTGTGTCTGTGTGTAGGTCTGTGTGTGGGTCTGTGTGTATGGGTCTGTGTGTGTGGGTCTGTGTGTGTGGGTCTGTGTGTGTGGGTCTGTGTGTGTGGGTCTGTGTGTGTGAGTCTGTGTGTGTCTGTGTGTGTGGGTCTGTGTGTGTGGGTCTGTGTGTGGGTATGTGTGTGGGTCTGTGTGTGTGGGGGTCTTTGTGTGTCTGTGTGTGTGGGGGTCTTTGTGTGTGTCTGTGTGTGTGGGGGTGTTTGTGTGTGTCTGTGTGTGTGTGGGTCTGTGTGTGTGTGGGTCTGTGTGTGTGTGTGGGTCTGTGTGTGGGTCTGTGTGTGTGGGGGTCTTTGTGTGTCTGTGTGTGTGGGGGTCTTTGTGTGTGTCTGTGTGTGTGTGGGTCTGTGTGTGTGTGGGTCTGTGTGTGTGTGTGGGTCTGTGTGTGGGTCTGTGTGTGTGGGGGTCTTTGTGTGTCTGTGTGTGTGTGGGTCTTTGTGTGTGTCTGTGTGTGTGGGGGTCTTTGTGTGTGTCTGTGTGTGTGTGGGTCTGTGTGTGTGTGGGGAGCGATAGCGCGTTGCGCTAAGAACCCGGCGACACGGGTTCGATTCCCGCTCACGGCCAACACCAGTGACTATTATCTGAACTAGTCCTGGGCATCCCCTAGGTTGACTCAGCCTTAAATGATTCGATGTGTAAACATCGCCACTAGGGATACAAAGGCGGCCGGGCATGGTGCTGGCCACCCACCCCCTCGTGTGCCGTGTTGGCCTTCAATAGGTGCTCGCTAACAGCACTTAACCATCTATTAAGGCTATGGGGGGGGGGGTCTTTGTCTTTGTAGGTGTGCCTACTTGACATGTGTTTGTCAGGCGACACATTGTGTGGGTGATTGGCTGTGTGCGTGTCTCCGTGTAGGGTGTGCTAATGACTAGCTGTGTTGGTACTTGTGTGTGCGTGTGAGATTGTGTAAAATTGATGAGTTTAACACGTAGGCTTTCGTGACCAATATTATCCATAATACAGGTTTTTTTTGGGGTGGTTAGAACGCGATCTAACCCCAGCAACAACAAAACCCTGTATTATGGATAATATTGATCAGTTGTGTGTACATGTGACTAAGTGTGTCGGCTGGCTTGCGATGGTGCTGCTCGCTAACAGCACTTGCCCCAACAGTCTGTTAAGGCTACACGGGGGGGGGGGGGGGTCTTTGTCTGCGCGTGTGTAGGCGCGTGCGTGTGTGTGTGTAGGCGCGTTTCCGTGTAGGTGGGCGTGTAGGTACGTGGGTAGGTGTGTATGTATGATTGATCTGTGAGTGTGATTAGGTGTAAATGTATGATTGATCGTGTGTGATGAGGTGCACGTGGGTGTGCGTGTGCACGTGTAAGTGTGTGCCAATTACTTGGTGAGAGTAGATGTGTGTGTGTGTGTGTAGGATACGCGTGTGTGTAGAATTGTGGTTGTGTCTGTAGGTGGCAATGTGTGCGTAGACGCCCGCTCACGGACAACACCAGTGGCGATCATCTGAACCGGTTCTGGGCCTCCCCTAGGTCGACTCAGCCTCAAATGAGTACCTGGTGCGGTGTATAAAAACATCGCCACGGGGGAGACAAAGGCGGACTGGCGTGGTGCTGGCCACTCACCCCCTCGTGCACCGTAACGGCCTTCATAGGTGCTTGCTAACAGCACTTGCCCCTACAGACTGGTAGCAGGCTACAGAGGGGGATATGGGGAATCATTGTCATTGGGGGCGTGGGTGTCAGCGTGTAGGCGTGTCGATGAATAGGTGTGTCCCGCTGTCTATACAGGTGTCTATAGGTGTAGGTGTGTGTGTAGGTGTCTGTGTAGGTGTGGGTTTAGGTGTTCGTAGGTGTGTGTAGGTGTCTGTAGGTGTGTGTATATGTTCGTATGTGTTCGTAGGCGTGTAGGTGTGTGTAGGGGTGTGTGTGTGTATGTGTAGGTGTCTATAGGTGTGTATGTAGGTGTGTGTAGATGTGTGTGTAGATGTGTGTGTGTAGGTGTGTGTGTGTAGGTGTCTGTAGGTCTGTGTAGGTGTGTGTGTCTGTAGGTGTGTGTAGGTGTGTGTGTCTGTAGTGGTGTATGTGTAGGTGTGTGTGTAGGTGTGTGTGTAGGTGTCTGTAGGTGTGTGTAGTAGTGTGTGTAGGTGTCTGTAGGTGTGTGTAGGTGTGTGTAGGTGTATGTAGGTGTGTGTGTAGGTGTGTGTGTAGGTGTCTGTAGGTGTGTGTGTAGGTGTGTGTGTAGGTGTCTGTAGGTGTGTGTGTAGGTGTGTGTATAGGTGTCTGTAGGTGTGTGTAGGTGTCTGTAGGTGTGGGGAACGGTAGCGTAGCGGTAACCGTGCTTCGATTCCCTCTCACGGCCAACACCAGCGACGATCGTCTGCACCGTTCCTGGTCCTCTCCCCTAGGTCGACTCCGCCTACAATGAGTACTTGATGCGGTGTTTAAACATCGCCACTGGGGAGACAAAGGCGGTCGGGCGTGCGCCCTTTCCAGACCTTCATAGGTGCTCGCTAACAGCACTTTAAGGCTACAACAGTGAGAGGTTGGTTCATTGTTATTGTTGTTATTGTGTTATTGTTGTGTGTGTGTGTTATTGTTATTCCTATGTTTTTTCTGTAAAGTCACGTAGGTAAAAAAATTAAATTGAAATGAATAAAAGTAAAATAAAATAAAAATCACGACGTTCTGGAGGCAACACAAGCTTCCGTTTTCCGCTGCTGTGTTATTGTTGTTGTGTGTTATTGTTGTTGTTGTGTGTTATTGTTGTTGTGTGTGTTATTGTGTTGTTGTGTGTGTGTGTTATTGTTCTTGTGTGTGTGTTATTGTTGTGTGTGTGTTATTGTTGTGTGTGTTATTGTTGTTGTGTATGTGTGTTATTGTTGTTGTGTGTGTTATTGTTGTTGTGTGTGTTATTGTGTGTGTGTTATTGTTGTGTGTTATTGTGTGTGTGTTATTGTTGTTGTGTGTGTTATTGTTGTGTGTGTGTTATTATTGTTGTGTGTGTGTTATTGTTGTTATTGTGTTATTGTTATTGTGTGTGTTACTATTATTGTTGTGTGTGTTATTGTTGTGTGTGTTATTGCTGTGTGTTATTATTATTATTGTTGTGTGTGTGTTATTGTTGTTGTTGTGTGTTATTGTTGGTGTATGTGTTATTGTTATTGTGTGTGTTATTGTTATTGTGTGTGTGTTGTGTGTGTGTTATTGTTGTGTGTGTTATTGTTGTATGTCTTATTGTTATTGTTGTGTGTTATGGTGTGTGTGTTGTGTGTGTTATTGTTGTGTCTGTGTTATTATTGCTGTGTGTTATTATTGTTGTGTGTGTGTGTTATTATTGTTGTGTGTGTTGTGTGTGTTGTGTGTGTGTTATTATTGTTGTGTGTGCGCGCACTCACTAGCGGCTGAAGAACTGCAGGCAGAGCTCCAGTGTCTCCCCCTCCACCTCCGACTGGACGAGGCTGGACGAGGGCGGACGCAGCGGAGGAGGCGCCGCGTCTTCGCCGGCCGACTCGGGGGCGACGCGCAGCTCGGCCAGCATGGCCGAGAGCAGCTTCCTCGTGCCCTGCTCGTCCGCCATGGTTTAGCGCACGAGCCAGTGACAAAACACCCCCCCCAAAAAAAACAACAACAACAACCGATGAGGATGATGCACCCCCCGACCGCACGGGCACGCGCACTGCAGCCGCCCGCCTCTAACTTAGAGCGCGCGTGGTGTGTGGTCTGGGGGGGTGGTGGTGACGGTGGTGACGGTGGTGTCTCGGTTGTGGTGCTGCTGCTGCTGCTGGTGGTGGTGGTGGCGTTGGTGTTGGGTCCGCCGACTGCCGTCGCTGAGCTCCGCTCCGGCTATTTAAAGCTTTGCCTCCTCCGCAAGTTTCACCCACAAAGCAGCAGCGGCGGCGTCTGTTGTCGGCAGCAGCAGCAGCATCATCATCAGCAGCGGCAGCAGCAGCAGCAGCGCAACCCACTCGCTCATCATCCCGGGTGCGCGGCGCGCTCGACATGCGTCGTCGTCGTAGCGGCGGTGGCGGTGGATGAAGGCGGCGCTCTCGCTGAGCCGACGCTGTCAGTCGACAGCGATGTGCGCTGCGCACGTTGAGGCTTTGCCATTGTGCGCCGTCTCACGCCTGCCCCTCTGTGTGTGTGTCTGTCTCTGTGTGTCTGTGTGTGTGTCGTCTGTGTGTCTCTGTGTCTGTGTGTGTCTTTGTGTCTGTCTCTGTGTCTGTGTCTCTCTGTGTGTCTATTTCTGTGTGTGTCTGTGTCGTCTGTCTCTGTGTGTCTCTCTGTGTTTGTCTTTGTGTGTGTCTGTGTCTGTCTGGGTGTGTCTGTCTCTATGTGTGTCTCTGTGTGTGTGTCTGTGTCTCTGTCTGTCTCTGTGTGCGTCTGTCTCTGTATCTGTGTGGAGACAAGCGGACAAGGGAGCGGTGGTGCAGCGGTTAGCGCGACGCTGCGCTCCGAACCTGCTGTCCCGAGTTCGATTGCCACTCACGGCCAACACCCAGTGACGATTATCTAAACCCGGTCTGGGCCTCCCCTAGGTCGATTCGGCCTCAAATGAGCAGCTTGTGCGGTGTGAAAAAAAAAACATTGCCATTGGAGGGACAAAGGCGGTCAGGCGTGGTGCTGGTCATCCGTCCCCTCGTGCGCTGTGCCGGCCTTCATAGGTGCTCGCTAACAGCACTTGCCCCAACAGTCTGTGCAGGCTATACGTGGGGTCTTTGTCTTTGGAGACAGGCGGACAAGGGAGGCAGCCCCTCCCGGCTAATGCGAGTCAATATCATCAGCGGTCACCTGTTGTGCGCGCGCGCGCGCACACAATGCGGGGAGCGGTGGCTCAGTGGTTAGCGGCACTGCCCTACGAACCTGGTGAACCCGAGTTCGATTTCCCGCTCACGTCCAAATACCAGTGGCGCTTTAAATGAGTGCCTGTTGTGTAAACATCGGCGTTGGGGAGACAAAGGCGTTCGGGCGTTGTTCTGACCACACCACTCCCGCGTTTGCCGTGCCCGGCCTTTATAAGTGCTCATTCAGAGCACTTGACCCAAATGCATTTTGAAGGTTATACGGGTGGTTGGGGGGGGGGAAGGGGTGGTTATCTTTGTGCATACTTACTGCAACTGATGCGTTCGTATCCTGGCTGAGTGACCCGGGGGCTGTCAGCCACCCCTCTCCTCTCTCTCTCACTGCCCGCATGATTTACCCAGGAGTCGGCCACCCTCTCGTTTGGCTATCGGAGGGCACGTAGATTTGCTCCAATGCGAATTTAATATTGTATGTATTTAAAAATATATATGTATACACACGTGTAGATGGGGAAATCGGTGTTGCAGAGGTTGTGAGAGCCGAACGTAATTTAAAAAGATTTTTTTTGTTCACTCAATTGCATCGAAAAAAATTCATCCTTTGTTAGTCTACTTCAGCAAAGGGCATGAATACACCCACGTCGCGCCGGTAATTAGGTGATTGGTTGACCATACTTCCCCACTCTGGTCCGTACGGATGATGCCGCTGCTAGATGATAGCCGTGACCAAAAATAAAACTCGGCTGGCCAGGAGCGGCGTGCATGTGCGATGCCGTTAACCGCTGCGCCACCATTCGTTGTAAAATGGTGAGTGCGGGACGGATGCATCTTTAAGGGGGTGGGTGGGTTGGTGACGAGCTTCTTTAATAATCATAGGGGGGTGACCACATAATGAGTGTGCCCGGGGGATGTGGTGGTGTTTCACTCCTCGGGCGATTTCCCACCCCCCGCCCCGCTCATCCTCCTCCTGTCCTGTTGGGCGAGCCAGAGGAAAATTCCACTTCAAGTGTTTTTATGCAACCGGTCACAGATTCTGACTGGGTTCCACTGAGATTAAAGAGAGAGAGAGAGCACTTTACATTCAGTGGGGCAGTGACCTCCACCAACACCACCACTGCCAGCAGCAACACAAAGTGATTAAACACACATGTATCGCTCTCTCACTCACACTCACCACGGGACAACGAAATAAAAGTAAACAACATTTTAGTTCCATCAGACGCCGACGCCGTAAATGGATATCGCCCTGGACAAAGCAATAATCCAGAGGTCGTCAGGGTCGATCGTCAACATCGGTTTAAGTTTCTGAAATCCACCCTCCCGTCAACACCTCCACCGCTCCCTTACGAGACTCGCCCGATCCAGCAGAACAAACGGAAACACCGCGCTCGATCGGCACATCTCGTGGAATGGAGTAAAGTGTGGGCACCTCCATGGCATCTCTAATCGTGGGGGACCCCGTTTGTCAGCAGCGGCGTGAGCAAGCGATTAACTTCGTGAACTTTGAGTCCATCACACCATAGAGCCTTTGCAGCGGCTCCAATATTTTGCGTTTATTCCGCAGCGCGTTGGGGCTTGAACGAACGCCGGCTACCGGGCTTGCCCCGATGCTCGACACGCACGCCACGTGGGCCCCTCAACGCGTCCAAGGGCCCATTGAGCGCAGTCGATCAACATTGTGCAACATACATCGTCGTGGAACAATAACATCCGTCACTTCATACCGACCAGTCACTTCAAAGTACCCCCCCCCCCCCCCGCCGCTCCATGCTCTAGGAAATGTTCAGCGACCGAGGCAGTGGTGGAAATTCCACGATCCAATGGCAGGGGGCGGTCTCAATACGCAGTCCCCGGTGGAAGACGTCCCACGTCCATCCGTGAAGCGTCGTCTCCACCGCGCAGCGAGCAACCCTCTGAACCACGGCGCTACGCAGCGTTCACGGCGTGCTCACGGCAGCGAAGGGCAACCCGTGACGGCTGCGCTTTTGACGGCGAGAGAAGAAGGATGAGACGCCCCAATGTATAACGCCCCGGCGAACCTCGAGCAATATAAAGAAATGTACAACAACAAAAACACACGATCGTAGGTCGCGGTCGATGCTCGTAAATAAATGAAACGCATTGAAAGGCAAACACGTGGAGTCAGGACCTCCGCGGCAGACGGCGGTAATGGGAAGGAGCCGGCAGCATTGTTACAAGCAGGGACGAGGAGGATGACGACTTCTGCCGGTGCCGAGGGCACGGGGCCCAAATGTGCCTCTCCCCTGCAGGTTGGAGGACTTCTGCCTTCAATGTCCAAGCAAGACGTCGCGACTTTGCCCACGGTGGCCTTCATCATTCTCGATTTGAAAACAGTCTGCATCAGCAGCAGGCCATGCTTTCCCACCTGATGACGGACGCTTGTGTTGCGCCCGAAACGTTGTGATTTAATTTAGTTGTTTTCATTTATTAAATTTGTTATCTACGTGACTTCACCGAAAAAACCAGAGTATGAGGCCTTATTCATGTTACGTTTACGACCCTTTTCCCCCAAAACCGCTGCTGGATGGGGTGGGGGGGGGGTGCGGATTATTTTGACTCGGCTGGTCAGTGCCGATTGGTGAAATTCGTGGGCATAGACGTGGGAGCGTAGAAGTATCGTACAAGTGGATATCGATGCCCTCTGCTGCTCGCCACGTGGGTAACGCGAGCCCTGTGAAACCGTGTTGGGTGCAGGGTGGTTCGTCCACATCCACGCGCGATTATCCAAGGCACCCGAAATCCTGCCGAGCTTCAGATCTATCGAGTTCAGGCCGAATTGGTCTATCGCCGGTCTGATATTACGACCACTAAAATCACCACCATCACTGTAGACTTTCTACAAGACCCAGAGCCCCATCAGGCGTGGAGCGTGCAACATGGTGGGGGAAGAGTTGTGTGGTGCAGCTTTAAAGGCCCCATTCCAATCGAAGGAGCAGCACACTCCAGACGGCGGTGGAGGAAAGGGCGAGACACAAGAGACGAAGCAGTGGCGTCCTTTTCGAGTGTGCAGGCGGTGCAACTGCCCCCAGGCCCACGGGCCGGATGGGCCTTGACGTTGGGATAAAGAAAGATAACGGGGGGAGGGTAGGAAATTGGACAGGGGGGGGGGGGGGGGATTTAATTACTTGAAAGCCAGGGCCCATGACAGCCACGCACGCTACGCCAGTGGAAGCAAGTGTGTTGGGTCTGTGTAACCCTCTCTTTGGATCAGTGGTCGGGAACCTATGGCTCGCGAGCCATATATGGCTCTTTCCGTGACGGCATATGGCTTCCCAGACAATTGAGTTGAAAAAAATAAAATAAAAATATCAGTTTGGAACTGATTTTAAAATACTTGTGATATTGCTTAATAATACTGTGTCATTTTAAAGTAAACAGAAATTAGTTTTGAAGATAAATTTCACGGGTCACGGGGCCTCAACGCCTGCATGAAGCTCAACCTCACCACGTACGAACCAGACTACAAGGCCATCAGCAATACCATGCAGCACCAGAAGTCGCATTAAAAGACATTTAATTTATTATACGTTAAAAATACTATATGGCTCTCAATGCAATATATTTAGAAATATTCGGCTTTTATGGCTCTCCCAGTCAAAAAGGTTCCCGACCGCTGCTTTGGATGATAGAAATGTCAGGCTGACGACGACTTATACGATCTCCTTGCTGCAGATGAAACGCGTCTTTTTTAAATAAAATGCTGTGCCACAACTTGTGATCACGAAGTGTTCAGATTCCCGGACAAGAAATGTTTGTTTGTGTTTTTGATCGATGGAGTTGACGGCTCAAAGTGACCAACATTTCGTTGTGTGTGACATTTAGAAGACGTATCGTGTAGCAACGTGGCTGGTTGGTTAATGCATCGGTGTGTAGCGATAACGCGTGGGTTTTCGACACGGCTGGCAGGTGACAAAGGTTGATTGTTGGACTCATGGCGAGGACTGCCTAACACGTAACCCTCCCCCCCTTCCATCCGCCCCCCGTGGCCACACGCGTAAACAGCCCAAATCAGTAACCAGGAGTGGGCGAACAGCAATTTGGTCCCGGAGAATGAGACACGCCACCCCTGTCGGAACATGAGAAAAAAAAGCTCATCGGATTCCTCGCGTGTAAGTAAATATTCCGATCCTGTGTTTGTTTACGCAGCGACATCAATATACATAGCCCTCTGGATAGATTGATGGTCATGAGAGAACGTGGCAAGAACTACGAATGTCGATCATGAAGCAGTGGTGGTGATGAATTGGGGCACGTGTGAAGGATGAAGATGGGGGGGGGGGGGGGGCAACAGAGACAGATATTGGAGTGGCACCCAGAGGTCTCTGACCATTGGGAAGGACATAAAGCCAGATGTTTGAGATACTTTAGGAGGCCTAAGAGAGGGTGCGTATTGACTGAACAGCTGCAGGGTCTGGCAGATGAAGCGCAGGGCCGGATGAAGGTTCTTGTAGGCCCTGGGCACTTGTTTCGTGGGCCTTCAGTGACAACTCTCTACAGGTGGTACTACTGCTGCTGCTGCTGCCCCGTGTAACTACGACCGCCGCCGTCACTCGCTCGATTGTGCGAAAAACAACACCATTTGCTAATCTTGCAATGAAAAAATCTAGAAAAGTGAATATCTGGTGGTTTTCTCTCACCTTGTGAAAAAACGTTGACATTGACACGAATCTTTGTATCTTACACTGTGCCTAACCTTTGCTATATAAATGCAATTATTCAAGATATCTTGGTTACATTTTGTATCTCATACAAACAAAAAGACATGGTACATTATTTTTCTTGTCGGCCCTTTAGTTTCCGTAGGCCCTAGGCAGTGCCTACAGTGGCCGATTGTATAATAGGGCCCTAAGCGTGATGGTGGTGCGGGTGACGGCAAAACAAAATCGGCCCACGTTGACTTCTTGACATCTCCGAACCTCGTGACTACCCACAGTGGAAAAACCTGCATCCTTAAAAACCTCGCAGCAGGATTTTCCATCGTTCATTGTCGACACGTGGTTTCCACCGTTTTACTGCACGCTACTGGAAACATCCAGTGAACTTCTTTGTGGAAAGTTTATAATGCAGATGTTTTATTCCTCCACCAACCCCCAACCTTTAAAATGGGCCTAGTGTGTGCGGTTCTTGAGCACAGATCGTTTTATATCCACTCAGCGTGTTCTTTTCTCAGTTGCAATTGAAAATTAGAAGAGATTTGCATAGCAATTACATTGCCGATTCTGTATATCCCAGCAAAAACGTTCGGTGTATGTTTCTGTTTGACTTCGGTGGTATAATTGTTTACTTAGCAGTGTGGCATTGCCACAGTGGCGATGTTAACTCTCTCGCCTGCTATGCAGGAGGTCATAGGTTCGATCCCAACCCGGACACCTGTATACATTTGGAGTTTGCATGTTCTCCCCGTGGTCGTGTGAAATTTTCTCCGTTTTAGAAACATGCGTTTAAAGTATTTGGCTGCTATACATTTCCACATGATAAGCCACTTCGTTGAGCCATCATTTGTAGCCAGGTCGCTTCTGATAAAGGGGCTTTATAAAGCTGGTGCAATTAAAAAAAGTTTAGTTTTTAGTTTATTGCTATTCACATTTGCTCCCGTTTTTTCACCTCCCAGCCATATCACATGGAATGCACCAAATCTTGTCAGATCTCAGAATGCAGTTGAACCCGAACAGAGATGGCTGAACCTGAACCAGTCGCAACATGGCACGCGTATAAACAGGCATTTTGCGGGAAGCCACCAACCCCCGACTTGGCCAGCGTGCGGTCAAGTGTCGTCAAAATATCCCTCGCGGCCTGCGAGGCGTGGTAGAGTAGTCCCCTCGTGCAGTGATGGATTGACAAACACGGGCTGTACACGTGTGCATATGCCGCCGCGTTTGCACTTGGCGTTGAGTCAGGTCTCCCCTCTGCAAGGGACTCCGAACGAGAAAAAAAAGTTAAACATGCGTCCAAGTTTCATGCGCGTTTGCATTCTCGCACGTGTTCACGTTGCGGTGACATGGGCAGCTGTTATAAACACTTTATTTGCCATATATATAAATCAAATAAAAATAGAAAAAAACTAACATTACAAAGACAATGAAATGCAACGATATGCAGGAAATCTTACGTCACAGGGAAGTTTTCGGCAAGGCCTGCGTTTTAACAAAAAAAAAATGGCCACACAAAAAAATAACGTATAAACTATGTGCAGCACTTGCATCCTCAGAAGTGGAATTCAGGTGCTCGTTGTTCTGAAGACTAAACTTGTGCTGCAATTCCGTGTAATGACATAACACTATGCTCGGTAGTGCAAGGCACGCATCACGCAGATGCGTTAAAATGCACAGCATTAACAACGGTGGCTTTTATATTACTTTGCTCTGACCGCCGTGACGCACCAAGGCAGCCTCTGCAGTTACCTGCAAGGCACAACACAAAGTGATTTCAGAAAAACTTTAATGAATTTAACGTGTATTTTTTTTTTTTTACACTTTGCAACACTTAAGAGGTATCCAAAATTATTTGGTGCCATGGAACATCCGTGTAAACGAATCAAAAAGTCGATGTGCACTCGAGACGGGGAGCATGGGATACGAGCGTGAGAATCACACAAAACGTGCAAGCACAAATGTCCACACAAATGCATGCACTTTGACAAATTCACGTGGTGACCTGCCACAGAGATGTGTATTTTTTTGCATCCGTAATAATGTTAATATCTAGCCAGGCTACGCTGCAGTTAGAAGTATTTGTAATCGAAAAATTGCAAAGTTAAAATTTCAAAGGTCAACTCTACCCATTATAATCATCATCGTCCCACTGCGGTCGAAAGATGCAAACCTTTTGCACCAAAGTCAACAGTGGGTTGTTACACACAGAGACCGGGTACTCGCATGGAGAATGTGGAATTTCTCCCATTGGCTCAGGACTGTAAATCCATGACAAGTGCTACCCTATTTGCTCCTTATAGCAGCATAAACTTTGACTTTTGTACCCATTCCGTAAACATGCTAATTTGCTATATATATAAAAAACAAAATGTAATCACCAGGCAGCATCGTCAATCATTTGGTATCCAAATCGGCCACAAAACTGTCCTCCGAAGCATCTTCTGAAATTGATCCTGGGAAAAAAAGCATAGACACAAAGGGCGCTATAGTTACATTGCAAACATAATGCGAATTATATGCAACTATCACATTCATAATAAGAACAATAATCCAGACACATTTTGCTCATTGCAACCACGCTAACAGCACCATGGGAGACGAGATGTCATGAAACCTCAGGCCCTAAAGGGAGTGCGAGACCCCATCTCACCTCGATACCAGCGAGGCATGAGATGAGATATGCACGTATTATTAATGATAACAATTAGTATGCAATGCTTTTTTTTTAATCCGACCAAAAACTGGAGCTGCGGTGAGATTACTCGACTTGCAATTGTTAGATCACCCGAGTAAAAATAAATCCTGGCTAAATGTGGAAAACTCGGCCAACATCACCCCCCTCCTTGGTCCATTAAAAATGAGTACCACTTTGTGGAAAGTCATGCTACGTAGAGAATGGCCCTCACGATAGAAAAAAAAAAGTGGAATTCTATCACTCGCACGGTAATCGGCACAGATGAGCGATGCCCTCCAGCTCGACAGAGTGCACACGTTGACGTTTTAATTACGAGTAATTAGTAACGACGTTCGTTTACATTTGCGCCACCCCCCACGTCACAGAGGTATGAACTACGGCTTCTGCGATCGGTGGATAATTTTAGACGACCCAAGGGAACCTCTCGTTATTGGTGCAACCACTTATCCCCACAATCGCATCCCACCTGCTCCAGTCGGTGGATCCATTTAGATTTTACTGCGCACTCAATTTTCACGACACAGTAACATGAATAAAAAGTGGATGTGGTCCTTTTTTGTTGTTGCAATCTTGCACAAAAGCTTGGATATTATGGCAATTAAATCAATTTTGCAGAGTACACTTCGATGCACAGTCGACGGAACAGTTAAAGAAAAAAATATGCATGCGAGTGGATTCAGTAACACTGGCCTGCACATCTCCCGCGTTTTGAGAAACCCCCTTCGATCAATTTGGCCAGGGAAAGTCCCTGAATGGCAACACAACATTATTCTAAGGTTTCATTTATAATGGATCATCTTTTAAGAGTTATAGTGCCACCCCTAGTGACAGACCGACGGGCAGATGGGCGGACGGAGCTCACGCACAAACACTTTCAACCTTCAGTTGGAATGCATTAAAAATTAACAGCGGGTTTAAATGTTTGCGCTCACAGCAGGGCGCCACGGTGGCGAGATGTTACCTACCCCGCCTAGTATACAGGAGGTTGTGGGTTTGATCCCAACCCCAACGCCTGTATATTTGGAGTTTGCGTGTTCTCCCTGTGGTCGCGTGGATTTTTTTTCTCCGGGTTCTCCGGTTTTTCCCTCCACATTTAGAATCAACATCAAGTGTTTAAAGTATTTGGCTGCTATAAATGTGCACGTAATAAGCCACTTCGTTGAGCTATCACTTGTGGCCAGGTCGCTTCTGAAAAAGAGCTACGTAGCGCGGTGGGTCGTACCTGGTAAAATAGAAAATAGTTTGTAGTGGTCAAATATATATATTTGTTATATATATATATATAGAGTAGTCACGGCACGAGCAGTCCTGTTACCTTCCTCCCGTAGCTCAGCTGCTGCCTCCCTTTCCTCGGGCTCCAGGGAGCTGTCCATGTCAGACCCCGCTAAACCTGAGCCCCCCAGGTCCGGTGAGACCCCACGCTCCGGTGCGGACAGACACTGGGGTTGGCCAAGCTCCAGCAGCCCCCCACACAAGCCGGACGTCGGCACCATAACTGGAATAGACAACAACAAAACAACATCCACAATGCGCCTTTCATTGAAAATAAATCATTTCAAAGTTAGCTTACACAGCAGTGGATGGTATGGCACCCTCCCCCTCTCCCCAGTCCACAGGCCTCCATGCCCAACCCTCCCCAGGTTACGAAGGCCACGATACACAGACCACATCCTGGCTATGGTGGTCTACGGCGGTGTTAGCAAGACCCAAGAGACATTCGTTTCATGTTGTGCATTGGTGCAGCCAACGTGGCACTGGCATTTCCCATGTACATTACGGATACCACAGAGCTACCTTTGAGATCCCCTCCCCCCCTTCTGCAAGCGCGCTCTGGTCCACACAAAGCGGCCACAGCAGGAGCAGAGATCACAAAGCTGCCTCGAAGATCACTTTGTCTGGGCCGCCACGGTGGCGAGATGTTAACTACCTCGCCGAGTATACACGATGTTGAAGGGTTTGATCCTGACCACCGATGCCTGTACATTTGGAGTTTGCATGTTCTCCACATGTTGAGTTTGTTGTAACCTTTCCCCGCAACTCCCAACAGCACGGTTGGCTATGTACGCGGTGAAAAAGAAGTTTACCATATTTTTCGATTTAAAGCTTTCGTGACTGCAGGGATTCATCTTCTTGGTTGTTTCGGTAAAGTCACGTAGAAGGGAAATAATAAAATAATAAAAATAAAACATAATAAAATAATTCTCACGACGTTTCGGCCACAACGCAAGCAGCCGTCCTCAGGTGAAGAACAGGTCTGTCAGAAAGACAGAGTCTGAATGCGTCTTTCCGACAGACCTGTTCTTCACCTGAGGACGGCTGCTTGCGTTGTGGCCGAAACGTTGTGAGAATTATTTTATTATTTTAATTTTTATTATTTTATTATTTCCCTTCTACGTGACTTTACCGAAAGAACCAAGAAGAAGTTTACCATACATTACAAACGTCTTCACGCAGGGCATCCATGCCGCAGCCTGCATTCCCACCCAGAGAACACATGCTCACTTACATAACAACACTGCGGCCCAACTGTCATGTAAATTCATTCGGGTGCTGTAATTCAAACACCGACCACACGATCTATCCTCATAAACGACGGCTCAAATTGGACACTTATTGTTGAAAATGCAATGTTCTGCATTCCGACTCGAGAGGGGGCAGAGGTGCAACGGTGACGCTCGCTCTCCGGCAACGGGAAAAATCCCCCCAATGCAGTTACATGCAGAGGTGAAGAAAATAATGAACACACGCAGTGTATACCGTTGTCAACGTCTGTTTTTTTTTTTAAATAGAAATACTGGATTGTTGAACTGCATGCAACATAATGTATGCTACCTGCTTGTGCATCGAATTAAAATAAAATCAATGGACAAATCAAATCCTTGGGCAGCCCCTCCTCTCAGCTGGTGTCCCCTGATACAGCCGTGATGTGATCTTCCTTGCCTGGTATGCAGGAGGTCGGGGTTCGATCCCGACCCTTACGCCTGCCGTATATTTGGAGTTTGCATGTTCTTCCTGTGGTCGCGTGGATTATTTTTTTTTTTCTTCGGGTCCTCCGGTTTTTCCCTCCACATTTAGAAACATGCATTGAGATTATTGGTGCTATAAATGTCCAAACGATGGGCCGCTTTGTTGAGCTATCATCTGTGGCCAGGTCTCTTCTGAAAATTAAGGTTAATACCTGAGTGGGCTTTGCCTGGTAGGATGGGGATGGTTTAGCTGTATTTGTTTGTGTTTGGGTAATTTATTTACCTTTCTTGTACTTTTTTTTGTAATGTTTGTTGTTGTAACGTTCTTACCCCCGTGCCCCTACTGGACATCGGATTCCTCCAGTATGAATAAATATTCTGATTCCATATCCCAATGGCATGGGCCAGAATCCTCAAAGGACAACGGCTTACGAGTGGTGCAATTCATTGTGGGGGGGGGGAGGGCCGGATTAATGTTCGTGTAGGCTCCTCTGGCACTTCTGTTTCGTAGATCTTCAGTGATAACTTTTCAACAGTTGGTACTGCTGCCGCCCATCTGACTACTGCCGCCACTGTCACTCGCTTGTTTCTTGCGCGTACTTCGTCCAGCCGCCGGACAGACGTCGTTACTGCCGATACGTTCACGATTTAGCCCGTGCCCTGATTCGATGGGCGCGCGCTGCGTGCCGCAGATAAGCAGATTTAATTTGCAATTCTATGGGAACCTCCTTTGCCAGTAAAAATATGATAATTGGTTTTTTAACCTTCTATCTGGCAACAAAACTGACACCTTTAGTGCGCCTTTTGGCGTCATCTGGTCCAACCCATGTGAGACTAGGCTCTAAGGAAAGCTGTCTCGGGTGTGGACCAATCAACTTCAAGGACAGTGCACATTATCAGAGTTATGCCTTTTGTTTGTATTATGACTGCAGGTATTGCGGTCTATGCAAACATGACTCCTTGTAAAAAGGTGTCAGTTTTGTTGCCAGATAGAAGGGTAAAAAACCAATTATCATAATTTGCAATTATTGAAAAAAAACAAGGTACGCCTAAAAATATTACAAGATATCTTTCTTACTTTTTTTTATCATACAAACAAAAAAGACATGGCAAAAAAAATCCCCGTAGGCCCTTCAGTTTTCATAGGCCCTAGACACAATGCTTACTGTGCCAATTTGATAATACAGCACTGTTTGGAGGGGTACGGAAAGGGTTGCGGTGTCTGTGATGTTAGCTTACCGTATGCTTCAGTCGCGAGGCAATGTTAATGAGAATGGTGGTGGTGGTGGTGGTTGTGAAGTATTTTTAGCCGTTGTTTCTACACAGTGCCGCTGCCACGGGTCCTTGAAAATTTCAATGATGAATCGTTGGAAACGTGAGCGGGGAAATTGCAGGGAAGAAGGAACGTGGCCCTGTTGTCTTTAATCGCCAAAAAATTCTGAGCGCTCCCCAGAACCAACCGTTAAAAATAATCCAGCACTTGCATGGGGGTTGACAGCATGTGCAGCCAACTGCAACACGGTTAATTGAGTCCACCGTAATTGGTTTATTAACTTTGAAATCAAAAGCAATTAAGTGGTCACACCTCCCAGGTGAGCCTTATGAAGAACACCGACAAGTACTTTGTCCCTAATAACACGGAGCACGGGCGATGCATCACAAAACCCCTCTTAGTGAAATGAAATCGTTGGGGTAATAAACGTGATGGGCCACATACGGTAGAAACAAGAATAAAGCTGCCCTGCTGTCACCGGCTCCTTGTTTATTTTAATAATATTAAGGGTGCGCACGCCAAAATGACAGTTATTCTGACCAAACGCTGAATACCAAAATAAAATTGAATCAACCGAGTGGACTAAACGCATGTCCAGCCTCATCTTGCCAATGACCTGCTTCTTTACAGTCACCTTCTCCCTTCTATCGATGTACTAACTTCTTAGGAAGACGCAACGCAAAAAAAAACAGAAAACTGGTTATTATCTTGTAGCTACGCAACGAGAGGCTACATCTTATCTCAAGCCCAAATAAATCATCTAAAAACAGTTGTACATTGTTATTCTTGTAAATGATTATTACAAGTCATGTGCTTAAACTGAACAAATATGTTAGCTCCAGTTAATCCTAAATCCACGTGATCGCCCCTACAGTACAGTAGTTGCATATCTTTACAACAGTGGGCGGAGTTGGATTGATGTTGATTGGCGTGGCTCTGCTGTCATCCACTTAGTGGGCAGCGTCTTTTGCGCAGGAGCACAAGACGCTTACCCCACTGAGCAAGCGCATCGATCGGGCGATCGAAAGAGTAACAATCAAAATCATCAGTTGTGCTTAATTTTGAGCGATTTATCTGATCATTTATTGAGCGAATTTCTAATTGATAGTGTTTTTTGGCATAGAGATCTGCGAAAATTTATATTTTTGGACTATCCGCGATTTTTAATTATCCGCGACCGTCCTCTTCATTGGATAATCAAGAGTCTACTGTACTACCCACAAGCTAAGGTTTGTAAATGAGAAAAAATAATTTAAAGTCACAACTACGTGACTTTGAGACATTGCCAATAGTGGCCTCTGGTACAATCGTAGCCATGGTAGAGTCGGCTCGCCTACGCTAACGAGACAAGCCCCGTGACCCCAACTACATCACGATCCACAAACCGTTTCAGGAGTCTCGCCGTATCTATATACACGTGTGGGAGACGCGGAAGTGAATTCTGCTCAGATATACGTTTCTGCCACAACAGTCGATGGAGCGTGGTGCGAGGATGGAAGCATTTGGAATCTGTAATGACAGCACACCTATCGCCTCGATCGAATCACCGTCAGCAAAGCTGATCACAAGAGTCGTAGGCGGTTGACATTAGAATTTAAAACAAAACCTGTAAACTGTAATCAGGCAGAAAGACAGAGGTGAGTAACGAGTTTCCAGAGTTTTGCGGCGACGGGGTGTGTAAAGGATGAGCTGCAGCAGCAGTGTGCAAGGCGGGTCGATAAGGAAACATAATTCGCGTGGCAAGATTAAGAGAGGCGAGCGCGACGAGTGGGCCGACGGGTGAAACAAAGTGTGGGGCCCTTTCGGAAGGGCGCCGATTACAGGCGTGCCGGTGGAAGCGACAAAGGCGAGAAACAGAGCGACGGTAAGATAGAGAGACAAGGGAGAGGTGGACAGGGCAGCAGCATCATCAATAATGCAGGCAGCTGTTGGTTGGATTCGATTAGGATTTACTGTTGCAGGCAGCAGGCAGCTGGGCTCTTGTGGTTGAATCATGAGTATATTTCCAGGAGGACATTTCGACTGCCGTTGTTACCATGTATTGATGTCTTTTAAATCTTCATTATCATCGGCCATGATCAATCCACTGCTGGATGAAGGCCTCCCCAAGTCATCAATAACAATACCACCTGGCAGCTGCACACGAGCTGATTTAATTTCTCCTCCTCCTCCTTGGTCGACATACTTTCACATGCATTCCATTTCTTGACTGCCACTCCTTTAACTGTTATAATCGACCATCATCAAAAGCAGGCCCGTTCCTGCTGGTGTCATGGTCCACACATTTGCCACGTTTGAAAATTTACCTGCAAATTACTTAATTGGAATAAACGTAGCAATCATCGCCTCCACCTGTAAAGGGCTTGGGGGGCAGTCACGAGACTCAGTGAAGCTTTCAATAGGTAAACAAAAGCTTAAGAACAACAACAACAATGAACCATCATCTCTTTTCGTGACATATCCTGCCCAAGTCCACCTATTTTAATTTTTTTCAAGGGACTCACATTTATTCCTAACACTGCCTTAAAACAATTTGCATTAATAAATAATCGGTGAAGTTTTGAGCATTGGCCCTTCTTCAAAGCACAAACAGTAAAAAAAAAATTAGGGTTGGTGACTTTACTTAACGTCTATGCGACCCTCGTGAAAATTACAAGAATTTTTTTTTCTTCTGATGACCAGTTTATAAATACGGATATGAATAGTTAATTACCTAAGAGTAACTACTGAGTACCAGATAAGCCGGAAAAAAACAACAAAAATATCACTTACTTTATTAATAACCTCTGAGTTTATTTCGTTCTACTTTTTGGATTATTGATGGGTTTATCTAGTACTGTGTAGGTAGACCTTCTTTCGCACAGTACGTAGCCAACCGTGCTAACAGGAGGTACTAAATAGTTTCTAAGAGGTAACAATTATTTTTCCAAATTATGTAACTGGTCAATGGGATTTTATTTTAGGATGTTTTCAACCAATTTCTGACATGTGGGAGGGAAAGCAGAGCACCTGGAGTATACCCACTGATGCAAGGGTGGGGGGCAACACAATCCCCGTACAGATGGAAAAAGATGATGATTAGTCCAATTGCTTTCCTGCCTTCTCCTGGTTCGTGAGAGTATGGCACCGCAACACCCACGCAGGAAGGAAGTTTCACAACATGATGGAGAATTTTAAAAAATCAATTTGTGAATCAGGTATCCTAATTTGCCACGGTTTGTGCAGTGGATGCGATTTAGGGTGGACTGAGCTTAAACATAATGCAATAAAGCAGTAGCAGCAACCACAGGACGTTCGGGTTTGGGTTTTGAGGTCAAGAAAAGGGGGTTTAGAGAGGTACTTTGCAAGCCCACTGGCTATCAGCAAAGATTCGTTCATGAAGCCATCCATATATACAGACACAATTTCAACCGAGAGGATGGGTACAAACTCAGCAATCATTGGAAAGATGTCATCAACCACTTTGGGTCATGACTTGATTTGTGTTTTTCTTGTTAAGGGAGCACAGGTAAAGTCGAGACTTGATTTGTGTTTTCTTGTTACCTTACCCCAGGGCACATATGCCCCGCCCACTTTGTTCTGACACCAGGACGTTTTGTGGCCCTGCATGTTCCCATACCGCCGCCTGAGCGCTTGTGCCACGCCGACTTTCCTCCTGAAGACGATCGCTCGTGTTGTGATCGAAACATCGTGGTTTTAGATTGTTATTTCATTTATTATTTTTAAAAATATTCTATCTACGTGACATTACCGAAAAAACCAAAGAGTATGCGTTTAGAGAGAGTAGTCCGCGTCTCACCGTGCTCCCCACGGTCGCCTGCCCCCTCGCCGGTCGACACGACGGTGCTCGTGTCCGACTCTGCCCTGCGGTTCTCCGAGTGGCGGACGCGCTGCCCCGGCCTGCCAAAGTGGGATCAGCGGAGGGGAGAAACATTCACGACGCGTTTAGAAAGCTGCACCGTCGAGAGTGACGACGTTCGCATCGCTCTCCGATGGTATTTTTAAGGTTCTAGATTTGAAGCTTTCGTGACTGCAAGGATTCATACTCTTAGTTTTTTTAATAAAAATAAAATAATAATAAATCACGACGTTTCGGAGGCAACACAAGTCTCTGTCATCAGGTGGGACCGTCACAGCCAGATTTGCTGTATCAAGTGAATACAGCAAATCTGGCTGTGACGAAACGTCGTGATTTTTTTTATTTGATTATTTTTTGTATTAATTTAAATTTCATTTTTTACCTACGTGACTTTACCGAAAAAACTAGGAGTATGTTTTTAAGGTTGTACCGCGCGCGTTGCTGTTCGACGCAAATTCATCGGGACAGCTGCAGCCGCGACCGGGAAAACCTACGAAGCAGAGGACACTCACATTCTCTCTCCTTCGTGCTCGCTGTTTGAATCACATTGCGTCATGCTGAATAGCTATTTCATGTTTTAGATATACGGATCTGTCCGACTGTAGCATCATTAACACAATCCCTATCTGGCTGCAACACTTGTCACAGTTTGAAAAAAAAAATTCAAATACATTTTTCAGCATTGGGACGTTTGGCTCATACTAGTTGCAATGTATGTTTAAAAAAAATATATATATATGGAAGGAAACCGGAGAACCCTGAGGAAACCCATGCAGAAAAAGGGGAGATCATACAAACGCAACACAGAAAGGCGCTAGAGCAGTCGGGTATCGAACCCCGAGGCCTTCCTGCTGTTTGTGTTACTGCTGCCTGAGCGTTGCTAAAATTGTTACCATGCGTCACCCTGCCTCCAACCACCCCCATACTAATTTGCATAACAATGGAATGGAAAGGACATGGCAACCTATCCGAAACAAAGTACCCGCCACGCATCATTCGCTCGCTGCCATAGTGATACTCAAGAAAATGGGAAGTCACTGACTTGTTGTAACATACACATGGACCTCGCTGCACTGCCAAAAGGAGCGCGAGAATAGAAATTGCTGTATCGAGCCAACGCCGGTGAATCATTGCATTTTTAGTCTGGGAACTAAACGCAGCCACACAACTTGTTCCAAGAAGTGATGGCAGACATGGGCGACTGTAGCAAGCACCTCATGAAATGTGTGATATGCACATGGAGAATTTCAAGTGTAAAATAATATGCCGAAGTGCGCAGTATCAAAACAAAACGCATTTCTCGGTGTACACAACTTGCTGAACCTGCCATACTTGTCACCTGTAAGTATGAAATAACAGTTCTCAGATTCAAAGCAGTATTTGCATCTTAGTTGATAACGTTGAACGTAATTTTCTTAAAGCTTCTATGATTAAGGACTCGTCAATCATGTGGATTGCGCAAAAGAGATATTTTTTTAACAATTTCTCACGATTCGACATTTCATTGCAACAATTTTAGTTAATGGAATTGATTTACAGATTTAATTATTATTATTATTGTGAATGAATGTAAAAAAAAAAGTAACAGTCATGCAACAGAAAATGATGGTCACGAAACTCCTGTCGCAGACAACGCTCCGGGGGCTCCGGCGCGTTTTGCTGCCGCTCCCCGACACGTTTAACTTCATTTGTCGTATGTCCTCCTATTAGCGTCGCCACACTTCCTGAGGAATCAATCTGGGCAAAGGGAGCCGCTGGCCGTTCGATTGGCCTGAACTCTCAAACACAGTGCGCAGTGGAGCCCAAAACTCAAATCTCCAACGGGCGTTACCCAACAAATGTCGTAGCCTGGGCCCTGCCGGCGATAAATACGGAGCACATAATAAATTAATAAGTCTATCATCTTTCTGTCTCTCACTCCTTCCGTGTGTCTCTCGGTCTCTCCCCTCCATCCGATGATGCCCTTGTTTTATACTGCGTCTGTCTCTGTGTTCGGCTCAATCTGTTAAGTGTGCGTCTCTCCGTGTCCGTCTCTTTCAATGTCCGTCTGCCTCTCTCCGCTTTTTCAGATATATCTGTGGCAGACCTTCCCCTCTCTCTGTGAGGGCCCAATCCTCTCATTGCCCTTCCTCCTCTCTTCCTACATCACGTTTCACCTGCCGTGACCCAACGCCCACCTGCCCACCAAAAACACTAAATATGTTTGATCCGTGATCACTGCTTCGAAACCTTCAATAACAAATACGTTTCGCTCAGCTTGCCATTTCTCCTCAACGATTTAAGGGAACCGCTGAAAGTTGTATACTTTGAGTGTACACTTACCCAACCGAAAGCACCTTGCGTACCATCTCCAGGGACGGGACGCTGCTGAGGGCCTTCGCGAGGTCATAGCCCCCCACGGGCACCGGTGCCGGGCACGCCGACTCCTCCTGCAGCTCTTGCCCCGGGGTCGTGCCGTGCCCCGACCCTGCGTCTTGGTCGCAGGGCAGTGGAGGCGAAGAGGACTTGGGGGAAACCCGGCGTCTGCCGCACGCAGCTATGCCTGTACCGGTACACGCACGCGCAATTCATTGAGGCGGAATCGTAAGCACGTACATGTACATACCGCGTGTCAATACACTGCTGGATGAGGGCCATTCCACACCGTGAGACGTGGGGTTATCCGACTAAACCAAATTGGTCAGTGTGGGCTGGTGAAGGTCGGAAGCAGAGATTTGGAAGCAGAGAAGTATAGTACAACAGTAATGGGTATATGTTGCATTGCTCTCTGCTGCCCACCACGTAGTCACACAGCAGCCTATGAAAACGGTGCATGGTGGTCACCCGTCAAAAAACTATCCAGTGCAACGATGCTTAGCTCCGGAAATCTGATGAGATCAGCTGTTGCAGTCGTCACCCTGATCTTCAAAGTTTCGCTCTTACAGTATCCCACTCTCCGATTCTAGGTCTTCCCCCTCGGTCACAGACCTCTGGGTGGAAACTCCAATAACGCTCGCCTCGGTAACCCGACTTCCTCTATCCTGCAAACGTCCCCTACCCCATAATAAAGCATGTAATCTATACACCACTTGGTAACTGGAGAGAAAACACAACTGCCTGGATAGATTAATTTTTTTATGAGTACTGGACACAAAGTCATAAAAAAAATCCTGTGTTTACATGTGGCCAAAGAATTGAGTTCTACTAATACAGTATTTGCTTTTACCGGTACTGTAACAGTTGAGGCGAAGCAGCATTGGGCACCATTTGCAAGAGAGTACAAGGTTAACACTGTATATCATTCCGGACATGGTCATTTTCAGTCTGTGTAATGTTACTGTACATTAAACCGCATTGTATTCATCTGTATAAATGGGGGGATTTCTGTTCTCAAAATAACCCAAATGTTAGGGGAATACATCAACGTGCAGCTCACGAATAACAAAGAACCCAATGGCGAGGCCTGGTTGCTTCGACGGCACCGGCCGCGATGACCTCTTGACCTTGCCCTCATTATGCGGAAGCCCCTGCCGGTGCAACATGGCACGCGTTACCAGGGGCCTCACGGTGCGAGCTCGGAACATCGTGCGGCCTGACTGATGAGGCCCCGTGACTCTGCTGACCTTCGCTGTGGGGCTGCGCGGTGTGCCTCTCCGCCTGCATGGAGCGGCTGTCACTCTCCCTGCTGTCAAGCGCTCGCTGCAGCGACAGGGGTCTCCTGGCGCTCACCGTCGTCGCGCGGCCCCGAGTCCGTGATGCAGGCAGCTTGCCTGCAAGGCGCGACAGCAGTGCGCAGTAAACACACTCGCGGTTACCACAACGCTGGCATGCGACGCTTTTCTTCAGGAGTACACAGGCGGAGTCTGTCTCCGCGCTGTCACGAGCGGACCAAGTGCTCATTGCATCTGGCAGGTTTTTGAGCCAGTGGCGAAAATTCCACATTCCTGTGGAAGGGGCTGTCTCTTGAAGGAAAGCCACCGTGGGCGTATTTACATTTACAGCCTTTTTTCAATGCGCCGCCGTGTAGCTTCGGGTTATTTTGGCCATACTTTACCATGCTGGGCAGTACGGGTTGGTAAAGGGGGGGTGGTACACAGAATTGGTCAGGTAGAATTACAATACAGCAATGGAGTTTACTGCACTACCCTCTGCTGCTCACACAGCTTGTTTATATTTAATTGTTTCTAACTGCTGTATACACATCATTTAATCAATTTAACCGTTGTATTCACAAGCTGTGAAACATGCTTAACTGCATAACATAACATTATTTTAAATTATCAATACGTTCATAAATGTGTGTAGATAAGAAGCCGACTGAAAATGTAATATTTCATTTGGTCGAAGTTGACTCAAAATGTATTCATACTTTCCATAATCAATCTACTGCTGGATGAAAACCTCTCCACGCCCAAGTAATCACCATCTTTTACGGTCCCTGCGATGTAACAATCTATCAAGCACCAAAGTATGACGCCTGCTGTATATTTGGAGCTTGCATGTCTCTCCCCGTGGTGGCGTGTATTTTTCACCGGGTCCTCTGGTTTTCCCCCCCACATTTACAATCAACGTGCGTTTAAAGAATTTCTACATGACGATAAGCCACTTCATTGAGCTATCATTTGTGGCCAGGTCACTTCTTAAAAATAAATATATAGCTGAGTGGGCCTTACCTGGTACAATAAAAAAAATGTCTAGTAACGTGTACTACAAAGCACTCGTGTGTATATCATCACTGCGCATCTCCTATCCAGCTGCGCTATCGTCGCTGTAAAGTCCTCACCTTTGCCCTCCGCCACCTGCGCTTGCAGGCGTTTGAAAACGTCAGCAGAGTTCCGTAGCAGCGACTGCTGCCTCCGCTGCTGATCGCGATCCTTCCTCTGGTGTCCTGCCACCAGCGAGACGTCTCGACCACGTTAATCGCACGGCCCACCTCCGTTTGTTAATCAAAATTTTAAATATATATATTTTTCTAAGAATACAACAAGAATTCAAACCGTGCAGATTTTCGCAGATTGTACTGTAGCAGCTACCCTACGTGTTTCCCGGGATACGCCAGAGGTCGCAAACGGGTTTTGATTCCTTACCCGTACCCGGCCGTACCCGTACACTACCCGTACCCAGCCGGGTACGGGTAGGGTACGGGTATCGGGTACCTGATTGCGACCTCTGGGATGAAGCCATGTTGCAGGCGCGGGTGAGTTGATTCTAGGAACTTGAATTGTGAGAAGAGACAAGACGTTGGGAAATGAGCGACAAACAGTTACTTACAAGTGACTCACGGCCTACCCGTACCCGTACCCGGCCGCACCAGGGTCGCAAACGGGTACCCGTACCCGGCTGGGTACGGGTTTGCCGGGTATCGGGTAGGGTATGGGTATCGGGTACCCGGTTGCGACCTCTGGGATACGCCGCGTGTTGTTCGGCACACGATGGCCGACATTTCGCTCCACGTGCCGGTTAGCTTTTGTAGTGCGTGAAGAAACGTCGGACAACGATGCCAAACAACAACAGAAAAAAAATACAGGGAGCTGCAACTTAAAAATATATCCCCCCACTCGCACAGACGTGGGGTAAGCGTGCATCGCCACTTAAAGCCCTGAGCTTGTGGTGGAAAGCCTTTCATGGGAAGGGCCAATCACCTCAAGCTAAGCAGCTCTGAGTTTGAATAGCCCACGAGTGTGTGACCACAATACGTATAACAGGTATTATAGGTTGCTGCGGGGCTACGTTGTCATCAGAGGATATCATTGTAGTCTCCTATGTACCCACACGACTATGCTCTCCACCGTCATCAACCCGCACTGACCCGCATGGTTAAATAACCCCCATGAACGACACGGCACAAGGGAGGCCCTCATCTAGCAGTGGAATGACATTATGGCTGTAATTGTACACTTGCAACACAATCAATTCTCACTCGTTCTCTATTTGATGCACGCATTGTGATCCTAAGAATGGACTAAGTGATCAATCGACGATGCGTCACGTGCCTAACAGCACGCGATCGATCAGGCTCAACAAAACGCGCAGCGAGCGTGGCTTACGTGATGACGAGTGCAGCTCCGGTGGGTGTGGTGGGAAGTCCCACAGGGTCTCCGATTCGCCCAGGTCCAGCAGCTGCAGCAGCAGGCTGGGCTCCAGCTCCAGGAGGCTCCCGGCGGCGCCCGCCAGGCCCACCGCGACGCGAGCGCGGCCCCCCCGCGCTCCCTCCGCCAAGCACGTGCCGCCTGCTGCAACGTGCACAAAGACAAAGATCCCACCCCCGCACCGTATAGCCTCAACAGACTGTTTGGGCGAGTACTGTTGGCGAGCACCTATGAAGGCCAGCACGGCATACGAGGGGGTGGGTGGCCAAGAACACGCCCGGCCGCCTTTGTCTCCCCCATAATGGCGATGTTTGCACACCGCCCCAGCTACTCATTTGACGCCAAGTCGACCTAGGGGGGGCAGGACCAGTTCAGAAAATCGTCGCTGGTGTTGGCCGTGAGTGGGAATCCAACCCGGGTGATCTGGTTAGAGGCGTCTCTGTAAAACCACACTTAGTCAAATCGGAGCCTTTCAGTCGATGCGAGCATATGTTACTTAATGAAATTAAATAAAGCGGATGCATGAAGTAGTGTATAGATGTTGTCTTTGGGTATCACTGGCATTTCATTTCATTGAGAATATATCAGTTGACTTTGAGTGTCACAAATGCAATGTTGTATATATTTTTTTACGAATAATTGTTATGCCCTTTGTAGGCGTGGGTTGTTTTTTTTTCTTCCAAGCACTCCCATTTCCCTCCACGTGAAAAATCCAATGAGGAATTGAGGACGCAGGTCAACGTGACAAGTCCATTGGTAATCATGAGCAAATTGTGGAAATTACACATTCCCATGGCAACACCAGTCACTCCATAGATCGACAATAGATCGGAACACTCCTGAAAATTAGCGTGGAGACTCTGAGGCTCGGCCTGAATGAATGCAGTGCTATTGTTCTCATGAGCGTATTTAGGAGATTATGAGACACTCCGGAAAGAACCATGCACCTGAAACCCGAACTCGTGCCGCATGTCAATAAAGTTACACATCTGATCATAAGCAGCACAAATCTACCGGATTAGGAGACGCACCCCGCTCCCACAACTTTCTTTGAAATACATAGGGAAAATTGTGTGTTATATAATCCTAGAGAATACGGTAAACGTCCCTCATGATAAATGATGAATCAGTACATCGTGACGTGCCTGCTAATGACAGCATACGGAGTAAGACTCGACATGTCCTCAAAGGCGAGCGCATCGGGTGAACTTGCACGCGGCTTGACACAACCCAACCGGACAGCTGATCTAGCATAAGAGGCAAGAGGTTACACGGCTGTTGTCACTGCTTTCGGTGCCGATGCTGCTGCTGCTGCCTGGAGTTGTGCTACAAATGCAGCTGACTTTGGCTACAGCAGTGACAGGCGCTGTGCATCCCGCCGTAATTAATGCTCACCGACAAGACCCGCGGGGCCCCCACATTCCTCTCGCTCGATCGGCCCGAATCGGTGGTTTCCAGGTCTCAAGTCACCCCCTTTACCCCCGTCTCATGGCCAAAATAACCCTCCAGCATTAACCGCACCGCCATAAATATCACCGCGTCGAGACCATAGCCCATTGCCCTATACCCCCCCCCCCACCCCCCGTGCGTGTAAATAAATTGATGTCTTAATTATCCCTCTGTTTACTCGGTGGCAATTTTTGTATTTAATGTCTCCAAAAATATGCACAGGCAGATCGCTCTGCCTTTGCCCATGAAGGATTAATAAAGAGGTCAGTGATTTTCTGATCAAACAAGTACTGAGGCAGTGCTCATCACCCGTTTACAGCTCTAGGCCAGCGATATAAATTCCACATTCTTATAGCGGAGGCGAGGCTCTCCATGGGACAACTGCTGTTAACTTCCTCACAAAGTGGTACTCATTTGATCGATCGCTGAGAGATGATTTGCCGAGTCAACCCCCAATCGGCGTTTGAACTCGTAACCTTCTGATGTTCCAAGCGGCCCACCCTACCCACTAGGCTGTCTGGCCGGTTAAAATCATGACGAGCCATAAGAGCTGCGAGCCGAGGAGGCGGTGGCGAGACAAAGGTGGTTGCGTGACACTGACCGGCCGCCCCCAGGGCCTCATCCAGCAGCTCTCCCTCTTCCAGGTCCATGGCTCCACCGTACTCGACGTCATTCTCACCAGACCTGCCTCGGCGTGACACACGGGGGAGACGCGTGAATGCACGCACACAAAGACAAAGATTTCCCCCCCGTCGTATAGCCTTAACAGACCGTTGGGGCAAGCGCTGTTAGTGAGCGCCTATGGCGGGCACGGCACAGCATGCGGCGGGGTGGGTGGCCATCACCATGCCCGGCCGCCTTTGCGCACACACAAAAACCTCCACTCGCACTCTATACACCCCCCTAGTAACCGGCATATGAGTGGCAGGGAAATTTGGTTTCTTCATAACTTGTGTCTCCATAATCTGTGATGCGAGGGTAAAAGTATAATGTACAGCCTCGTGTCAATACACTGCTGGATAAAGGTTTTCCCCATGCAATGTCAGCCACGGGGGTTGCTTGTCCAAACTTCATCGCGCTGGTCAGTGTAGGAAAGTAAAGAAGGGGTGGTGGTGGTCACAGAACCGGTTCGGCCATCAGTCGCCAACGATGCGAGCCGTGGCCAAGAATCAAAAACTCAGGACCCTGGCTTCACCGCGCTAATGAACGCACCACACGGCTCCCGCAATCTGTTACCGAGCTATAAATTGGTGCTCTAAATAGCGTTGACATATAGTAAGGCCAGAGGTATGTGATAATTACGAGTGAGCCAGCCACCAGTACATCCTATTGATGGGGTGATTTTTTTTTGTCCACTGCAAACATTAATAAAACCACGTGGCACGGGTGACCTTACGAGGGTTGTGACCGGGCGGTGGAGGACTTCGTATTAGCTGAAATTTTGCCCACGAGGCAGCGCATCACTCATTGCTATTAGCACGGTGAAAAATGTTCATTCGTGGCTTTTCACCTAAGGTCAAAGGTCGTACATATCTCATCATCAACACAGTAAATGGGCCCCGGCTCTCTCCATGCAAAATAACCCTTAATCGGCTTTGCACAATGAAAATGCTCAAGTGCTAATGACTGAATGACACACAAATGAATAAATATATGTATGTACATGAGGATTATTGTACCTGTATTATATAAATAGATTATACCATTTCATACCCATAAAATTACTCGCTATACATAATTTAGTCTGCATTATCCAAGCTTTGCAAGATATCAATCATTTGTACAGCAAAGTATGTACAATACAATTTCATAAAATGTAATACCTAAGGCAGTGGCGTGGCTACAGAGTGTGGCGGCAGCTCAACTCCAATGAGGCACACGGACCACAGGGGCTGAGGGCACCAGGCTATGAACAGTGGGGGGATAAAAACTGTACAAGGGACCACCACCCCTCAACCAGGGCCCACACCAACCGCACTGCAACACTGGCCTAACATGAGCGCGCTGTACAATATGGCGCCATGCTAACAACAGTGCCAGTCGTGCTGGGGAGTCATGAACCCGGAGGTGGGCGACCGGGCCGTGGCGAGGCGCGCACATGGTCTCCGTGTCGATGTCGTTCTCCTCCGTGCTGCTGCTGCCGGCCGTGCTGGCCGAGCTGCTGCTGCCCTCGCCCAGCAAGTTGTTCTCCTCCTCGCCGGTGAGACACTCTCCATCCAGGTCCCCGTCAGAAATCTCCTGCTGTGCACATACGCACGCACGAGACGCGGGGCTGCCATGCACGTACGAGACGCGGGGCTGCCATGCACGTACGAGACGCGGGGCTGCCATGCACGGACGAGACGCAGCACCACTATACACACACACGCGTATCTGAGAAGCAGGGTCGCTGTACGTACGAGACACGGTGCTGTCATACGGACAAACACACGAGACGCGTGACGGCTGTAGATATGAGACACGGTGCAAGCCCTGGTCCCCTCCACAATGTGCTGCGCCCCAGTGTGGAGTTGCCAGCTCTTAAACAAACCCTGGCGATAGCGAAATGAACATCGCACTTCGTATTATCAGCTGAACTATAAAGTGCACTCCACTCCCGTGGCTTCCTTGTGCTGGCAAGTGTCGTCGCAGCCAGCCAACGTCGGACGCGATGCCGCGCCAACCCGTGGAGGCATCACGATATTACGGATAACATCGCTCTGCCCGTCCCGAGAACGCCTGACAAGAACCCCCACGCAAATTGGCTGAAATCCAGGAAACCTTTCTAGATGCGCGCTTCTGCTCCAACAGCCAAAAATAAAATATAATCCAGCACTTGCTGGACAGGGATCGTGGGCGGCTACGGAAGTGGCAAACAAACACCGCACGGAGGACCCGACTGTGGGTGCACCGGGCTCTCCTCTCTTGCACGACGATCGTGGACCTCGCTCTAGCGCGCTCGAACGCAACGTGGGAGGTGCGCGTCCACCTTCCACAAATGGAACAAAGAATCACCGGGCCCGCCACTGTCGTGAAGTCCAAACAACAAAAAACATTTCACGCTAACGAATTCGCCATCCACGTAACATCCAGTCTCTGCGATATTGCAGCGGCGACTGCCTCCTTTGGGTCAGTTGAAAAAACGTAGCGTTCAACTATACACAACGCACCACATACTCATTGAAGGCTAGGCTGACCTAGGGTAAAATAAAATAAATCACGTTTCTTTATTTTACTACCTACGTGACTTAACGAAAGCTTCAAATCAAGATTGACCTAGGGTAGGCCCAGGAATGGTTAATTTATTCACCACTGCTGTTAGCCGGCATCACATCTGGCCGCCTTTGTCTCTCCAGCGACAATATTTCCACACCGCTCGCTCCAGGTACTCCTTTGAGGCCAAGCCGACCTAAGGGAGACCCAGGACCAGTTCAAATAATCGACACTGGTGCCGACCGTGACCAGGAATCGAACTCACGTCGCCGGATTCATAGCGAGGCACGCGAACCCCGCTGCACCAACCACCCACACAAAACGCACGCGTACGGCAACACACACCCGAGCATAATCTTTCAAACCGCAGCAGTGAGAGACCAGGATGCGGCGCTCACGTTGGAATCGTCATGCTGCGTCTTATCGTCGTCCTCTTCCTCGACAGGCAGCGCGCCGCCGCCTCCGCCGCCGTCCCGGGGCAGGGTGCTGTCCCTGGAGCAGCTGCCGTCACGCGGCGAGCGGATTCCGACCGCCGCGACCGACGCCAGCGCGCCGGCCGCCTCGGCGCACGAGTGCGAGCTCTGCCGGCCGGGACGTGGCTGCTTTGTCCGAGACGGGCCCCCGCGTGGACTCGTGTGGCTGCTGGGCAGAGTGGCGGCGCGGCCCGACTGGGAGCGCGACAGCTCGATGGTGAGCCTCTGTAATGGGATCAAATGAAATCTCATCGGTCTCGCAGGTGGTGGGCGGTGGGGACGACACTGCTTTGTGGCTTCAACCGAGTTGGAAATTTGCGAGGACAGTATTCCCTTGTTATTCACGAGCTTGCCGTTCGCGATTTTGGCTATCCGCGAATCGCATCTAGAACTCTACACGACTGCATCGAGAGAGAGGAAAAAGGTGAGGATAGAGACAAGTGATGAGATAAGGTGATGATGATGCTACTGTGCAGCATCATAATTTTATGAAAGTTTATTTTGAAACTATTATTTAGTACTTTATGTTTATTAGAACCATTTTTTTGTGTTGTCATTCTGAGGTTTTTTAATAGATTATTTATGTAAGGTCATTCATTATCTGCGAAATGTGCTATTCATGAGCATCTCCAAAATGCATCCCTCGCGAATAACGAAGGAATGCTGTACACTCAAACTTCGCCCATCGCAGGTTTTCTCATCGCGGATTTGACCATTCGCGCCAAATTCATCGAGGTATATAGCTCACTGATCACGCCCCTGCGGTTCGACCATTCACGGTTGACAGCAAGATTCCTGAACGCATTGTAAACTAGTACTGCAACCTAAATGCACTGCTCGCGATCATACTACTGCGGGAGAATGTACGTATGTTGAACTTCTTTTTCGCCGTATGTAGCCAATCGTGCTTATCGGAGGCAAGGGACAAACGAAAACACAAAAAAGCAGTTCTAAATAAATTAGTTCTCAATCTTGCTGATTTAAAAGTGCACAGCTCCAGCGACTTCCTAATATCGGAAGGAAGAGCATTCCAGACGGCCGCAGAAGCACACCAGAAAGCGCGCGATGTGGTCACCGTCTTGTTCGATGTTTCGCGAGAATGGCGGATGGACAAAGGCCTCAGTCGCAGCTACGGCGAAGACATGGTGGATGTGGGAGCTGGAGGTAAAGGGTCCTGCGACCGATCCACGACGACACCGCGTCGAGGCGGGACGAGAGAGCGGACAGTGGGAATGGGACGCGGCTAACGTAACCATACCAAGTGAGATATATTCAATACATCACCGAGGGTGCAAGCTGATAGGCACGTATTGATTTACCCCCCCCCCCTCACAATTCAATTGTGGTTGCAACTTAATTAAAAAACAAACATATTTTCAAACTGCACGGTTTGACGCATGTAACGTGAGCATTAGAATACATTTTTTTAAACGAATGTAAGCATCGTTACATGTCTATAACCTCTCAAATTTCGAGTCGATGTGAATTACTATCAACCATATATAAATATATATCCACCAAGGTCGCACAATAGTATAATAAAATGGCACAAAACAACATCGACAAACGACTCTACATGATCGCTCAATCAGGATGTGTGCTATTAACCCTTTCCCGTTCCGAGACATCTGCAAGTTGCAGGGTGGGTGTCCCGTTCACCGCTGAATCCCGGAACGCGCAAACGGCTCAACATTAATTTTATTTAGAAAAGATTACTAGCGACGTTGTTTTTAAAGACATTGTACTCACCGCAGAGAACCGTAGCGACGCAACCACCGCAACTCTACGATAGCTGGCGCCAAACTGTGCCACACTCCGTCCCACATGGCCTTGTGGGAGCCTCGGTACCGATAAAGTTACAGTAAAACATTGGATTGCGAGTAACTTTGGTCTGCGAGTGTTTTGCAAGACGAGCAAATTTTTTTAAAAATATATCAATTTGATAAACGAGCGAGGTCTTGCAATACGAGTAGTACGTGTACACGCTTTGTCTGCCGAGCGTCACGTGATCACAACTGGTATACCAGTGCTTTGATATACGATTGCTTTGATATACGAGTGCTTTGATATACGAGTGCTTTGGATTACAAACACGTTTCTGGAACGAATTATGCTCGCAATCGAAGGTTTTACTGTATTTTATTTTTTATTCCAGTTTCCGTTCCGATGAGGTATGTGTACATCATCGGAATGGGAAAGGGTTAAAAAGTAGGTCAATGGGGGCTGTTTGAGCATATGTCACCATGCTGATTAGTGAGGGTTAGTGAAGCAGTGGGGGGCAGGGTTGGAGAAAGTTGGAGGGGGGGGGAAGCAAGACCGGTTTCAATACCCCTTGCCACTGATGTTAGCCGTGGCCAAGAATCGAACTCAGGTCACCAAGTTCACAGCACAGCACATGAACCACTGTGCCACTACTCCACCCCATGGGCTCTTACGTGATTATAAACGATTATTTATTAAAGCTTACATTCGTAAGACTCAAAGGAAATATACCTGTGCTGTGGCCAAATAAAACTAAAATATATTGGTGCACAGATTAGCCTTATAAACAACACTTCCCAAGCACTTATTAACGGTGGCAAGAGACAGGATAGGGTAGTGTGGCAAGCCCCACCGACTATCTTCATTTCCCCAGTATTAATTTTCACAGTGCACCAGATACTCAGTTAAGGCCGAGTTGATCTAGGGAAGGTCGAGTACAGGTAAGTTTATTGAATTTGCACGTCTGGGTTTGTAATGCAGCAGTGTGATAACGACCACACCGTCAGTCTCCACATCTCCAAAATGAACACGTGCGCAAATATTCACAAGTACACAGACAGCGGACAGCAATGGGGGACAGACCTCTTTAAGGTCATTGGTCTGCTGGATGTAGGCTGCCTGTGCCGTCTCCAGCTGGCTGATGTACCACTGCTGGTCGCGACACTTCTGGTGAAACGTGGGCGGGCGTAGCTGAAACCTGCCGGAAGGCACGCATCCGATACAAGCACAGGCAAAACGGAGGCCCAACACCAGCTCACGTCAATGTTCAAGAGGTTAGCATGAATAATACCATTGAAGATTTTTTTTTTATCTACAGACCCGGATATATCGGTGGTTTGTGTTTGACCATACTTCACCATGCTGCTTTGTGAGGGTTTCTGGAAGGGGGTGCCAGGGATTGGTTAACATAACTATCATTGTTGATGTTAACCGTGGCCAGGAATCTAAGTCAGCTTGCTGGGTGCATCGCGCAGTCGGCAAACCACACTGTGCACCTGCGACACCCCATTCCAGTATTGCTTTGGTTACCGTTATTTTATCAATATCTGGTGAGGTGATACTGTGGCAGAATTTAACTCGCAATCAAAAAGTTGCAAGCTACATTCCAAGTTGGGGATCAACTGATCCCATGAACATCATCCTTTTGCGGTAAATAAAACACGTGCCACCACTTTGCGGGAAATCAACGGTTGCTGTCAAATGTATCGGCTGATCGCTGCCATTGAAAGGCAGAATTCAGGGGGCCACGAAACAGAAATGAATGCCAGCCCACGCTCGATAAAATGGAGATACAATTCCACACGACACATATGAAAGGCGAGTGAACGAAATGGCAGAACCACGTGGTGCTTACCTGAGCACCACGGAGTCGTTGTGAGTGTTGAGGTAGCCCTCGCTGGCCAGGAGGTCGAGGCGGAAGAAGCGGTTGTATCCCCAACACTCTCCCACCTCAAAGTCGGACGCAAACTCGCGGATGATGTTCTTGCTGGGGTCGCTGGACGCCTGGTGCACCATCTCCACCCGGTACTCGTACCTGCGAGACACCGCCGCAGCAAGTTCGAGCCCCGATGATATAGATGGGCCCAACCTGTAGTCGTGCGGTAGGAGTCTTCTTCAATCAAGACCGCTCAAGTTCGCCGTTTGTGTAATAACGTGGCGTTTCAGTTAACGTTATTAGACGCTCGTCCCCATTTAACTCTGAGCCCGTGCTGCACCTGAAATCAAAGTGTCTCCCTGATCAGATGAACAATGAGGAGGGGGCTAATTTCTGCCGGAGGTCTTTAAACCAGCGGCGTGAATTCAACATTCCTATCACGCAGGGTCGGTCTATCCACAGGATGACCACTGTGGACTTCTCACAAAGTGGTACTCATTTTAAGGACCATAGAGGGATGATAGACCAAGTCAAGCTCATAGCGGGTCTTGAACTTTCTATTGCGAGTCACGCACTTTTATGACAGTGCTACAACTAACATCTGTAGATATACAACATTGTTACTGCACTGCTGGATGAAGGCCTCACCACACTGGACGGGTTTATGAGAGTTTATTTGACCATAATTTGCCACACTGAAGAGTGTGGGTTGTCAAGGCTGGGAGCATAGATGTACCGAGCGTAGTTCAGTACTAAATTGGACTTGCCATCTGCTGAGAATGTAACACCCAATGACGATGTGATTGAAACCATGCAGAAAGAAAATATCAAATAATGTAGCGTGCAATCTTACATGTTTCATATTTACTTTAAAAATGTTTGCTTTTATTAAAGTAAAATGTGCATAAACTTATTTATCTTAAGCATATTTACATTAAACATACCTTGTGCAGTGGGCAAACTGACCCCATGTTGTAGTCTGTTAAACCGTTCCCTTCATTTGCAATCACCACCGTGCAATTCATAGAAGAGTAATGTTAACCACTCACTTGGATGTCTCTGGCAAGCCCGCAGAGAGCTCTAAGAACACGGAGAGGTAATTCCCTCGTACCACGCCATTTCCATCCTACAAGGACAGAGGGTGTAATCATTGCCATACAACAATCTACCATTACCACCATGATCCCTGCAGCAAGAACAATGTAAGCACGGGACAAGCTTGTAAGCCAGTCCATTAAGTGATACACCACTTCGTGGTTTAATGCTATGTCATTTGAGTCTAAAGTGTTGGGGTACGGTGTTTGATGGACAAGTGAATTTGCAATGCCAGGCAAATCCTCATGTATTCACGACTGAGCTCGAAACCTCGTGCGTGAATGGTCCGGAAATGTTTTCTTTTTGTTAACAATCGAAAGTCTAGTTTATTAGCACTGATAAATGTATGTGTATGCGTGCAGACACATGACCACATCAGAGTGGTCTGTAACTAATACATGAAATGTGTGTTGAACTTCTTCGGCACCGTACGTAGCCAACCGTGCTAATTGGAGGCGCAGTACTAACGTGGGCGTCGTGTTCGTTTTTATCAACCAAATATAACATTACACAATTTTCACGCGAGATTAGACACACACACGTTGCTGGGTTGTTGTACGTTACGTTTGATTTTTTCATATTTTCTATCTAAACGATAGAACGACATTCAATGGAGCTCAAGGTCAGCCATTATGCACGATTAGGGGGGCTTCACGAGCCTCCTCCATTCTATAAAGATCCCCCGTATAGCCTGTAGGAGACTGCCGAAGCAAGTGCCGTTAGCGTGCAACTAACTACGAAGGCCGGCACGGCACACGAGGTGGTGGGTGGCCAGCATCACGCCCGGCCGCCTTTGTCTCCCCAGTGGTGATGTTTACCAGACCAGGTACTCATTTGAGCTTGAGTCGACATAGGGGAGGCCCAGTACCGGTTCAAGTAATCGTCAGTGGTGTTGGCCGTGAGCGGGAATCGAACTCTGGTGGCTGGATTCGTAGTGCAACGCGCACACACTCACCGGGTACACTTTGAGCCTCCAGCATAGGCCGGACACCTGCAGCGGAGGGCTGTACACTGGATCGGCTCTCTGCCTCAAGATGCTGCGTGGCAAGTGGGGGACAGATGGCACCACCGCTCACCATTAAACCCACCAAAAGCAGGCACAACGATCATCAACGCGTATCCGTTTGGACAGTCGCCATCATTTTACACTGCCTAATTTAATGCCGTAGATGTTGGCTAATAATACAGTGGGGCAGATGTGCAAAGTAGCATGAAGCAAATAATGCACGTTGTGATAATAGCACAAGATGTGGCAGGATGCTACGTGAATCCCTATGGCCAGATCACCCATAATGCACCTGGTCTAGTCAGATCTCAGGATTGAGCCTGGAGAGTTCTTGAATGGGTGAAAGCCAAGCATAACAGGTTTTGTAGGTAGCGTATGCACAGCTACGTGGGGGGAACAGCAGAGAGCAATGCGGCAATTTTTTTAAATGTTAGTACACCTCTATGTTACCAAACCTTCCATAACCTACACTGACAAGCATGGTGAAGTATGGTCAAACACCCGCCATAGCCGACATGGTGTGGGGGAAGGCCATTATCTTGCACAGGATTGACAGGTTACACTACACTATACTCTTTGGTTTTTCGGTAAAGTCACAATGGGTGGGGGGGCTGGGTGGGGAGGGGTGGGGCTGGGTGGGGAGGGTGGGAGGGTTGGGGCTGGGTGGGGAGGTGCTGGTCAACCCGTGGTGCCCTTATAAAACTCAACGTTTAACCTACTCACGCCGGCTTGTGCCCGCCCTCACAGTCGGGCATATTTGCGGAATCCACCACGCCGCCGTTGACCCTGGCCATTGACCGAGAAACCCAACGTTCCTACCAGCTCCCTCCGCAGGAGGAATGTGTTAATTTCATTTGTTCACTGCCCATTGTGTAATGTCAATCTCCCAAAGTGTTTTTTTTTTGTTCACCTCGACAATTAATTGTTGACGAATTGTTGTTGTTAAAACCACCAAATGAATCGTCGATTCTCAAGTGCGTACCAATCACGGACACCCACCTGAAGTTTGAGAGCACAAACGTGCTGGAGTCATAGGCAGGCACCAACTCACTGTGAAATTGAAAAACAGAGAAGCGTACGTATAACCGCCATTAAAGTGCACATCACGTTATATAAATCTTAAATGCATTGCAGTGAACAGAACCATACATCAATGTTATTGTCAGAGATGTAAGCACAAGGCTTGCTTGAGATGGAGATTATCAGCACAAGGCACTACCCACTCAAGTACAATGTATGCCTATGCATAATTTTCCTATATTATTTTACCTTATCTGATAATCCTGTGAAGATAGTTATACATGTAAAAAAAAGGTGAGATGGATATGGCATGCAAAAATAATTCCCTAAAGCAGTTTTTTGGACTGTTCTGGTTGAAATTAATCACCGGAATGAGTATTGAGTGAATATATACAAGGTTGAAATGTTGATATAATGTGAAGCCAACATTAATTTTATACATGTGGAAAGTTACACAATTTTGGGTTAAACAAATGTTTTCCGGAGGAATCTAGAGCTCTAAACGTTAGTGTTGTTGTGACAAAACAACGTAATATATCAACACACTGTTCATGGAAATGTACTCAAAATATTAATTAAAAATGCGAGGCTCAAGATTAGGAGCGGTGATTGACAAGTTTTAGCTCGACAGAGCAAATGGCAAGTAACTGATTAAAATGTTATTTTACAACACGATCCTCTTCAAATGTGATGCACTTCGTGCCGATTGGCGCTCCAGGGCTTTAAGCCCTGTCTGGAAGAAGTCTTTGCTTTAATCCTGACATCTTTTGGACACATCCCTCCATCCCTCCCGTCTGTCCCGTATGAAACCCCCTACTTGTCACGAGAGGCGTTCTTTCATTGCGAGTATTTCTTAGAATGTGCAGCAATTTAATGGAAGCCAGGTCCACCCCTATGATTGTTTTCCCAGGTTTAAGCATTTTTTTTTAACTAGGCCTGTGCATATTCTTGGTTCTTTCGGTAAAGTCACGTAAGGAAAAAAACGCCACTTTTTAAAAAAAATTCTTGCTGTAGATTTCACACCTGATGATGATTGCTTGTGTTGCAGTCGAAACGTCGTGAGAATTGTATTGTTTAATATTTTTATTATTTTATTATTTCCATTCTACGCGACTCTACCGAAAGAACTAAGAATATGAATCCCTGCAGTCACGAAAGCTTTAAATCAAAATTTAGGCCTGTGCATATTCACCTTGCTCCTGCCTCCTGAGTGAATTTAAAAATTCACGGTTGTGATTCGATTAACAATATAGCGCAGCTGTGTAGCACCTCTAGCGGCTCCACGGATTAAGTGAACCAATGCATTGTACGTGAATAACACAACTGATTGACACGCAGGACTTGACGCACGTATCCTGCGGCATAACAATACATTTACATCACGAATTGATGCATCTATACACCCATAGTTTTGATCCGTTCTTCTTTCAATGTCTCTAATCTTTTCAGATTTTTTTATTCTTTATGTCACTAAGAAAAACCCCCATTCCAATTGTCTGTAAAAAAAAACAAGGTTAATCTTTTACCATGACATTTGATAATCCTAAATAATGTAACACTCTGGCACCACGGTGTAGCACCGCTTCTCCTACGTCAAGTCACATGCAGATGTTTTGACCCTCCCTCGCCCCACGCCACCTCATGAGAGTATTTTGGTTCGTGTCTCTCCCACCTCGTGAAGTCAGGGGGCACCGGCGCAGTGACGAAGGAGGCCATGGGTCGGCGATGGACCTGCTGAAACATCTGCAAGATCTCCGCACTCTTCATGATTAGTTCACTCTTGCTGCATGAGCGTACCTGCAGGGAAGGGCGGCATATCAGACGTGAACAACAATTATACAACTTTATGCAAAATAACGTGACACTCATTGAACAGAAAAATGCATGCAAGCAGGAAACTGACATTAGCCTCAAGGTTATTCTCTTACAGGATCAATGAATTAAATGAACAGAGAACATTATGTAAGCAAATGTTGCTTTGGACTACATTTTTTGGCAAAATCGTGACCAATTGTCAAAATGATGCATTGCAGCCATTTCATACTGGTAGGAACCTCCTGGTTACACCAGCCCACAGGGGATTATTGTGTCCGTCCGTCGTGCAGGGAGGCGCTGGGTGGGGAGGGAGGGGCTGGGTGGAGAGGGGAGGGTGGGGAGGGGCTGGGTGGGGAGGGTGGGGAGGGGCTGGGTGGGGAGGGTGGGGCTGGGTAAGGAGGGGCTGGTCACCCCGTGTTGCCCTTATAAAACTCAACATTTAACCTACTCACGCCGGCTTGTGTCCACCCTCACAGTTGGGCATATTTGCGGAATACTCCACGCCGCCGTTGACCCTGGCCATTGACCGAGCAACCCAACGTTCCTACCAGCTCCCTCCGCAGGAATGTGTTTAAGATGCGAATCTGTCCCTATACCCAACTCATTGGCAATGTGGTCACAGCACCTGACTCACAATTGCAATGTCGTGACTTAAAATATTGGTTTAGGAATCATCTCAATTTTTCAATGCTCCAGAACAGAACAACGGTGGCTCTTAACAATGACTCTCCAAAGGAAAAACTGGCTACCCACCATGAGAATGTGGAATTTCTGCCACCAGCTCATGGTTATTAACAGCAATGATTGTTGAATCAGAAAGACGCTACACCAAAGGGAACATTACCCGTTTAATGAGCGACACACATACATCTGTCACTTGTAACAATTACATCGGCTGAGCACTCGCCAAATCTGCATAATGATCATACGAGAATGTAGAGCTGCTCGGTTTTTAAGGCACAGTATGATAAAGGAATTAATGATAATGTTGATAATTGCATCCCTTACATTTGCAGGCAGTTGTGATTTTAGTTACACATGAATGGACAAACCCCGACTTTGTGTTTGAGCCAGTGGTAGTGCACTCACGACAGATTAAATGTTGCACTACCTGGTGTTCCACCTCCTGCAGCAGACTCTCCAAAAGCTCCGTCTCTTTCGTCAACGAGTTCTTTTGGCCTAGCCGAACAAATCGACACATTGGCAATCAACAGCACACGGGGAGAGAAAGAGATGCCAAGCCCGGAAACAAGAGGCATACGCATCGGCCGCATTCACAGTGACGCCACTAAGATACGTCAGAGATGGGAAGTTTCATAAAGACAGGGAGCACATTGCATCGGGCGTCTACGGCGCTCACCCATGAGAGTCAGCAGCTTGCTCTTGAGCTGCGTGTCCAGTCGGGCGATCATCATCTCCACGGCGTTGCGGATTTCCCGCACTCGGTCGTCCTTTGCGCCCCTGACGGACTCGACGTTTTTTTCCTGCACACCCGAGTCACGTTTGGATGATCATTTGTCATGCGCTAGAACCCTCCAATCATGCTGCCGTGGTGCAACGGTTAGCAAACGGAGCTTGCATTTCGGTCGACTGTTTGATCTCCCAGTGTGGGCAGTTAAAGCCAAGCGCTACGAGTACACACCGCAGCAAGTTGCTCATCAGGTCACACATGGTGGGGTAAAGTGTGGGTAATCTCATCTCTTCCGAGATGTCTGACCAGCATGGAAGAGTAGGCCAAATATCCTCTAGAGGGGCTCTCTAAAAGCCCTTCTGTGGTGGAGGTCCCTCTGCCAGCAGTGGTGTGAACGAGCAATTGTAGGGCTGCACCTTTACCATTACACTCCAATGTAGCTGGCTGACACACCGCCCACACAGTTGGCTTGCCTGTGATATCGTACGAATCGATATGATGTTATTGTTGCGAGTATATACAGAAATGTCACCGCCTAAGGAATGTGGAATGTCGAATAATATCCAAGGATCACCAACGGCACCCAGTGCTCATTTGCGTAATGTGTCATTAGCAGGCCGAGTAAAAAAAAAAATCAACAAATACGAATTACTCGTTGTGCTCACAAATACGCAAACATATGAGGTGACCTTGTTGAAGGGACACCCTTTGAGCCCGCACATACACAGCGGAATACAACACGAGAGCAATCGGCCAAGACACCGCTGCAGTGCCGGTCTTCAGGCAGCCCAATGCAGTAATTGTTGTTATTCCCTTTGTAATGCAACATTAACATTCCATAAGCATACAAGGAGAAGGCCTTGGTACATTGCAGTCAAACGCAAACCGAGGGTCAATACGTGCCCAAATTAAATTAAACCCACCATATTTTACCCACGTTCAAGCTTGCACATGGGGAATCGTATAACAACAAAAACAATATTGATTCGCCAACCTCAAACCACTGCCCGGTCAAATGCAGTGCCTTTGACACATGGTGCTGTTTGTCATCTTCTATCTAATTTTGTTAGCCCCTTGACATGCCTGAATTGTAACACAAAGTGGTGGCCTCGTTAATAAGTGCTTAAGGAGGGTCACGTAACAGCCACAATACTAGAGACCAAAACTTTTCTACGACTGCCACATTCAAGAACTCTTGAGAAATGTTCCACCCTGGGCTCTATTTTTTTGTATCTGCTCATTATTCTTCGTATGTATGTGTGCGGTTGACTAAGTACGGTGCGAAGAGAACTTCGACATACATACATGTTGAACTTCTTTCGCACCGTACGTAGCCAACCGTGCTCATCGTAGGCGGCGTGGATGCGGCCGCCACTCACCACTTCCTGCACCAGGCTGATGAGCTCCATCAGTCGCCGCCGCAGCTTCCCCACCTCCTCGTTGACCTGTGACACGTGTTGCTCGTAGATCTCCGACAGCGGCTTAAACATGTGGCCACCATGCTGTACAGCGCACGAGATAGATGTGCGCGCGCACACACACACACAAGTTTGCACGCACAACCACTGTTAGCCACTAAGTGTCGGTGACGGCTTGTGCCAAACTCGGTGCACTCGGAGGTCACGTTAAGTGTTGAAGGCTTGCCGACAGGTCACACAGGACAGACCCAGGTGCTGTAGCTTGAGTGAATGGGAAGACTGGCAGATGCACCACCTGTGCTCCCCAACATGCTAAATCGCTGCGTTTTAGCCGCCCGGCGTTCCGATCGTTTTTGTGAGTGTCTATCCTCTACCCTTTGCTGTTGTTGGAGGGCTGGTGCCTCCAACTACCCAGCAGCATTCTTCACGAGCCTCCTGCAGAGAGGCTTGAGCTTGACACCGCTAGTAACAGTAATCTGCAAGTTCAATCAACTCCAGATCTTTCTGTACCACATTAGTCCATCTCTTCTCGAGCCTGTGCCACGCCCCCCCGTTTCGCTCCCTCAATAAAATGGAGCCATACCTTGACTGCACCTGGGCATCGATCAGCTACGTATTGCATCTGTACTAGATACACCAACACAGCCACCAGTCGCCATTAAATTGGCGGTAACATCGCCACAGCGCTTGTGCCAGGCTAGGTGCATTTTGAGGCCACGTGAAGTTACAAAGCCCTTTGGACACATATGCACACATAGAAAGGCACACAGACGCAAATAGAGAGCCAGAACATTCAGGAAAATGCCAACCCGTAATAGTAAACACCTAATAAGGTCGGCATAGGACACGAGGCGGGTGTGGTATAGTCAGCAGGACACCTGGGCACCATTATCTCCCCAGTGCTCAATTAAGGCTAGCACCGATTTAAGACCGAGTTGATCTGGCAGAGGCTTAGAGAACAAGTTCAATCACCAGGTGGCCACATGTGTGCGTGGCTGGGAGTTGAACCCAGTTCACGAGGAAAACAGCTCAGGATGCAAACCACACACAGCTATAATGGTATTGGCTAGTATCGAATTAAAATCAGCAACAACGGTGGTGTCATTAATTCTGGTGATTGGGTTATCAGCAGATCACATCATTAAGGTGTATGGGCCCAATAGATCCATTCATTATGTTTCACAAGTGAATAATGGCATCCCTTGTCAAGAGGTGAAATATCTACCCATTTGCTCATGAAACTAAGATCCTCTCTCTGGTCAATGAGCATTCTCATCAACACAGAAAAAAATAATGCCAATTACAAAAACATCAAATAACACAGGCTAATCTGTCATACTATTGCAGAACATCGCAGAGGACGCAATGAAAACCTGACAAGGCACGTGTATATCTGTGCGGCATTTTCAAATTCCAAGGCAGCTAATCGACACGACAACCTCGCGTTTTATTGAAGCATTTCCGACCGAGGTTGCAAGGGTTTACCGCCTTGGCTCGATCCGTCCACTTCTGGTGGGAGGGCACTATAATCCAATATGAACGAACCTGTAGTACCAAGTTGTGTTGCTATTCGGAAGCCACCTTTGAAAAAACCAAAGTTATTATTTTTTATATGCTCCGAAGAAAGGCCATTGCACAAAAAATTGCCTATTATAAATGTTTCATTTTAAGGCCACAGTGGTATTGACGTATGTATTTGCGTTTTTCGCAAATTGATCATCGGGTTTCTCAAACCATGGAGACACAAACCAGAGAAAAAAAAATGACTTTTTAAATATGCAAAGGTGTTTTGATAGCTACCCGTCATCTTTCATACCACTAACGTTCTTGCATGGACGTTTACCAATCTTTTAATCATCGGTGCCTTGTCACATGCTTTGCGTGCCAACTTCACTCACGCCGAAGTTGCCGGTCAATGCGAGTACAATCCCCGGTGGCTCTTCACATGCAGGGAAGTGAAGCGCCGCCTAAGCCCCCACCTCACTTTCCATTGGTTACCCCCCCCCTCGCTAGCCACACGCATCCTGCGGCAACGTAAAAAACTAAAATGACATTGACACAACACCCAGACGACACAGTCGCCCCGGAGGAGGTTGTTAGGACTGGAACATTTCGGGTCAACACACGTTCATAAGGCTGCCATGGCTACATAGCCGAGAGCGGGCCCAAGTCTCGCATACACAGCTTTAACCCACACATAGTGCGTTCCAGTCTAAATTGATCTGTTACCGTTTTTAATTTACACATCAGTCTATAGTGACCTATGTATACTGTAAATAGCTTTGCAATGTATACAATTAATAAAACAAATACAACTGTATAGTATATACACTCCATGCGTGGTAGAAACACTGTGCATGCAGTATGTATTTCATGCACAGTGTTTTTCAATTAACTGTATATCGCCAGCCACAATTTTCCTCCGCAAGATAGACATTTCTCATTGCATTGAAATGCAACGATCCGCATGGCAATTGTCTCAGCATGTCAATGTCAGCATAAAACCAGCACGTGGGAAAAGGCCCACTGCAATGCAACTTAACTTGAGATAAAGAGATGACGAATGGAAACACGTGCAATATCGTTCCCTGTAACTGTTAGATTTCATGTAGTGTCAAACAGCTGTAAATGTCACGTTTTTGCAATTCACACTGACCTTCCGCTGGCCCATAACACAATACAGTATATAAAAAAATACAACTGTGATGGCACCGATTTATACAGGAAGGCCTCGCCGAGTCCCGAAGTTTGTTTCGTTGATTTCAGGAGGAAAAAAAACACGCATATACGATTGTGGAATAACACTCATACAGTCTGCACAGATGGGTTGACCAACACATTTGGTGCACTGCCATCTCCAGGCCACCTCAGAGGCCCAGCGGATACAACATTTTCATAAACCTACGTGGGGGATCTCGCCACCCCGAGCACAGCTTTGCCTAGCTCACAAAACAAACAACTACAAAAACATGAACGTCACGTGGAGACATGCCATGGATCCACGTCAGGGAGACGGCAAGCACCGCCTCGGGTTCTGGTAACTTGCAGGTGACGTGAGCATGCCCTATTAATTCACGAGAGCACAACAGGAAAGCGGAAACTACATTCGTCGTTCCACTCGTGGCTGCTGCTGGGCTGCCACAAGACCTGTTCTCTTGGGAGGGTGAACAGACAACTTGGCTAGAAGACCTCAAATGGATACTCTTAGGTTTTTTTTCTTCGGTAAAGTCACGTAGGTAAAAATAATAAAAATAATGGAAATAATAATAGAAATAAAATAATAAATGACGACGTTTCGGAGGCAACACAAGTCTCCGTCATCAGGTGAAACCGTCACAGCTAAATTTGCTGTATCAAGTGAAGCAAAATTCCAAGAGACAAGCTCTTAAATACAAGTTAAGGGGGAGGGGGGGGGCTTGTCGCTTGGAATATTGCCTTACTTGATACATTAAATTTAACTGTGACGGTCCCACCTGATTACGGAGACTTGTGTTGCCTTCGAAACGTCGTGATTTTTTATTTTATTTCTATTAGTATTTCTATTATTTTTATTATTTATTTTTACCTACGTGACTTTACCGGAAAAAAAACCTAAGAGTATGAATCCTTGCAATCACGAAAGCTTCAAATCTAACCTCAAATGGAACCTACTTCCCACCTGACCTGGAGCCATGAGCACACATCTCACATGAAGGTGTTATGTCGAGTGAGACGGCGGATATTTTACTCACCATGCCGCCCCAGAGAGCGCACTGGTGACAGATGCACTTTTTACAGGTCCAGCAGAAAACGCTCAGCTTCTCTCTGTGCAGTTCACACCTGTTATTAAAGGCACCCATAACCAAAATGACCACACAAGTATTACAATCGTAAAAAAAATTGTGAACATTTACTGGTGCTCCCAATATAATTGCATTCCAAATGTCTTCCTGCTCCATGGAATGATTGGAAAGGACTCATCTTGGTTTGTGCCTCTCAGCCGACAGTGACCATTCCATATCCACGTGGCAGGAGAGGCTGGTCTCTTAACAGGACGAGACCACTTCTGACTTTTCACAAATCTGCCCTTGCACGACTGATCCTACAGGGGTGATTGGTCGAGTTGACCCAAGGCTGGCAGTTGAACTCCTAACCCTGCAAAACTGAGTCACATGGCTGCAGCCATAATACAGCCCGGGGCCAAATGTGCGTTAGCTATAATATTCACAGCCCCTTGTCAATCCACTGCTGGATGAAGGGCTCCCCACGCCATATTGGTATCGGGAATTGTATGACCACACTTCACCATGCTGTTTCATTATGAATTTGTGAAAGTGGAGGGCCACAAGACTAGTCGAGATAACACTCGTCACTGATGTCAGCCACGGCCGGGAATTTAACACGGGCTGCCGGGATCATAGCACAGTGCGAAAACCACTGCGCCACCCCTCCACCACTGGCTATACAATAGGAAACATTTGTATCATCCCTCAGTCATCTCACGTGGCTGAGCTGTCAAAAGTGCCATTTAAAAACACCGACTTTTAACACGGCCATTTGGTGCCTGCGCTGGAACTCGACGGTCAAACGACTCAAGGACGTACTTGTCCTTGTCGCCATCCTCCTGCTTGCTAAGCCCACACATGTGCAGTGTGTCCAGCTGCTGTGTGACCTCCTCCGCCCAGCGGCAGTTCACCAGCTCGTGCAGCTGTAAGGGTGCCCTGTGATGACAAAGACAAGAATCACCCATTTAGCCGTAACAGACTGTTGGGGAAAGTGTTGTTAGCGAGCACCTATGAAGGCCGGTACGGTACACTAAGGGGGTGGGTGGCCAGCACCACGCCTGGCCACCTTTGTATCCTGAGTGGCGATGTTTACACACCGAATTAGGTACTCATTTGAGGTCGAGTCGACCTAGGAGAGGCCCAGGTCCAGTTCAGATAATCTTCACTGGTGTTGGACGTGAGCGGGGATCGAACTCGGGTCGTCAGCTCATAGCGCAGTGACGGCACGCACACTTACATTATTTCCCTTTCATACCAACAGTAGCATTCCGTGTCAACAAAGACATACCGACTTGATAATTGATTACCACAGTTTTGCCAAGTTTTCTTTTTCTCTCTGTACGATGTTCTAAAATATCAACGGTTATGCATTTAAAATTGCAATTATTGGTTGCTGTGCATTTTCTAAAAGAGTAATTTTTTAAAAGCCTGTCATGGACAGCGATGTACAAATTTTTGTTCGTTCGTTTCACAATCCGCTTTTCCTGGGGAGGGTCGCGGCGACAGCATGTTGATTAGGATGTACAAATGTTTGAATATTCCACTAGTGCTTTTGAAACCATGCCATGAGGGGAGATTTTAATTTAAATATTAAAAAAACAATCATCATGAAAAATGGCCTCTGAAAGATGACATCAGAACTACCTGTGAAGTCCATTCAATTGGCGGTTATCCACACTGAGGTAGTGCCCCTCACACGATTTGCTATAGAGTGGCCATTACATAGCGCTGGAATGTGCCAAATATGTTAAGTCGTGAAACTGGACGATGCTAAATTCAGTCCATAGTAGTTATTGGTGGCAAAGTTGAATGACAACATTTCTAACATTTCTGCCTTCCATGTTACTAACTACAAACTATGGTTTAGGCCAGCGGTTCTCAACCCATGGGTCAGGCCCCGTGAAAGCCTTTTGGAGGTGGCAGGTGGGTGCAGACTGCCATACGAATACTTAACTTGACTAGAGGCTGGGACTTATACATTTTCTTTGCAAGTATAATTTTACAACTATGAATGTTCAAGTAAAATGTATCCTTTTTGCATACATTTTTACTATCGCTGTTATGTTTCCGTCATTAATAGTCGTTTATTTTGTTTATGTACGATCGCTTAATTTGGCTACCTACATAACTTTCTCTGTCATTTTCCACCATTGGCGACCAGCTTGGGCCGGATGCCTTTGAAAAAGTTAATTTCAGCTCATCGGGTTCTTGCGGCTTAAATAATGCCTGCATGTCTGTCTGTAGAACCGTGGACGTGCGATCTCTCCATTGTGACCTTAGTGACCTGGGGGTGGGCGCAGGGGCACCAGTGGTCTTGATTGGGCCCGCCGTACCAAAAATGTTGAGAACCACCGGCACAAGGCGCTGGTAATAATAGCAACTCAAACACTGTGCTGCAATGTGCTTCTGGATTTCATGTCCTGTTAATAAGAGCTACACGCAGGTGCAAGCTTGATACGATAGCTGTATTGAAATTATTATTTTTTTACACTCAACTATTGTGTAATATTTAATTATTTCAGGTTTTTTTTAAAAATCGTAGCAACGTTTTCAAGAGACCCTTGGTCTCTTAATAGACTACCTAGAAAATAAGGGGTCATTTATATATCTATCTGCCCACGACATGATATAACAATACAAGTTGCTTGTTCAAATTCAGTTATAGCCTCAAACCTGACCCTCTCAGTGAATAGCTGAGACTTAAGTTAAAGTAACAAAAACACCTTTCATACCTGCAGTGTGGACATTGAGCTCTCTGTTCTGTGAGCCACCGCTAGAAAAACAAAGCGAGCAGTGAAGCTTCATTCACAAATAACCACACCATAAAATGTTATCAACACAGCATTGCCCACTGTAACACGTTAACGGTTTAAGTAAATCATGTGCGTAGTGTCGATCTAGTTTTACATTTTAAAGGCAATTCGACGATGTTCACTTTGAGAAAAGAAAACATGATGTGCAATTGTTTGAAGGTGTAGTTTGAAGGTATTGCTTGCATCAATTAAAACTCGTAAAAATTACGCTAAAACTGCATCATAATTTCAACGGAGTGCTCTTTCCAATAAGATCTGGCATTTTCTTAACAAGCTGGATTATACTGGAGAGACCGATCCAGTTTGCATGATTAACAAATGCTTCTTGATAATATGGTCCGGAAAGCCAATATGCTAAATGAACCAAAAATATTTGTATTTTTATGTCTGGAGACAGAACCAAGTTCTGCTAATATTTGCTCTTATCCACAGCAAAGCATGGGTCTGCACAATGTTAATTAGTTGTCTTGCACAATTTGGCATATACAACGCAACACTTGATGACGTCACTGTACCCATATTCTTGGTTCTTTCGGTAAAGTCACGTAGAAGGGAAATAATACAATAATAAAAATATAAAACATGATTTTTTTTATTTCCCTTCTACGTGACTTTACCGAAAGAACCAACAATATGAATCCCTGCAGTCACGAAAGCTTTCATTTCACTGTACCCGTATGCAGCTGAAGCAGCAAAGCTTGGAGCAGTGGGGACAGAGGCGAGCGTCCCGCAGCTTTTCCATGCAAATGAAGCATCGGAACACCTCCGCGATGCTCTACAAAACCACAGACCGATTCCTCTCAGTTGCCTGTACACGTTAGGGAGCTTTTTAAAATCTTCTGCGGAATAATGGCCCTCTCCACACCGTGCCGTTTGTAGTGGGCATTGTTTAACCATATTTCACCACGCTGTGCTAGTTTGTGAACGTGGACAGCAAACACATGGGTGGATAGAAGTACAGTATAACAATGGATTTTGCTGCACTGCCAGCATGTAGCAGCGCTGGCATTCAGTATTAACCCGTTGAAACAATACAAGGCTCAAACCCTGCTTTTAGCTTTCAAGATCTGATGAGAATGGGCACATTCCAGGCGACTTGGTGACAAGTCTGCAATGATTTAAGAGAATAACTATGCAGTTATGCATTTGAATTAAGACATTAAATATCGAGATTACCAATTACTTGGTTAATACAAAGAGGATCCCACATGAACACTGTAAATTCATTATGTAAAAAAAAAACTGCATGCATCGACTAAATCATAAGATCACCGTAATTCATCGAGTCACCAAAAGCTAACAGAAAGTTTCATTATTTTCATTGTTCATTTTCACGTGCCTCAGAAAATAGGCACCGTGCGTGGCAATTAACAAACATCGCAGTGGACGAGGTTAGTCTATGCAATTATTGAAGCAAATCATCAGCAGCACATTCAGTGTATTTCGTTATATCCAATCGATGGCGAGATAATTACGTGCCAAAAGAAATAGACTGACAATGGAGTTCCTGGTAGGGGCACATGAATGCAAAACGAACTCTGCCGCCCTGTCTTAAAACTGGTACATTAATGCAATTAGTACATTGGCAAAAAAAAATGGCTAGCACATACAGTCCTATAGAGGCAAAGGGTTTGTAGAGCATGTAGATTTTTTTAAAACCCCAGGAGGTTATTAGAAGATGACTAGAATAAGCTTACATGTCTGTGCACACCTTTGAGTGTTCATATGCATGGGGGGGGGGGAGTTCACTAGCTGTTCTGGTTTCTTCACACACAGAAAATACTCCTAAAAATCCATTACTCAAATATCCCAATGCGAGACCCTTCCTGAAAATTTGTATTGCAACCATCCAAGGTGTTCCTGGATAAATATTACGATTATGTTGTGTTATTTCAAAAGGTATGTCTAAAATAGAGATAAATAAGCGGAGCCATGTGTAGCAGGCAGAGTCAGATCTGGCTGAAGAGGAAAGTATAAGACAGCAATAAGGCGAGTATTAACAGATAAGAATGGCAAGCATAAAATGAGAATTACGAGTTTGATATCTGGGACCACAAGAACTGATGAGACATCTATAAAACAAGGAGAAGAGAAAGGCAAGGGTGGTGCTGTCTATCTCACACACGCTGAGAGAAAGTAAACACAGATGGTTTAGGGCAGGTCTTGGAAGCAATAGGGTAGTAGAGACTGAGAGAGGCAGGCACGGGAAGAGGGTGGTTCAAAGTGGTGAACCAGGCGTATTAACGTGGAGATGGACCCAAGCAGGAATGAGTGAATGCAGACCCCAAAATTTGGAAAATGCCAGGGAGGTTAGAATTGATTACCCAAAAATTTGCCGACTATAACAACAAGCAGGCAACGTTGTCGTATTATCTCACCTCGACACTATTTTCATCCATGGTGCTTTGGTTAGTGGTACGGCAGTGTCAAGGAGCAGAGCGAGAAGTAGCCAAACGTTCCAAGCGAGGGAAGCAGGGAGGCAGGTCAGCGCACTTTCACCAGCAGTGGAGCAGCACTACTGGACGACTGGCTTATTTAAAGACACTCAACTTTCACACCATGCCTACAGTTCAGAGCTGCACAGAAACAAACACATACAACCCCAGTGTAAATATATTACAGGTAAATGGCTACTGCGTTTTACACATGGCGGGGCACTTGATTTACAATTGGAAGACTGCCAGTTAAAATAATCAGTTAGGGGTCAAATCCCTCATGGGTTGATAAATAGGAGCCACTCTTATGGAGGACAAAGTTGTTGTCTTCATGAGAAATGGTTTAATGCCACAATGTGCAATTTCCTCCAGTGGCTGAAGCCCTTCAAGAGATCAACGTTGTATCAGAAATGGGATTAATTCATTGAATGTAATTGGTCACTCGTGGAATTGACCAAACGTGTGAAGGCAAGACCCTCCTAAAAAAGGTTTTCGAGATTCATTAAAGCTTTCCTTATTCAGAGGTCAACTTTGAATTTGATCAACAAACGTGTGTTGGATCCTTAACTTCTGCAAGTCAACATACGTTTTTCCTTATCTCTAAAACCACAATAAACCTTCAATTGTTGATAAACAAGCTGCAGGCCATCATAATTTGTCATCCCACGGAGGACTGGCCCCTGCCATGAGGCATGGAACTTATACCACTGATGCAGATGACCACATATTCCTGCTGGTTTGGGCAAGCATGTTGTTAGTTTGATTCAACAAAAATTATGTTCCTTACCTACACTAAACAAAAAGCAATGCATCACACAAGCTGTATTGGTCATGGTTTAAGCACATGCACATTCCAGATGATTTCAATGCAACGCGGTTGTCAACAGTATTTGACATTAAGTTATTGCATGTGCTCAAGGTTGCCATGGGAGATGCGAAAGGCCCCCCACTTATCTCTTTCTCAAGAAGACAGTTTGACTTTAGTTTTAACTTTCAAACACTTGCAGTTTTTGTACCAGGCAGGGCAACTCTGTTGTCAAACATTCTCGATCATGAGTTTAGAATTCAATCCCTTCCTGGAAACGACTAAGCTAAACATCGCCCTCTGAGCCCGTTGTCATTAGATCCACTTTGTGAAAAGTCTCCTGAGAAAATTGATTTTACCATGGAAATACAGATATTCCACCACCGGATTCAAGGTCGCCAACGGAGATGAACATCGTCCCATAGCTCATTCGAACGGGGATACATTTTGGCTTTGACTTTATTCATTATACCATAGCCATTGGGGCCTGTACCCCAATCTGTGTTAACATTGATTGGGATACCATCGTGGTAGCATTTAAGACTCTTAAATATCAACCCGGCGACTTAAGTTCACTTGTCGGCAGAGGCGAACATCTGAACCGGCCCATGCCCACCTTCGCCAACCCGCACTGACCAGCGTGGTGAAGTATGTTCAAACAACTCCCTATGACCGACACAGCAGAGAGGGAGGCCTTCATCCAGCAGTGGAGCTGACGAAGCAATAACTACATTGGGTGGCAGCAGCCTTCGCTGCGGCCACTGCAGTCATAGACATACAAGTGTCCGCTCTAACGAGACGCACTGATCTTGACCGCCTACCGGTGGAAATTCAACCACGACAGGCAGAGAATGCCTGTCATAATCATCAGCCACTGGTTAATCCACTGCTGGATGAAAGCCTCAAAGGCCGCCCCAAGCCGTTACCAACTCCCAAGGCCCTGCGATGTAAGAATCCACCCAGCAGCACCTGCGCGCAAGCTCATCATTGCTCCATCTCCACGGTGTACGTCCTCTGTGGGAAGCAGAGAGTTTCTCAATTGGCTGGGAGTTGCTGTTACGGCCCTTAGCCAATGGTGGAAATTCCACAATCTCAGGATGGTGGATTTTGGAATAAAATAGGCAACGCTTATATCCAAAATTGCCGCAAATAAATAAGCAGATAATACGCACGCCTCCTTCACATGGAATGTCCTTCCACCCTCAGACATTACAGTACTTTTTTTCTTTACACATTTCATCAGCCACACGGCCTTCTGGAAAACGCATCATTTCAATAGCATTGGTTGAACGCCAGCAAACAATGCCTCAACTAGCAGAAGTCCGGATTGCTTGACCGGTCCATAGTTAACTCGCGTTGAGCGAATACCGCTGAAATTATGAAACTTCCCTGGGCTACAGGTACTGGTGAGGCCCCCAGTAATATTTTCAAAAGGAAAACAAAGTTAAAGAAACACAAAATTGATTTTTACATGGCTAACCACAAATAAAATTCAGCATTCACAAATGAATTAACATTTCACTTGGAGGCCCTCTAGCTGGCAGAGGACCCTGGGCTTGCAGCCCTTAATCTGGCCCTAACCATAATACAGGGTTTTTTTATGGGGTTAGATCACGTAAATATATAAATGTGTCGCCACCACCCGACACAGCCAATTAGTAAGGTTTGTCACGTAAACAGAACATGCTGGTTCATGACTAGTACAGTACTAACCGGGGTGTTGGAGAGCAAAGCCACAACATTTACAATCTGAGTAACGACGTTTCGCCAGTAATTGCAACCAGCTTCATCAGGCGACAGCCAGATTTGTGGAGAAATCCTCCTGTTTCGTTCCTTAGAGGGCTAGATGTGCTGGCACATTCATCAATTTACGCGTTCTAACCCCCACAAAACCCTGTATTATGGATATTTGATCGCGAAAACATTCTCATTACGTGTTAAACTGACAATTGTGATACCCGAGGCACTGTACGGCAATACCGAATTATTCCGTTCACATTCGCTAGGGCGATGGAACGCGTCCGGGAGGACATCCACGGGAGGAGACGGAACGATGTCACCATCTGGGGTGCAAGTGGTGGATCCTAAATCGATGTCTGCATCGGAGGATTGCGAGGGATGACGGCGGCTTGGGGAGGGGGTGACTCTTCATCCAGCAGTGGATTGGTCTCGGCTATTGCTCCTGCTGATGGTGGTGATGGTGACAACCGGGCCCCTAATCTATGCTCACAGCGATCGGGATTGGCGGTGCTTCTACTCCTGTCCTCCCCCCCCCCTTCCGTTTAACGACCTCGAACAGATACGGCCACTCCACATTGCCGCGGCGGGGGCCGGTGCGGCAAGAGACGCGCGCCGAGCGATGTTGTAATCGCTGCAGCCATGGTAACAGCGGCAGCGGCGGCGGGGGGGGGAAAGAAGAACACAGCAGCAGCAGAAGCAGCAGCAAGCTCGGCAAAGAATTTAAAAGAACCAACCAAGTACACGAACGGCCGCCGCGTTCGCACGAGGAGTTACGCACAAGCGAATTAAAAAGAAAGCCACAAGATAAGACGAGAGAGAAAAAGAGAGAGAGAGCGAGAAAGAGAATGTTAGCGACGGTTTAAATGTGTTTAAAAAATAATAAAAAATAAACAATCCCGGAGGGTGAACGCGCAGCGGTCGTCTCACGTACGTTCACCGACTTCATCGCTAGACCGCACTAACGCGTCGCGCGCCTCGACTCGTCGCTATTTATAGTGCGCAGCAAATCCCCCCCCACCCCCCACTACCCCCTTTCCACGCCTCTCATTGGCTCAAACGACAAAGCAAGCGCGCCGCTGATTTGTTAATACAGGGGGGCCCCGTCTCGGCGCTCGGCCAATCAGAGAGGGCGCACGCGACGGTCTGTGCTACGAGGCTCTTTGCGGCGACGCGGAGCTTTGCGTGATGACGTCGTACGGGGCTCGCGTGACGTCATGACGTGAGAGCACGCTCGTTGTTGCGGGGGCTCACAAGACGTCACAACACACGATGGTAACGTGAAGACATCGTGCGGGGCTCGCATGACGTCATCACGTGAGGTTACGCTCGTGCGGGGCTTGCATAACGTCCACTACGCGATGACGTAGTAGCAGGCGAACGTCATCACGTAAGATCACGTGATGACGTTCCTCGAGCTGCTGCTACGTCATCACGTGAGATCTCGCTCGGCCAATAAAAAGCGCGCGCGCGGCCTTTCTCCACGACGCCGCTTTGCGACGCGAATCTTGCGTGATGACGTCGTGCGGGGCTCACGTAGACGTCATCACGTGAGTTCACGCTCGTGCGGGGCTTGAATTACGTCATCACGTAATTTTACGTGATGACGTTGTAGCCTCGAACACGCCGAGCGGTCCACGTGACGGGGGCGGGGCGAGCCGCGTATCGATTCCATTCAAACACATTTCGATTCGATTCGCGATTCCACTACTGTACCGCACTGTATATCAATTGTAATATCGATAATTTTTGGTACAGTCGCCGCTAACGATGCTCTGCTGCTGCTATAAAGTTTTAGTTTAGTTGAGAGATAATCAAATGTGTTTCCTTGAGGCTATTTGTCCGAATAAACGAGATTATTAACGCAATAAATAGTTTACGTTGCATGTACACTGCATACAAGACAACGCGATACAAACGGCGCGGTAGAAATCGAACCGCTATAAAGTCACGCGTTAGGGGCCGCCATAAATGACGTCACGCACCTGGGGGGGGGGTCAGACATTTGTGACGAGTGGGGGGGAGGGTGAGAAATGTGACGTCACATCAAAATGCGCAACTTTAAATAAATATGAAATTAAAATAAACATAAAAAATAAGAAATAAAAAATATATAGAATTGTTATAACAACACAATAAATACGCACTACAATGACAATAGTTTAAAGCGATTTGAAGCATGTTTTATTTTCAAAATAAAAATATGGTTTTGGGGGGGGGGGCATAGCTTTGTGACGTCATAGTTAAGAGGGGGGGGGTCTGACTTTTTGTGACGCCACGTGACTAAGGGCGGGGGGGAGTCAAAAATCGTCCAAAATCGCGTGACGTCATTTATGGACGATCCCCTTAATCGTTTGCCGCGATTGCAAACTCGTAGACGATCGATTCCGACGCTTTAAAAAAAAACAAATCAACGTACAACGGCCTCTAGCGGCTGCGGCTTGCGTCCAATCGGCACGAGGTTGGTGGGGACCGAGAGAGACGGGAGGGGAAGACGATGGCAGTCCGCCGTGCTCTGCACTTCGTGTTCAAAGTGGGAGACCGAGGAGCGAGCCTCTCCTTTTACCGCCACGTGCTGGGCATGCAGGCAGGTAGCCGGGGGTGGTGGTGGTGGGGGGGGTGGGGGTGATGATGGTGGTGTGGTGGTGTGGTGGTGGTGGGGGTGGTGGGGGTGATGATGGTGGTGTGGTGGTGTGGTGGTGGTGGGGGTGGTGGGGGTGATGATGGTGGTGGTGGTGGTGGGGGTGGTAGGGTGGTGGTGGTGGGGGTGGTGGGGTGGTGGTGGTGGGGGTGGTGGGGTGGTGGGGGTGGTGGTGGTGGGGGTGGTGGGGTGGTGGGGGTGGTGGTGGTGGGGGTGGTGGGGTGGTGGTGGTGGGGGGGGTGGTGGTGGTGGTGGGGGTGGTGGGGGTGGTGGGGGTGGGGGTGGTGGTGGGGGGGGTGGTGGGGGTGGTGGTGGGGGGGTGGTGGGGTGGTGGTGGGGGGGGGTGGTGGGGGTGGTGGTGGTGGGGGTGGTGGTGGTGGGGGTGGTGGGGGTGGTGGGGGTGATGATGGTGGTGGTGGTGGGGGTGGTGGGGTGGTGGTGGTGGGGGGGGTGGTGGTGGTGGGGGGGGGGTGGTGGTGGTGGGGGTGGTGGGGGGGGTGGTGGTGGGGGTGGTGGTGGTGGGGGTGGTGGGGGTGATGATGGTGGTGGTGGTGGGGGTGGTGGGGTGGTGGTGGTGGGGGGGGTGGTGGTGGTGGGGGTGGTGGGGGTGGTGGGGGTGGTGGTGGTGGGGGTGGTGGGGGTGGTGGGGTGGTGGTGGTGGGGGTGGTGGGGTGGTGGTGGTGGGGGTGGTGGGGGTGGTGGGGTGGTGGTGGTGGGGGGGTGGTGGTGGTGGTGGTGGTGGCGGTGGTGGGGGGGTGGTGGGGGGGGTGGTGGTGGGGGTGGTGGGGGGGGGTGGTGGGGGGGGGTGGTGGGGGGGGGGTGGTGGGGGGGGTGGTGGGGGGGGGTGGTGGTGGGGGTGGTGGGGGGGGTGGTGGGGGGGGTGGTGGGGGGGGTGGTGGGGGGGGTGGTGGGGGGGGGTGGTGGGGGGGGGTGGTGGTGGGGGTGGTGGGGGGGGTGGTGGTGGGGTGGTGGGGGGGTGGTGGGGGGGTGGTGGGGGGGGTGGTGGGGGGGTGGTGGGGGGGGTGGTGGTGGGGGTGGTGGGGGGGGTGGTGGGGGGGGTGGTGGGGGGGGTGGTGGGGGGGGTGGTGGTGGGGGTGGTGGTGGGGGTGGTGGTGGGGGTGGTGGGGGGGGTGGTGGTGGGGGTGGTGGTGGGGGTGGTGGTGGGGGTGGTGGTGGGGGTGGTGGTGGGGGTGGTGGTGGGGGTGGTGGTGGGGGTGGTGGTGGGGGTGGTGGTGGGGGTGGTGGTGGGGGTGGTGGTGGGGGTGGTGGTGGGGGTGGTGGTGGTGGGGGTGGTGGGGGTGGTGGTGGTGGTGGGGGTGGTGGGGGTGGTGGTGGTGGGGGGGTGGGGGTGGTGGGAGGGGTGGGGGTGGTGGTGGTGGTGGGGGTGTGGGGGTGGTGGTGGTGGGGGTGGTGGGGTGGTGGTGGTGGTGGGGGTGGTGGGGGTGGTGGTGGTGGGAACGTCATACTCTTAGTTCTTTCGGTAAAGTCACGTAGGTAAAAAATTAAATTAAAATTAATAAAAATAAAGCAATGAAAATCACGACGTTTCGGAGGCAACACAAGTCTCCGTCATCAGGTGGGACCGTCACAGCCAGATTTTGATGCAGCAAAATCGTGCTGTGACGGTTCCACCTGAAGACGGAAGCTTGTGCTGCCTCCGAAACGTCGTGATTTTTATTTCATTTAACTTTTATTAATTTTAATTTTTTACCTACGTGACTTTACCGAAAAAAACTAAGAATATAAATCCTTGCAGTCACGAAAGCTTCAAATCTAGAATTGAACGTCACGATGTTTGTCGTTTATAGTGAAAATTCCGTCTATGATCACTGTTTCGTGGCTTTATTTTGGTGATTTCGAAAAGTTTTTTGGTTTGGCCATGTGTGTTTGTTGTAGTACGGAGTAAGACTGATGGCCTTAATCTAAGTTGTCTTGTGGTTGTTGTTGTTGTTTGACTTGCATCCCACTGGGGTGTTTGCACACAGCGTTGGTGTACGGTGATTTTTCTGCAATATTTTGTTGTCTTTACTTGGATTTTCTGTTTGCACTTAGTCACATAGTCACTTTAAGATGTTTTCTTGTTTATGTTTTTGTTTGTTGCGGTTGCACCCGATTCAAGAGCCGAATGGCTCACACACGGCTATACCTAATCAATGAACTTGAACGTCCACGGCTGCGTTCGATAGATGTTTGGTGGTCGATTGGGACGACTCATCTCTAGTCACTGGAGTTGTTCGGTGGTGGCAACAACAACAAATAGTTAAAGCACTTTGCGAGGAAGTGCACAGTAAATTATCCGTGGGGATGGATTGGATTCCCGGCATAGGCATGTGGAATTTTCACAATCGTATGTTTGCCTTGACACGCCAGACAGACGTGATCGATGGGTGTCTGTCTCTGTGTTGCGGCTTTAGCTGAGGTCGCGATTTGATTAAGAACGGAGACTGTTGTGGGCATTGTAGCGCCTCTGGTGGCTGTAAGATTCTTACACATTACATAAACATTACTCAATAATATCCATTATAGAGGTTTTTTATGGGTTAATTCGCGTAAATATATAAATGTGTCGTTAAAGCCGCCACCACCCGACACAGCCAACTAGTTAGGGTTGTCACGTAAACAACACGTGGACAATTCGTCACTAGTACAGTGTAGTGTAGTATATAGTGTAGTGTATAGTGTAGTGTATAGTAGTGTGTAGTGTAGTATATAGTGTAGTGTGTAGTGTAGTGTATAGTAGTGCAGGTGGAGAAATGGGGAAAAAAACAATCAAATCGATAAACGCTCCCCTGAAGCCCCTCCCGTCGTTGCTCGCAGATCTCAACGCGGGGGATTGGGGCCGTCCATAAATGACGTCACGCGATTTTGGATGATTTTTTACTGACGGACTAATGCCCACTGGCTTACAGGTCGGTGCACTGCCTTCACCTCGTGCCGTACAGGGACAGCCACCTGCCGCAGGGCGCGCCGAGAGACGTACCGCACGGCAGGCGCGCTGTGAATATTCAGCGATGATGTAAATGACTGTACTTTGAGCATTTTTAGATGAGGCACAACGGCTGTTGGTTTTTTTTCTGCTGAGATTTCCCCAACGTGAGCTTTATTCACGCCGCGTGCTGTCACTTTGCAGGTTTTGAGACACGAGGAGTTTAAGGAAGGATGCAAGGCCACATGCAATGGGTATGTTCAGCACACGGGTGGACGGTTACATTCGCAAACACTCATTTGGTTCTGCAGCTTTCTTAATTTAAACACGTAGCCGGAGGCTTTCGCGACCAATTTTATCCAATAAAAGAGGTTTTTGGGTAAGATTGCATAAATATAAATGTGTCGTTAAACCCGCCACCAACCCGACACAGCCAATTAGTAAGGTTTGTCACGTAAACTAGAGGCCGACCGAAATTCGGTTTCGGTTTTGGCGCCGAAAGTTGACGAATGGCCTCTTTCGGCATAGTTTCTGTTTCGGCCGAAGCCAAAAAGTTAACTTTCGGTTTCGGCCGAAACTGATATTGACTTTCGGTCGTCATTTGTTAACCGAAGATCTATTTTTAGAATATAACGCTAGTGCTACGTCTATCATTCTGCCTATCGGCCAGTCAGTCGGCGCTAGGCAATCCTATGCGATAGGCTGCAAACACACGTCAGCAGCAGCAGCAGCTTGGGAGCGAGGTTACAGCCGCAACCACGGTCTGCTAATTTATATTAGAGGCCGACCGAAATTCGGTTTCGGTTTCGGCGCCGAAAGTTGGCGAATGGCCTCTTTCGGCAAAGTTTCGGTTTCGGCCGAAGCCAAAAAGTTAACTTTCGGTTTACTTTTGGTTTCGGCCGAAAGTAAATTTTTAACTTTCGGTCTGGTTTCGTTTTCGGCCAAAACCAGAAATTCAGTTTCGGTCGGTCTCCAACGTAAACAAAATGTGCCAATTCGTTACTGGTTCAGTTCAATACACCGGTGTGTTGGACTCTGGTAAGTGTGGGTTGGTGAAGGAGGTAAACCTCGAGTACAAGCTCACACATCACTGTTTGCCACAATCCAAAACTCAGCTCATTGTGTTTGTAGCGCGTTGCTTTAAACCACTGCATCACCATTCCACACCATCGCCATATGACCCTGTAAGTTAGCTGGTAATGTTCCACTTGACCGTGTTGGGCGTTGTGACAGGCCCTATGATGGCACGTGGAGCAAGACCATGATCGGCTACGGGCCCGAGGACGATCACTTTGTTGTGGAGCTCACCTACAACTATGGGATTGGCACGTACCAGCTCGGCAACGACTTCTTGGTAAGGCCGCCTCTACTGCCAGAGGCGAAACCTGGGAAGGCCGAGGTTTGCATCCCTCTGTGTGAATCTTCTAACCACCTGGAACGCGTCCTGTCCCAGTCTGATCTCCGAAGCTGTGCAGAGTTTAGCCTGTTTAACACGAAGGCTTTCGCGACCAATGTCCATAATACAGGTTTTTTTTGGGCTAAATCGCATGAATATATAAATGTGTCGTTAAACCCGCCACCACCCGACAGCCAGTTAGTTAAGTTTGTCACGTAAACAGAACGTGCCAATTCGTCACTAGTACAGCACACTGGTGTGTTGGAGAGCCAAGCCACAACATTTACATTCTGAGTACGACGTTTCGCCAGTAATTACAACGAGCTTCATCAGGCGACAGCCAGATTTGTGGAGAAATCCTCCTGTTTCGCTCCTTAAATAGAGGGGTAGATGTGATGGCATCACTTGTGAGCAATTCTTGCACGAAGTGGTGGGGGGGGGTTAATGAATGCATATAAATGACAGTCGGTATCCATTGGCGGTTGGGTTATTAATATGGTAATCAACGCACATTATGCATGCACGTTATGCAAGCACATTGTACTTGTACATCTTGTCGATTGTGTGTACTAATGGAGTTTAGCCAGCCTAGTGTTCAGATGCACAGCCACTTTGGTTGCCCGGTTGTCACCGAAGGCTGCAGAGTGGTGCTACGTAGCAGTTAGCATTCAACAGAAGTGTGGCAAAAAGCAGTGTTGTGCTGGATTTCCACGTCACCATATCTAGGTTTCTGCCTTCAAATGTAAATGTCCAGTGTGGTGAAGTATTGATAAAACATATATGGATAAATAATAATGTAGGTTTTTCAAGTGCCCTTGAACAATGGATATCAGAGTGTCATACATATGAATGAGGAAATAAGCGATGAGTAACCCAGGGAGAGAAAGACTAAGGAGACAACAGCACCGTTGGCTACATACGGTGTGAAAGAAGTTCAACATACAACTCGAGGGAGAAAGACATTTTGAATAGGTGGCGTCTTCAGCCGGGCTCTAACAGTTTCCATGGACTCCGAGTTCCTTGACCTCCAAGGGCAGGGAATCCCAGAGCCTGGGCACTGTGCAAACAAACGCTTCGTCATTGGTACCTCATTTGCCAGTACAAATTATGATAATAGTTTTTTTACTCTTTTATCTGGCAACAAAACTGACACCTTTTTTATGAGGAGTCATGTTTGCATAGAACACAATACCTGCGCCTTTTGGCGTCATCTGGTCCAACACCATGTGAGACTAGGCTCTAAGGAAAGCTGTCTCGGGTGTGGACCAATCAACTTCAAGGACAGTGCACATTATCAGAGTTATGTTTTTTGTTTGCATTATGACTGCAGGTATTATGGTCTATGCAAACATGACTCCTCGTAAAAAAGGTGTCAGTTTTGTTGCCAGATAAAAGGGTAAAAAAACAATTATCAAAAGCTTCGTCGTCACCCCAGGTTCGAAGCCTGGAGCATGCATGGTACACTAAGTAGGGCACGATCGGCAGATATCAAGAGATTTCAACGAAATGTATGGCCGAATCAACCCCTAATTTCTTTAGAACTGCTGTTTGTGTTTAGTTTGTTGTCCTTCCCCTGCACCTCCGATTAGCGCAGCTGGCTCCGTACGGTGCGGAAGAAGTCGTACGTACATATGTACAATCTCAACATGGTGATCTTGAGGACTAATTAAACTGTGCTATTAACTTAACTCATAATGCTGCCAAGCTACCAAACTACTGTCGTAAAATTATCTGGCCGGCTGGTGCTGTGGTTCGAGTAATTGAATCACGATCGGGAGGTCTTGAGTTAAAAACGTCATCCCTGTATTGTCAATAGAATGAATACCGCTTTGTGGTATTTCGTTGGTTGCCTATGGATAGACCATGGAAGTGTTGGAGTTGCCACCACTAGCTATTGACTGTTGATGGATATGACCACCACCCAACACAATTTTGAGCATGGAAGCAATATTTAATTGACAAAACAAACAGGTTACATGTATGCATGTGTATGCATGTTGAACTTTTTTCGCACCGTACGTAGCCAACCATGCGAGTCGGAGGTGCGGAAACTCGCATCTCCTGACCCGCAAGGACATTTAATAATCAACATGCAACCCATAGCCACATTTCTTTTCCGTACCCACTGAGGAAGTTCCCGAGATTGTTAATGCTTTTTGTTGTTGTTGTTGTATCTTCGTGTTTTAAGGGAATGACCATCCAGTCCAGCAAGGCGGTGAAGAATGCAAGGCAGCTTGGCTGGCCGATGAAGGAGTGCGACGATGGCACGTTCGAGATGGAGGCTCCGGGAGGATACAAGTTCTTCTTGATTGACAAGGATGAGCCCAAAACTGGTAAAGACTGCATAATATGACTTTGAGACCCCCCACCATCTACGCATTACACAAGTAGTGACTAATCCCATATCTGCATTTTCCATAAATATGCTAAATTCCTCTGTTGATATGCAAATTCCTTTGTCAAGGCGCCCTTCCTCCTCTAACCAAGCTTAAATATACGCTGCCAAGCTTGGTGGTGTTCATTCAGACGCTGTCTTTCCGACAGACCTGTTCTTCACCTGAGGACGGCTGCTTGCGTTGTGGCCGAAACGTCGTGAGAATTGTATTTTATTATGTTTTATTTTTATTATTTTATTATTTCCCTTCTACGTGACTTTACCGAAAGAACCAAGAAGATGGTAAAGACTGGTTGCAAGTAGATAACAAACTCGATGGATACGAGTTCACATGGCCTGGCAGGACACACAGTCGCCACCGACAGATGTAATATCCAGTTGATAACCATGCCATGTGGAGAGTGTGAGAGAGGCTTATGTGGAAGGCTGCCACACCACCACTTGTGCCTGTAGGAGAGGGCATGGCTCCACCTTCCCCTCTCTTTATTAACGACCCAGGGAGCAGGCCCCGGGATTTTGGCGGTATCTTGGTCGATGCAGCAATGGTGTCCAGGGTCTTTGCCCCGGCAATTAATGACGGTGAAACGTACTTCAATGCCTTCGTTGGTGATCGGACAAAGTCAGAGCTGAAGGGAAGCGAGTGGGTGATCGGTGGTAATCCAGTTCCTTTGTTTTTCTTTCACTCGCGCAGATCCTGTTCAGAAAGTGTCTTTGGGTGTCTCGGATTTACAAAGATCTCTTCACTATTGGGAGGCGTTGTGTGGCATGAAATTGTACAAAAAAGATGAGGGCAAAGCTTTGTTGGGTTTTGCCGACTCCCAGGTAAGCATTTACCCACCGCCCACACTGTTGATTTTCTACTCAAAGGATTATACACCTACACATCCTGACCACTGTCAGAACTTTTATATGAACGGTGATCGTTCTTCATTGTGAAACCGTTGAAAATATCGTCATCCCACATGTGTAAGCCTCATTTTATTCTATGCTTTATTAAGCTGTTGTCTGGCTGGGTGTGTCACTGCGGCACGCATTCCTAATTGGGCGTAAAACTTGTGGCGTCGATGAAATTAGTGCGACTTTGTGACGCGTCGGCACGAATGCTACGCAATAACTCGCTACCACCAAAAGAATGTGGAATTTCAATGACTGACGCGGCAGATGAGTGCTGACCCATGTGCTTTTTGAGCGGCGAACCACTTTATCCTTTCCGACTGGATCTTTCTGTGGTGAGAGCGTTATTTTAAGTCGGCGGTCAACTCGGTCCATCACAATCCGTTGAGGATCCAGTGAAAGAGTATCGCTTTATGGGAAGTCTGTCCCTTTCATGCCATAGAGAGAGACTGGCCTCTGCAATGGCAATGTGGAATATACATCGCTAGCTGAGTGCCATCAGTTGAGATGATTGCCACTGCATTATTTGAGCAGGGAATCTATCTGATTGCGATGAACACAAATTCAACCCATTCGTCAATGAGACTGCCCCTTAAGATGAAAATGTATAAAAATTGGTGACATTTTAGACGGTGCAGAGGGATATTCATGAAGAAGGGCCATGGCCAGAAATGTGTCATCTGGTATCTGTCTTTTTCTCTTCGTGAATGTGTTGAGGTTTTTTTTTCGTCATTCGTGCTTTGTGCACCGCTGCCAAAAAACTGCATCGGACTGTTTTAGTTTGGCTTCGATCGAGCTGTGTTTGTAGGATCACTCGGTCGCGTCCTGTTGTGTGTCTTGCCAGTGTAAGGTGGAGCTGCAGGCCATTGGCGGCCCAGTGGACCACGCTACCGCATTTGGGAGGGTCGCCTTCTCGTGCCCCAGAGAGCAGGTGCTACACCAGCTAGTGGTCATGGGAGCCAGGGACACACTTGACTTGTTTGTAAAACTTGACCCTCGAATGTTTTGAAAGGTGCCGCGTCCATTTATGAAATCACAGCCGATCATCGAACACGTTCCTTCGGAGTGGGCAGGTAGGAACTTGGTTGGACAGCGCATTCGTGCGATCCGTGTCACGCGGCGCAAGCGGCGTGAGGCGGCGCGTCACGTGGTGCTGAGCCCGCCCGAAGCGCTCTATGAAATACAAATCGAGGGCGTGGCTATGCACGACAGACAGACAAATAATCCCTGGTGGGCAGTGTGGAACTATTGTTCCTACCTGGATTATCCGGATGCTTACAACATGATCCGGCGACAACCGCTCCAATTGCTGCTACCAGTTCGGCGATCGGCGCCATGTGCGTGACAAAAAAAATATACATTATACACGACATACAACTTAAACGATGAAAATACCGCACTATATACATCACCCCATGTGCAGAGTCTTCGAGATTGGAGTGGTAAGTACGGTACAGTAAATACAGTAACTTTTTACAGAAGGATATTTATTTTTGTCTATTCGTATGTTTCTACCAATTTCATATAGTAAACAAATTTAAAACACAAAAAAAACCTATAACAACACCGAAAAACAAAATGCCCTACAAAAATGTGCAAAAGTAAGCTATTTTAATACATGATGATGAAGTTATTATCTGGCGTTTTTGAAAATGTATTGAAGTGTGACTCTAATTAGCAGAAATATCCCATAACCAACAGCCGTGGTCAATCCCACTGCTGGATGAAGGGCTTCCCAATCTGTTACCGCCTAGAATCATTCAGAATCAACATTTATAATCAACGTCACGCGTTTAGAGTATTTGGCTGCTATAAATTTCCACGTGGTGATAAGTCACTTCGTTGAGCTATCATTTGTGGCCACTTCTGAAATAAGTAATATTTAAAAATACTTTTTTTTTTAAACACGCTTTAATGAAATGTACCGTACGAGTAATGGCAGAACTCCACGACTCCAGGAATTGGCCCCGAGGCTTGCCATAACCATGGTGATTTACAGCCAACGTCAGTTGAGTGTGGAGCCAAGCCGAAACATAACATATAAAAAAGAATGTTTTAAAATATGTTATTTATTTTTTATGATAGATTATAGTGTTGTCATAAGTATGACATAAGTATACCAAGATTGCAGTCGATACCATATTGGGAAGTGGGTTAAAATTGAGTTACAAGATTTGAGGATACGACAACAACAACAACAGACAGAGTGAGTTAAATAAAAGCGTGTAATTATAAAAAAGCTACACAGCTCAGGGGGGCCTTACGTGGTAAAATAAAAAATAGTTTCTTTTTATCTCCCACAATCCTGCAGCGTAACAATCCACCTGGCACCTGCACACTCTCATCCTCTCAGCGCTCGCACTCCCAGATGCGTTCCCTTCCTTGGCTGCAACTCATGCAACTATTCTTGAGCATCAAGCCATCAATTCCTAGTCCTGCTCAATACAACTTTTATTAACAGTTTAAATGTTTTGAATAATGAGCAATTTTTAATTGTTACATCTTTAAATTGTATATGTATTCGAATACATTGCATTTCATATGTACATGATAATTAATATTATTGAAGATGTTTTATTTGCCTTATTGGGTCCAGTAATATAACATGGCAAAGAAGTGGTGGACACGCTGCTGTGAGCGTTATTCATCGGCTTGGTTTTGGTGGTGTTTTTTTCTGCCATCTGCCAGCTGCCGGACATTCAGAGCCGAATGCAGGGGGAGCATCAGAAGGTGATCACGCCACTCGTGAGCCTAGACACGCCGGGCAAGGCCACAGTGGAGGTGGTCATCGTTGCCGATCCGGTAAGCGCACACATACACACACACGTTTGTACGTATGTTGAACTTATTTCACACTGTACGTAGCCAACCGTGCTAATCGGAGGTGCAGAGGGAAGGACAACAAACTAAACACAAAGCAGTTCTAAAGAAATTAATTTTCAATCTAGATAATTTGAAATTTCATAGCTCCAGTGGTTTCCTAACATCGGAAGGAAGAGCGTTCCAGACGGCCGAAAGTGCATACCAGGTGAAGGAGATAACATCTTGCCACCGTGGCACCCCTAAGTATGGTCAAACAACCCACATGACCACCACAGCGTAGGGAGGCCGTCATGCAGCAGTGGACTGAAAGATGGGCTGTATGTAGACATCAAAGGGCCAAGTTGGACTCCCGTATCACTACTTGAAGTAGTAATCTCTAACATTCTCAATCGGCACAAATCATGGTCAAATAATCGCCGAGTGGTCCTCGCTGCCATTGATAGTTGCGAGTACCTAAGGAATAGTGGACTGAGTTGACTCAGTGCGAGTGAATCGTGGAGACGCTTTGGCTTTTTGCGCTGTTTTGCTTATTGCTGGTTTTCATATGGTGCCAACTTAGTAAATGTGTAACGATTTGTCGACTTTGCATTTTCCGAGGATGACCATGAGATCTGCTTTGTGGGAGATGAAGCTTTCCGTGAGCTCTCCAAGCCAGACCCCGGCGGAGATTCACTCCTCAACCAGGTCAGCTGACGGCAACAACATGCAGTCACGTCTTATAACACTTCACAAATATGAAAGAAAAGGAGAGAGGGGGAGGTCAGAACAGGGGACACATGGCAGAGAAGGGAGAGGGCAAAAACCACGGCACAGCCTGGGACAAAGCATCTGGAGCCCCCAGGAAGAGCCGGGCATCCTGGGCGTCACCAATCAGTTCCAGGAAGGACTCACCACCTGCACATTTATGCACTTACCTGCTTGTGCCACCAGTGGTTTAGATAACAGGGCTTAGGCCCAGTTCACAAGGCCATGTATCTATTTTCCTGCCACTAATTCCTTTTCAAAGAGGCTTCAGCGTATGTCATTCCAGAAAAAAAAACTCATCACGTTTGACATTAAAGCTGCCTAATTAATGTATATATAACTGGGCGATTTTTTTTGCGAAGTACAGAGCAAAAGGCAAACTTAATGCGATGGTTCGTTCCGTAGCCATTTGTGTGAACTAGGCTGAAATCATCAACTCGCTACATTGGAGAATCGGCTTCAACCGTGAGCAGCTGCCTGGTATTTGAAACCCAGTATCTCAGCGGTGCCGGCTCGGCGCTCCAACTCATCTAAGCATCCCAACCACCTCGAACTAACGTGTTTGTGCGTGTGTCTCTACGCCGTTTCTTTCCCAGGCCATTGCGGAAGACAAGAGCGGTGAGTGGTACGCCAAGCACAAAAGGCAGAAGCCCACAGCGTGAAGCTAATTACGTGCTTTCCAAAACAACCTTGAGCCGATGGCTAAAATAAATGCTGTCATTGTGCATGCTGCTTGCAATTATAACCGCCCAGAGCAATATGGCATTTGGAGCTATGGCAATTGTAATAAAACGCAGCAGGGACCATTACGTCGTTCGTACACTTACATTTTTTTTACCTTTTTGGTATCGTTCGTTTATTTCACCACCCAGTATTTAATTGTGGTACTGCTTTTGATGGCATAGCAGCGTGCTTTAAATCATAATTTGGCTCAATAGTGCAGTGAGGTGTGGTGGCTTTGGGGTTACTGGGAGGGTGTCCTTGTTCTGTTACTTGCGCTTACAAATGGGCTTTCTCCAGACATCTTCACTTAATATTACCTAAATAAGTATGGTGAAAAGAGGGTTGAAATCCTGCACAGTACAACACCCCAATCGTGATCAACACAAAGGGCCGAACGAGCACGCCGAGCTTGCTGTGACACGAAGAGCGTGGGAAACCTGTGGTGTGTGAAAAGCGTTCTGCGCAACCCAACTTGGAGCAGCGTGAAACGTTCACGAGGACAAACGAACAGACTGTGCATTGTTAAGCAAAACATTCCCCAATTGTTTTTAAAATAGACATTCAAAATTCTATCAATGCGAATATAATTACTTATATCGAATTTGTTCTGTAATTGATAAGTTACGTTTTTGGGAAATTACATATTTTGAGTTGCCGTTTAACGATGGATAGCTGTATAGTCATTATATATTACTGCCCCTACAGATTCAAATATTGTGTTGCTGGGCACTCACTCGGGTTCAGCTAAAACTAATTATGCAGGAATATGCCGCGAGAAAATCGCGTACCGCGTGTTCCACGAACGGCCAATGCGAGTCAACTTGAGCACTATAGTTGGTCTGACTTGGTGTTTGGTCTTCTTGGTTCTTTCGGTAAAGTCACGTAGAATGGAAATAATAAAAATAAAACATAATCAAATAATTCTCACGACGTTTCGGCCACAATGCAAGCAGCCGTCCTCAGGTGGAGAACAGGTCGAGAAGACAGACCTGTTTTCCACCTGAGGACGGCTGCTTGCGTTGTTGTCTTCTCAACAGACCTGTTCTCCACCTGAGGACGGCTGCTTGCGTTGTGGCCGAAACGTCGTGAGAATTATTAAATGTTTTATTTTTATTATTTTATTATTTCCATTCTACGTAACTTTACCGAAAGAACCAAGAAGGTGAATCCCTACAGTCACGAAAGCTTTAAATCGAAATTTGGTGTTTGGTGTACTGCATTTGTCATGGCGAGTTGATGGATAACTCAAGTTGGTGATTAAAAAAAAGTGGCATTTCCATGTTGTTGTTGTCGCGTGAGTTGGACAAGTGTTCCGCACAAATACCTCCCCAGCTTGTGCTTAACACGGACGCACAAGCTAAAGGTCAAGACTACATTTCTGGAAAAATGAAACGTGCTTTTGATTGACATGCATGGGGCGATGTACTAACGTTTGGCCTGGTTTTGTGACGTAGAGAATTCAGGTCGGGTCACAAGGTGACTTTGTTGAATGCAAACATGGGAATCGTGGTTTTGCTGCTCGCGTTCGTACCCGAGTCGTGTGGCTTGTGGTAAATGGGGTAATCCTGAACAAACGGGATGTCTTTGCCGTGGTCCGTTGATTTAAATTCACTGTCTCCAGAACCTATTATGGCATTGATATGAAATGATTTTGCTGTGGTTTGAAACTGACAGCATAGTAAAAATTAACCCGTAAAAACAAAGTTTTTCACTATAAATCCTTTATATGCGTGGCATCGGTTTTATTTTATTATTCATTTCTGTTTTTCTTGAGTAAGAGTTTCATTTTTATCACATTGGTATTTTAAATGAAATCTGAAAAAAAAAATTCCTAAAAAGTGGAAAATTTTGGATTTTTTTTTCCTCGAAAATAAATTGTCACGCACAAAATGCCAGCTCGATTGGATCACGGGAAGTGGGTTAAAAAACGACCGAAAGATTTGCACGGTCGTAAGCGCGCAAGCAAGCAAGCAAGTGAACTTAATATAAAGGATTTAAAAACATACATTTGAACCTCGTGGCGGGACCCCGGGTCCCGAATAAACGGAGGTCAAAATCGTAATGAATGAATGTATTTCTGGCGACTCCGACCCACCGCGGACATAAATGCCGCGACCCGCCTGGCGCGGATCATTCTGTTATCGTGTCCAAGTGCAGCGGCGAGGACGAATGCGCAGAAGAAACAAAACTTTGAAACTTTGATGAGCGCATCGTGTAGAGCTCGTCGGGAGGAATAGATTGCCGTGTCGTTCGCCTTCGACAGACGTTTACACTGGTCAACACACTTTTTTCTGGCATAAGGTATTCCAACGGTTTAAAGGTAATTTTGGGGTGCTGATTCCAAATCTGGCATCAGTTTTGGCATCAGTTTTTGTCTATCACATCAGGTTTCTGAGATATCAAATATTGCATTTTCAATCAAAACTGCAGAAGAAAAATATTAAATAAATGTGGATATCCACATACAATGATATTATAAACAGACTATCCTAAAAATACAGCACCATATTTTAACACTAAAGCAGTCACTGACTCGCAACAACTTGCAATCATAAGTGACAGAGTTAATTTCGGGTAAAATCAATGAAAATGGGGTATGCCGATAGCATAAAAATGAGATGTGACAGAGCAAATCTGAGATCAGATTTGGAATCAGCACCCTGAAATTAGTCTAGAACAGCTGCAAAAGTCCAGGCCAGAAAAACATGATTTTTTGTTGTTGACCAGTGTTATGAATCGATTGTTTGTTCTTGTCTCCTTCGTCTGGTTCCGCCTATACGAGACGAGATTAAACGTGAGCGCGAAGTTGCACATTTGAATAATCAACACCGGCGTGATAATTAGTGGCAGTCGATGCACTTTGGTACAAAATGATGCGGAAATGCATCGCGAGCGGACGCATCGATGATAATTATCGATAATCGCTACGCTTCAAGTACTCTCTACGCTAATTATGCAACGCGTCGATATAATTTATCGATCATTAGCCACGCTCTATCCCCTGCTGGACGAAGTCGCGGGGCCTACACAACGAGACGGGATATAAAAACGAAGAAGATTTAATCCACGGCATTTTAATCGATTCGTAACCGACCGTGCTCGAGCACTGCCAAATAAGTAAAAAATCGATTTGTGAAGCAAATGTTTTTTTAATATTGGTTCCAATTTTTTAAATTTTTATTTGTGTCTTTTTAAAAGTGATTTATTAACATTTCCTATACTTCGTTTGTTGTTGCATTTTATGTTTAAACGTTCTGACACGCCCGTGCCCTGACTGGAACATCAGTTGGGAAACAGAGATTTCCATTCATACATGATTTTTGGGGGGGGGGTGTTTAGATCGCGTAAATATGTGTCGTCAAACCCCTCCACCACTCCACACAGCCAATTAGTAACAGGTTTGTCACGTAAACAGAACGTGCCAACATCGTTACTAGCACAGCACCAGAGCTGTGTCGGAGAGCAAATCCACTACAACATTTACAATCTGGGTACGACGTTTCGCCAGTAATTACAAGCGGCATAATCAGGCGACCGCCAGAGATGTTTACTCTCAAACACACAGCTCTGGTGCTGTATTAGTAGCGAATTGGCACGTTTTGTCTACGTGACAAGCCTTACCAATTGGCTGTGTACTGAAATGTACTCAGATTGTAGATGTGGTGCATTTACTAAATGTGCGCTGTACTAGTAACGAATTTGCACGTTTTGTTTACGTGACAAACCTTACCAATTGGCTGTGTCGGGTGGTGCCGGGTTTGACGACACATTTACGTGATCTAACAAAAACAATCCCCTGTATTATTGATTATATTGGTCGCGAAAGAGCTATGTGGTATTCACAAGAGCTTCACAGCTCATCCGATTTATTTATTGTTTTTTTTATTGTTTTACATTCATATTATTTTATTATTTCCCTTCTACGTGACTTTACCAAAAAGAACCAAGAATACATATACATCGTCTGCTTCTCATCACAAACTGGATCGATTCCTCCAGGAATCGATGTAGTGCGACGATCGCAAGAATCGATTCGACCGCTCGCTGATGACGTCAGCGCGGCTTCCGCCACGTGCTCCTCCGCAGCGGTGGCTCGGAGCTTGTACAGTAACGTGGACAGTACAAGACGCGTGGTCGGTGTAACTCTGTAGGGTGATCTCAGTCCTTCCTATCTTCACTTCTAAGCTCCTCTGTGCGCCTTGCCTCGAGACCCGCGTGTCCTCTACGGCCGGTGAGTGTCCCGCCACGATGCACGCACGCTGGCAGCAGCCTCCAACCCACACAGCTCGCTGGCGGGGGTTGTTGAGAGGGGTTTGGGAAGCGCTTGGGGGACTCGTTTGGTTAACATCGGTAGTCGCGTCGTCGTAGAGGTTGCTCACGGACAATGTTGATGCTGCCACCATCACCACGCCACCAACACACCACCGCCACCAACACCATCAGGCCAACACCACCACCACACCAACACCACCACGCCACCACCACCAACACGCCACCACCACATCATCACCAGGCCACCACCGCCGCCGTCACACGACCACCAGGCCACCACCGCCACACCAACACCGCTGCTACCACCACCACCCCGCCACCAACACCACCGCACCACCACCACCGCACCACCACCAGGCCACCACCACCACACCAACACCACCACTACACCACCACCAGGCCACCACTGCAACACCACCGCCGCCACCACCACCACCACGCCGCCAACACCACCAGGCCACCACCACCACTATAACCACCACCACACCAACACCACCACACCATCACCACCACTACACCACCACGCCACCACCACACATCGTCATCGCGTCCCATCGTCTGTCGGGTTCCATCGCGCCTTCCACAGAGGTTCGTGGTTTTGAATTCAGAGGCCGTCCCGGCTATTCGCACGTGTCAATGATAAGAGGTGGGCGGGGGTCTTGTGACGTAATTCGCAAGAGGTTAGACCTTTGCTGGCTTCGTGGTCCAAATTTAGCAAATTTCAAAATATTTCACAGAGCTACTGCATAAGGCGGGGAGTCCTCGCCCTCGGATTCCAACTTTTGTCAGGAGCCTCCTGACTTCGTGAGGCTTTCCTGAGCAAAGAATATTCAGAGCCTCCCCATCGGTGTGCCGAGACAAGCTTCGTCACCACCTCTTCCTTGAGACGTTTTACTTACACAGTCGATGTGGTCGTTCTACAAGGACCCCACTTATCATCACCACGAGCTGGGTGCTTGCACTTCCAATGCCTTGGACTCGCATGAGTGTCATCACTTATCAACAACTTGTTCTGCACCACGTCTTCAACACATCACTGTTGCATAAAATTCACAACTCCTCGATGTGACTTCATCATGGCATGAGATTCGTACACCATCTCATGGCATGAGATTCGTAGCACACAACGCATACACTTGGGTTAAAAGGCCAGACGCTCCTCTTCTACTCGTTCCTTGATTAAATTCCAATTATATTCTTGGTTCTTTCGGTAAACTAGGGAAACAACAACAAAAAAACAAGAATATGAATCCCTGCAGTCACGAAAGCTTTAAATCAAAATTTAAATTCCAATTGTCTAGCGAAATACATTACTGGTGCTTCATTCAGTCTCAACCAAAGTTGACCTTAAGTAACATCCCTCGTGGGTTAAAACCTTACACGTGTGGCTAACTTTATTTAGTGACATCCGCGTGATTTGTAATTTAAACCACTGGTTCTTTCGGTAAAGTCACGTAGAAGGGAAATAATAAAAATAAAACAATAAAATACAATTCTCACGACGTTTCGGCTACAACGCAAGCAGCCGTCCTCAGGTGAAGAACAGGTCTGTTGGGAAGACAGCGTCTGAATGAGACGCTGTCTTTCCGCCATTTAGATGCTGTCTTCCCGACAGACCTGTTCTTCACCCGAGGACGGCTGCTTGCGTTGTGGCCGAAACGTTGTGATAATTTCATTTTATTATGCTTTATTTGTATTATTTTATTATTTCCCTTCTACGTCACTTTATCGAAAGAACCAAGAAGATGAATCCCTGCAGTCACGAAAGAAGCTTTAAATCGAAATTTAAACCACTGGCTCTGAGATGCTGACAGCGGTGAACAAATGTCCCTCCCACCGTGGGCCACAGTCCGGCACAATTCGCTCAAAACTGGGTCAGAGTACACCCAGTGAACACGCGTGGAGTTCGAAGCCATGCTCATTTGGGCAGGAAGACAATGACCTGCCTCGAAACCTGCAGCAGCAATTGAGTGTTGCGAGCTCGCCTTAGCCGTGGCCTTTAACCGCGTGTCACCGTGATATTGCTTCATCCAGACCGCGGGGAGGAGCCGGAACCCAGGAGGAGGTGAAGATGGACATCGGTGCCCCCGTCAGAGGAAGGACAAAGCTGGAGGAGATCCTTGCAGGTAACGTTACCCGCTGCTCGGTGCCAGCGCCTCGTAACCATGGCGCTCGTTTTGTTAACCCCCCCCCCCCCTTTGTCAATTCGCTGCTGGATGGAGGGCCCCCCATGGCATGTCAGTCATGGGGTTTGTTCGAAACGCTTCGCCGCGCTGGGCGGCGCGAGTTGGCGAAGGGGAGAGGCGTTCAGTAGCCGTGTCGATATCGCTCCCCCACTGATGTTAGCCTTGGGCAGGAATCGAACTTCAGGAAGCCGTGCTGTTTGCGCCGGTCCGCTAAGTGCCGCGTCACCACTCTATAAGAGTAAACACGGGCACACGCTCCTAATTTACCCGAGCGGGACTCGCCGAGTCTGGCATACCTCGCCACACCGAGTCTCAAGACTCAGTCCTGTATTGGGATGTTTGGACAATTTCATAAATTCGTGTTCGGCTTGCGTGAAGAAGCTGGAGTGCCTGGAGGAAATCCATCCCATGGATGGGGGTGCAGTAATAAGGCTTTACACATTATTAAGAATCCATTGCTATTACTGCATTTGTTGGCCACCTCACAGCCAAAGCATAAAATATCTGGTAATCAATCTTGATTTGAAGCTTTCGTGACTGCAGGAATCCAGGTAATCCTTGGTAGTAGTCTCCCATCCAATTAGTAAACATTCTCACACCTGATTATTTGGTTCTTTCGGTTAAGTCACGTCTAAAGATAAAATAATAAATTAAATTAAATAATAGCATACGACGTTTCGATTGCAACACAAGCAATCATCATCAGGTATAATGAAATAGCGACATAAAATCTAACCAGAAAACTATGGACAGACATATTAGCAGACAGATATCACCAAGATACATAGAGGGAGCAACACAGGAACCAGAGAGGGGTGATCATCTCTGTGGGGTGGCCTTAAATAGACACGAAAGTTCTAAATTAAAATTAAGATTCTCACACCTCTTTTTGGTTCTTTCGGTAAAGTCACGTAGAAGGGAAATAATAAAAGAAAAAAAAGAAAACATGTTTTATTTTTCACGTAGAAGGGAAATAATAAAATAACAAAAGATGTTTTATGTGTATTATTTTATTATTTCCCTTCTACGTGACTTTACCAAAAGAACCAAGAAGATGAATCCCTGCAGTCACGAAAGCTTTAAATCGAAATTCTCACACCTGATTCGCTTCCAAGGGCTGATGAGATTGGGGGCATTCAGGCCGATTTGTTCATTTACAGCCTTCTTGCCAATCCACTGCTGGCTGAGTGTGTCCATTGGCTGTGTAGGTGACGGGTGTTATACTGCACGACACTGCTCAGGACACGTCCGGGTTATTTGGTCGTAGCATTTTCATTTCAGCACTTACCAATGTGGATTATTGGCACACTACAATATACAACCTTTCAGAAGTGGAAAATAACGTTGATGTAAAATATTGCCAAATCGTCAGTGGCACAGGGTCACTTGTGTACCAATGTATCAGTGTTATCGGGTTCTGAAGTTGCAGTTTATTGTTTTTCTGTTATGCTATGCTTCCCAGCAGGTCCCCTGGTGTTCTGCAGTAAAGTGGCCATACTGCAGGGCGGGCTGCTGCTGGCCGAGAGGCAGCTGAGGCCAAAGCGTCTTGAAGAGATGGACAAGGCCGACTGGAGCACCATCCGCGACGCCATGCAGGGCATCGCCAATGAAGTCTGCTCCTCTCCGGAGCACTCCGACATCAAGAAGATCCATTGGAAGAAAAAGATCTTGGCTCTGCTGTGGATGAAGATGCTCCGGATGTCCTCGCACTGCAAAACACACAATGACGGTCTCCAACTCGATGACGATGACGATGATTCTGAGAGCGATCTGTTTTTCCCCATAAATCACATGATGCCCTTGATAAATCGGACGTTTCTGTTTGAGCTGGTGAAAGACCTTCAGGCTGCAGCTGAATTCGCCCAGCTTATGAATCTCCTGCCGGCTGACGTGTGCGCTCACGAGACGAAGCATTTTGTAGCCCATGTTCTCAAGGACGCAGCGGAGGCAGACGTCGCATTGCTGCTTGATGTGTGGAGAGGCATTCTTCTGCACGCGGGTTGCAAGAAGCCCGAGGGGGAGCTGGAGAAAGCATTTCAAGACAACCTGAAACCAGCGAGCCCTGAATCGGTAGACATCTGTCCAGCTGCCAAACGGCCTAAAAAGGACAATGATTGTGGTGTAGTGTTGGAGAAAGATGTAGGAGCGTCTTCTGTTGCATTAGTGTCAAAACCCATCGCTTCTAACTCTAATGATATTCCAGCATATTTTATAGAAAGCCTCTTTAAAATTGCAGGGAAGATCATCGCACCGGTCCACAGATACGAGGCTCTCGCAAATTTCGCCGATACATTATTTAAGTCTGCCTTGCACCAAAAGGGTCTTGACCTGTGTGGTTTGCCGGTCGAAGAGTACGTGGACAAAGTCGGCGTGCTGCTGCATCTCAGAGGTTTCAAAATGAGCAGAGACCATAACAGCACGGTGGAACAGGTCCGGGAAGTCGAGAATGAGGTCTATAACAACCATTCTGGTGGGGTGCTGAGACTGGATGTGTGCCAGCTTGACCGTTACTTTAAGTCTTTTTGCGAACTTCTGGAGGCCTGGAAGGAGGGACTCTGTGCAATACAAGAGGACCAGCCTGTAGCCAGTCGGGCAGCTGTTGAGTCATACCGTATGGTGGACAGTTTGAGGCGCCTGTGTTCAGTCATGTCGCTAAACGAGAGTGTTTCTGAAGATCCGGTGACCACAAGTGACGTGATCTCTTTCGAGACATTGCCTCTGAGCGGCATTCTTGCTCGGCTTGAGCCCACGCATACGTGGCAAGTCCCCGACAACGTGCAGCTGCTTGTCGCCACGTGCATGGTCGACAGGAAGATGCGCAGGCACCAGGACGTCTGCGAGTTGATGATCGCTCGCGTCGACTGGGCAATCAAAGAAGAACGGTGGATGCAGTGCTTGAAAAAAAACATTTCACGACTGAACACGCCACAACTCGTCTTGGCTTTGGCGAAAACCTTCGCCAAAGTCATTGCGCAGCTCAAGGGAGGGCTCGCGAGCGAGAGCTTGCTGCTGCTGAAAGCAAAGAGGCTGAAGGAGTTGCTCCTGAGTACTTTTTCCGCACTGGCCCCAGCGGGACGTAACGAAGTCCTGCGCACGGTGGTGGAGGAGACGGGCGGTGACGGTTTGGGAGTTGAGCGGTTGGACGCTTTGGCAGAGGACTTTGCCATGGACATGAACCTGGTGTTCAACTGCATCACGGACACGAGCTCTGGAGACGGACTTTCACGAGCCATTTGCACCGTGGGTACGGCCGCCCTCCTGGCTCCACGTGCCACCGTCAATGAGATTTGTCGTCAGGCCGTAACGAATGTCGGAGCACCCTCGATTATGGCGCAAGTTCTGCTGGGACTTCCTGCTTTGGCTGTGCCTGTTAAAAACTCCAGAGGGGACAGTCTCAGCATGCTTTTGGACTGTCTCTCGACTCGAACGTTAGGGCAGCTCTCGACTGAAAAGGAAGAGCGACAGTTTGTGGAGTTTTTGCGCGCCCTCACGCTTTCACCACAACAGTCCAGTGATCCACTGATTTCTCCAGCTGAAATTCTCAATACCTTTGTCCTCCCGTATTTGCAGGAGCAGGGCAGCATTTTGGAATTCGCTCTTAATATCTTTAGCCAAATTTTGAATATTGAAGGGGTCACTAAAAGTGACCAGAAAATTGAGCCATTGGCTCTTGGTGGTGGTGGTCGTGATGATACCGAAACGATTACCAATGTCCAGCAAACTGTAATTCCCTCTAGTGTTGTATCAAGCAGTCAGTTTTCTGAGTTACCTGTCAATGCTGCCCACCCGCAGACAAAATCCTGTGTCCAGCACTGGCTGATGGACTGCTCGCCATTCCCAATCATTACGTGTCTCAGCCAGCAGCTGGAACGCCGCAAGGTTTGCCGTTGCCCCGATGGCTTGCAGACGGGCGAAGGTGAGCATGCGGCGATGGAGATAAAAAGCCAGCTCATGGAGGTGCTGGCTCAGGTTTGTGCGATCGTGCAGAATGCCATGAGTGTGGAGACCACGGACTGGGTGCGCTCTGTGGACTGGCTGGAACACAGCGTTGCTTCGATGGATTGGTCCGTTCGCTTGCACCTGCTGCCCATCCTGTCCCCGCAGCGCAAGGCGTGCGCTCCAGAAGTCCTATTCGGCGTGTGCAAGCTTCCCGATGGTCAGTGGGAGCGATGCCGCAGCGAAGACTCATCGGCGTACGGCCCGGGAACGGGCCTGCTGGCCTGGATCGAGTGCTGCCGTGTAAGCGACGGGCTCGCCGAACAGATGATCAAATGCCTGCACGTCGACCAGACGCAGCCTGAGGATGTGAACCTGTTCAGCAAGGGCTTTCTGCTGGTCGTGACGCAGATCCTGCCCGAGTGCACGCTCACCGAGTGGCGGCGCGTGGTGAGGGTGATGTGCCGCCTGCTCGAAGCCAGGGTCCTCCACGTCCCCGTCACGCTGGAGTACGTGCAGTTCCTGCCGCTGACCGACCTGCGACCCTTCTCGGTGGCGCTGCGGGTCTCTCAGCTCCTGCTGCGTGTCTTCCAGCTGCTGTGCGGCTCGAGCTGCGCCGGGTGGCTCTCCCACGCCGGCTGGGCACACGCTGTGAGCCTGGCTGCCAGCACCTTCGTGGACATGATGCGAGAGTTTGGAACACGGAGGAGTAACGCCGCCCCGAGAGGCAAAGCGAAGCACGCCGAACGCGCAGCGGCAAACGACCTATCCATGGCAGTGCCTGCCGAACAGAAGATTGGGCAGAAGAAAGCCAAAGGGAAAGTGAAAGTTGAAGTCGACGCGAAAAGTAAAGACGGTAAAGCACAAGGCAGAGTCTCTGTGGAAACAGAAACCTGTGAAGGTGTTGCTGGAGTGTCCGCACCGGAGGGAATCGGCTTCGCTGCCTGTCAGCTCTTCTGCCATGCGCTGCACATCATGGCCATGGTGAAGATTGACCACTGCGAGTCGCTGTTCTTAGCCGCCCTGGAGATTTTGTCCACAGTCGCGGGGGCACGCGGGGCAGCCGATAGCTCGTGCAGTATCCTGGAGCAAGCCAACCAGAAGCAATTCCTGGAAGCCATCGCAGAGAACGCAGCTGTCCCAGAGCACCGTGCCACCCTGCTGCAGAAGATCTCCCAGCTTTGAGTTACCAAGTTCCGCACTTGCAGCGTTTGTTGCAACAACAAAAAAACACTTCCCTTCGTTAGTCCTCTGCCCAAGGACAGGTCTTGAGCTTGTGTCATTTCTTCCTTCAAGTTGCCAAGCAGGATTCCTTTTCTGCCTCGTGGTTTCTTTCCCAACATTGTTGCTTCGGGAAGATTCCTTCATTGAGCTTCACCACTAAGAATGTGCCCATCTCTTGCATTTCCTGAATGGTTGTAATTCTCAACCGCCTGCTCTAGATTAACCTAATTTACTATTTCTTCTTGCTGGAACCCTAAACAGAAATGTAAACATTGATACGTATTGTATAAAAGCAGTAAGTTTTGTATATTGTACTTTGATTTGTTATTGTGCAAAGAGGTTTGTGTTTGTACATTTTTAAACCGCAGTTCCTGAAGTGAAGTATCTGTTTAAAGGTTTTTTTTTCAAACGTGGATTACAAATCTGTTTTAATTTGCCTTATTTTCTCTACACACCATGTTTTGCAGTTGTACATTTTGTAGTTAACAAAAAATAAACGCCTCACCTGCCTGTTGCACTCGTGCAAGTATTTTGAGCTTGCGGCACTTGGAGGCGTCACCTCCAATCGTAACGTAGCACCAAGGAATCTGCGCGGCACGGCTTGGGATGTTTTTGCCGCTACTCTTAGGGTATTCGATTCGTTCATTTGGTTCGCCCGTTGAAGCCTTTGCCACGTTACACTGCATCTTAGGAATCCTAAGCATGGTCTGGTTTGACTTGGGCAGATTTCAGTGGAGCGACCAGTGCTTGAATACACTGAAATTGTTTTCTTAAGCCATTATCAGGAGTCGTATTATTAACACGTTCCTGCCTTAGCACTTGCATCGGGGCTGGCTTTCTGCTGGACGCATGTCGTGCTAAACGCCTCCCGAACACGGCAAGGGACGGACGCCGTGTTTCATCCCCAATATGTAACGGGAAACTTCTCCTCCCTGTTTCCTACAGCCAAACCTTTTTTGTAATCGCTATTTCAAAACTTTTTTTTTAGTCGCTATTTCATTTTGTTTGCACTTGTGCTTGCAAATACAGCTTTTGCGTGTCTCAGTTCATGTAGACGTGAAGAGCTTCCCTTTGATATAAACATTATACTTTGTATATCCTGTGCAGATGAAGAAGAGGTGCAGCATTCATGTGACAGCTGGCAGGTTGTTCTTAGGACAATCGCTGTTTAATTAAATAGTGCTTACCTATGCCCGTGTTGGCAGCCAGCCTTCGTGTCTAAAGGCCAAACGAGGTGAAAGCCAAAACATTAGAAGTGGATGTTGTGCCGTGACTGCCACGCTGCACGGGACCAAAGGGCAATGCGATGTGGAATGTGGAAATGCTGCTGCCAGATCTAGGGGGGGATTTAAGCCTCTAGATCAATGGTTCTTAACCTATACCGCAGCCTTTCACCCCTTTGTTTCTCAATCGTAAACAAAATGTATGTTAATAAATACATAGGTTCGATTAAACACAGAAGGTGTACTTACGTAACCGTGCATAAGTTGTGTTTTCGATTATTTACCTTCTAAAAAAAGCTGGCCACGTCTCATTACCCCCATAAAGGGCATCTCGCACCTCCAGGGAATGTATGATGCACCTCAGGTTAGGGTTAGCCTGGTTATGGTTAACCTGGTTAAGGTTAACCCGGGGTTCAGAACCTAGAGCAGCAGCAGTCAGGGCCGGATTGAGGTTCTTGTAGGGCCTTGGCATTTCTGTTCATCACTGGAGGCCAACTACTCCCGCTGGCACTCGGTTGTTTCACGCGTACTTCGCCGCTGGACAGATGTCTCCGGTCAACCAAATGACAACGCTTTTGTCTTCCCATGCACTGCTCTCTGTTGAGAATGAGATCGTGCGAAAAACACCATTTGAAGATGTTATTTGCTAATTTTTCAATCACAAAAATCTTGAAAAAGTTAATCTCCAGTGGTTAATTTATCTCACCTTATGAAAGAAAAAATATAATTGACTTTACTCTGCCTCTTTGTATATACATTGTGGCAATCCTTGCTATGTATACGTATATTTAGTCAAGAAGAAGATATCTTGGTAAAAAAAAAATTCATCCCAACCAAAATAAACATGGTCAAAATTAGTTTTCGTAGGACCTAGGCACTGGCCACTGTGGTCTATTGGATAATACGGCCCTGGCGAGTGAATAGGTGGGTGGCTGGGTGAGTGGATGGCTGAATGGGTGAGTGGATGGATGGGTGAGTGGATGGCTGGCTGGCTGGATGGCTGGGTGGATGGATGGCTGGGTGAGTGGGTGGGTGGCTGGGTGAGTGGGTGGCTGGGTGGGTGGATAGCTGGGTGGGTGGATGGCTGAATGGGTGAGTGGGTGAGTGGATGGATGGTGAGTGGATGGCTGGGTGGGTGGATGGCTGGGTGAGTGGATGGCTGGGTGGGTGGATGGATGGATGGATGGCTGGGTGGGTGGATGGATGGCTGGGTGAGTGGGTGGCTGGGTGAGTGGGTGGCTGCGTGAGTGGGTGGCTGGGTGAGTGGGTGAGTGGATGGGTGGGTGAGTGGGTGGCTGGGTGAGTGGATGGATGGCTGGGTGAGTGGGTGGCTGGGTGAGTGGGTGGCTGGGTGAGTGGGTGGCTGCGTGAGTGGGTGAGTGGATGGATGGCTGGGTGAGTGGGTGGCTGGTTGAGTGGGTGAGTGGGTGGTTGGGCGAGTGGGTGGCTGGGTGAGTGGGTGGCTGGGTGAGTGGGTGGTTGGGCGAGTGGGTGAGTGAGTAGGCGCTAGGCACAGTGCCTACTGTGGCCTATTGGGTAATACGAGCCCTGATGAAGCGGTCCCAGAGCCGTTGTCCGCATACCAGGCGAGGTAGTTAACATCCTTGGCACCGCGGCGCATTGCTACTGCGATAAAGCACTGAGGTTCTCACGTTAACAAAGAATAATCCGGCCAACTGGCTCAACGGTTAACACCGTTTTGTAACAAATACAACAAAATAAACTTGTAATTGTGTTTAATGCAAACTCATTATAATACGTGTGCTGCTGTTATGTAAATTACCGTAGTAATGTTTGTGTTTATATTGCATAAACTGTATGTGAAGGGTTGTGGTGAGACAGTTTAAACGATAAACTAAGGCAAAAGTCAACCTGTCAACCCCTTATCAGTGCCTAGCTTACTACAGACCAACCCAGACCTTATCGGTCATCCCGTGCCCCTTATGAATCGCAAAGTTCATCCTACAAAGTCCCATCACAAGGGAGAAACCCAAACAAATAGACAAAACACTTGTCTTAGTGAAACGGCTGTACGCCGTATGGACCTGAAAACTCAAATTTCCCTGATATGAGAATAGGTTTTTCATTGTTTTCTGGCAACAAAACGTGTGTTAATATGTTAAAACACCAAACTGAAACCTTTTACAAGAAATCATGTCTGCACTAACCACAATGCTTCAGTCAGAATGCAAAAAAAACTGATAATATTTGCATTGTTCTTGAAACTGATTGGTCCACACCAGAGACCGCTTTCTTTTGAGCCTCGTCTCAATTGGTGCTAGACCAGAGGACGCCAAAAAGCGTTCAACAGCCCAAAACACGTTCCTTCGGAGTGGGCAGGTAGGAACATGGTTGGACAGCGCATTCGTGCACGACAGCCAGACAACTCATACCTGGTGGGCAGTGTGGAAGCTGTTACTACCTGTATAAGTGTAGTGTATCGTGTCGTGCAGTGGCGGCTCCTGCAAAATCTCTCAGGGGGGGCAAATGTCTGGATGATTGATAAGGATAAGGTCCACCCATGCAATGAATAAATTAACAGCTTAAGCATGTAGAGGCAACTTCACTTCTTTAATATTAATGAAAAATAAAGTGACTCTTACAATACATCTTGTTTGTTTATATACTCACTATTATAACAAACCACTCAAGTTTATTTTATTAAAGATTCCACTAGGTGGCGATAAATTATATTGTTGGATGAAACGTGCTTACGTATGATGACGTTAGCACGTATGATGACGTAAGCACGTTAGTGCATGCCCTCCCGGAAGCCATAGAGAATGCATTGGAGCGCCCGCCGTTCGAAAAAAACATCTTTGAATGTAAGTCTATGGGGCCACTCGGGGCGATTCTCAGCCGGAGTGAAATCGCCCAAAAAGAGGCGGTACTCCACAGAACGTGACATGGCGCTGATTGGACTATATCCAGAGGCTGACAGTGATGGCTAGCGTGACTCTGTGGTTGAATGACATTGGTGGTGCGTCGCCCAATCGCCCGAATGAAGAAACCGCCCCTGGTGTCGTGTATAGTGTAGTGTGTAGGTTAAACGTTGAGTTTTATAAGGGCACCACGGGGTGACCCACCCAGCCCCCTCCCCTTGCTTAGGCCCCTCCCATTACCCCCCTCCCTTAGGCCCCTCCCCTGACCAACCCCCCATATCCTTAGGCCCCTCCTCTGAACCCCCCCCACCCCTCAGGCCCCTTTCATGACTCCCCCATTCCTTAGGCCCCTCTCCTGACCCTCCTCCCTTAGGCACCTCCCCTCTCCGTACCCGGCAGTAGGTCTCCACCAATCAAAAAGCTGTTTGTAAGGTCTCCACCAATCAAAGAGCTGTGTGTATTATATATTTATTTATGCACGACAGACAGACAGTCAGACAGACAGACAATTAATCCCTGGTGGGCAGTGTGGAACATTGTTCCTACCTGTATAAAATGCCACCATCAGAGTAATGAGAGCTCGGGGTGAGCAGCTACATCATGGGACCTCCTTGAGGTCTCAAAGGAGGTCTCCTTAGCAGCAGTGGCATTCGGAGACTTCCCCTCCACCTCGTTTCTCTCCGCCTGATGAAGGCCGCTTGTGTTGCTATGGAAAAATACTCTTAGGTTTTTTTCGGTAAAGTCACGTTGGTAAAAAATAAAAATTATAGAAATAATATTACAAATAAAAAAATAATAGAAATAATAATAGAAATAAAATTATTTTATTTATATTATTATTTCTATTATTTTATTTCTATTACTAAAATAATTATTTTATTTCTATTCTGATTTCTATTATTTAATTTCTATTAAAATTTTTATTTTATTTTTTACCCACGTGACTTTACCGAAAAAACCTAAGAGTATGAATCCTTGCAGTCACGAAAGCTTCAAATATAAAATTGCTATGGAAACGTCGTGGATTTTTTGCTTTTATTTTTAATAAAAAAATGTTTTTATTTTTTATTTTCAACCTACGTGACTTTACCGAAAGAACCAAGAATCAGTACTAAAATGTTATCTGTAAGCAGTTTACAATAATAATACAAAATTAACCGGAGGTAGAAACCTCGACACTGGCACCACAAGTGGCGGGTGGGCGTGGTCCTTGCGCAAGCCTCACGTGACCAGGGATGCGCGGTGCATCACGGGAAACGGCCATCTGAGTTTGAAGCCAGAGAAGCGAGAGAAGAGGTGAGACGAGGCGAGGTGAGGGGAGAGGAGAGACGAGGTGAGGGTAGCGGTGAGGGTAGAGGCAAGGGGAGAGGGGAGGGGAGAGACGAGGTGAGGGTAGAGGCGAGGTGAGGGGAGATGAGAGGTGAGGGTAGCGGTGAGGGTAGCGGTGAGGGTAGAGGCAAGGGGAGAGGGGAGGGGAGAGACGAGGTGAGGGTAGAGGCGAGGTGAGGGGAGATGAGAGGTGAGGGTAGCGGTGAGGGTAGCGGTGAGGGTAGCGGTGAGGGTAGCGGTGAGGGTAGAGGCAAGGGGAGAGGGGAGGGGAGAGACGAGGTGAGGGTAGAGGCGAGGTGAGGGGAGATGTGAGGGGAGAGGAGAGGTGAGGGTAGCGGTGAGGAGAGGAAAGAGGTGAGGGGAGACGAGGTGAGGGTAGAGGCGAGGTGAGGAGAGGGGAACGGCGAGCAGAGAGGCGAGGTGAGGGTAGCGATGAGGGGAGGTGAGAGGCGAGGCGAGGTGAGACGTGGGTAGAGGTGAGGAGAGAGATGAGGGTAGAGGTGAGGGGAGAGGAGAGAGGCGAGGAGAGAGGTGAGCGGAGAGGTGGGATAGCGGTGAGGGTAGAGGCAAGGGGAGAGGTGAGGAGAGGTGAGAGGAGGGGAGAGGGGAGGTGAGGAGAGGGGAGAGCCGAGGGGAGAGTTGAGGAGAGAGGTGAGGTGAGGGGAGGAGAGGTGAGGTGAGACGTGGGGAGAGGTGAGGAGAGAGGTGAGGGTCGAGGCGAGGTGAAGAGAGACGAAAGTGTCGATGAAGAAGTAGGAAAAAGCAGACTGAGAAATGGAGCGGGTAACGAGGTGAGTCGAGTTTAAGATACGAGACGGCGGAGTGAAGAGGAGGAGGAGACTTTTACAAGTTCAGGAGGATGAGGAGGTGGGGGACGCCAGAGATGCGTTGAAACGAGACGGCACCGACACGCGGCAGTGATCGAGTGAACACAGAGATTACACAAAGATGAGACGAGGTGAAGAGTGAAGAGGTGGTGTAGGTGGTGGTGGTGTAGGAGGTGATGATGATGGTGGTGGTGTTGTAGGTGGTGGTGTTGTAGGTGGTGGAGGAGGTGATGATGATGGTGGTGGAGGTGTAGGTGGTGGTGATGGTGTAGGTGGTGGAGGAGGTGATGATGATGGTGGTGGTGGTGGTGATGATGGTGGTGGTGGTGTAGGTGGTGGTGTAGGAGGTGGTGTAGGAGTTGGTGATGGTGGTGGTGGTGTAGGAGGTGGTGGTGTAGGAGGTGGTGATGATGGTGTAGGTGGTGGTGGTGGTGTAGGTGGTGGTGATGATGATGGCGCTGCTGCTGGAGGCGCTGCTGTCCACAGGGGCGCTGTTTCTCCGCGTGTACGAGGCCGCGTGCTTCGTGCTCGAGCTGCACTTCGCCCTCGTCTCGGCGCTGCTGCAGACGCTGCGCCTGCTGCTCGGCCTCCCCGGGGCCGCCCTCGGCCTCGTCTCCTCCGGGGCCGCGGGCCTCCTCACGGCCTCCTGCCGCGCCGCGTGCGGAGGCCTCGCGCTGCTGCGCGGCCTCGGCCTCGACTGCCTCGGCGCTTTGATGGCCTTGCCCGGGGCGACGGCGGAGGCCGCACTCGCCGCGGGCCGCCTGCCGGCCTCGGCCGCCCTCGGGCTCGCCGGGGGGTTCCGCGCGGCCGTCGAGGCCCTCGGCAACGCGGGAGCGGCGTTCGTGGCCGCCGTGGGGTCCACGGGGTCCGCGGTGGGGGGCGCCGTGGTGGCCACGGGGTCCGTCGTGACAAACGCGGTGGAGGCCACGGCGAGCGGGGCCATCGCGTCGGCGATGAGCGCCGTGGGTGCCGTCACGGACACGCTGAGCGGGGCCGTCGCCGCCACTGGGGGTGCATTCGCGACCCTGCTGAACGCGGCAGGGTCGGTCATCGGGTGGTCGGTGGAGGTCGCCGCGGGCTCCGTCGCGTACACGCTGGGCCTCGCCACAGGTGCCCTGGGAGCCACTTCAGCTGTCGCGACGGCCTCCCTCTCAGCCGCCGTGGACTTTTGGCTCTTCGCGCTGCGGTTGCCGCTCCGTCTGCTGACGATTTCGTTCGGCGCCGTGGCGACGGCCGTCACGCTGCAGGGGCTCTTCGTGAGCGTGGCGCTGATCGGCCTCAGCGTCTGGTACCTGAGCCCGCAGCCGCGGAGGCGGGCGGCGGTCTACGCACGCGTGCCACGGCCACGGCTCCGGCTATCCGCGGCGTTGCGCGTTGCCTTTGCGAACCTGACGGGGCTGATCCGCACGGCGCTGCGGCGGACAGCCCAGGGCAGACACCGCCAGCGGCTCGATGTCTACCCGGCCCCGGTGCCGGCACGGATCGACGCTCTGCGCCCGGAGCCACTCCCGGAGCCACTCCCGACGGAGCCGGTGCCGGACGAGCAGCACGAGGCGGAGGAGGCGGCGGCGGCCGTCGCGGCTCACGAGCGGCTGCGAGGTGAAGCCGCGCGGAATGGCAGCGGCGAGGCCGCGGTCGTGAGGCAGCAGCCGTGGGAGCAGCAGGAGTTTCCACGGCAGGAGGAGGACGAGGAGGATGATAATCACAAGAGCTGCGTAATTTGCCAGGACCAGCCCAAGGGAACGGTGCTGCTGCCTTGTCGTCACCTGTGCCTGTGCAGCGCGTGCGCGCGTACCATCATGCGTGGACCATTCAACCAGCAGAAGTGCCCTCTGTGCCGGAAAATGATCGTCCACACCATGGATGTGTTTATGTAGCAGATCTGGGGTCAGTTCTAATGACAATTACGCAATGGAGTTTAACAATTGCTTTTGTGGGTGGCAATTCGTTTTTGAATTGCACGATAACAGTTGTAATTGACCCCGAGGTCGCTCCCTCTCTCTCACCCACCGTCTTACCAGAGCAATGTGAAGTCACGCCTGGCTTGGGGTCGTCACTGGAGAGGGCACCTCGACCGATCTTTGCCGAGCATTCCAAACTGAGCATCCGCTAATGTGAAAAGGTGTCCACGTCGTGAAAGATGGACTATGAACTCCGAGGTCTTTGGGACCACTTTTGGTGGGCACGCGTGGGGTTTTGTTAAATCTTACAGCCAGCGACTGATGGCACACCGCCGGTGAGGCAAAAGAGACCCCGAGGGTAGCAGCTCCTGCAGCTAGTTGCCCCCCTCAAGGAATTTTCTCCAATTAATAGATCACATTTTTGTCCAAACAGTGCTTCCCTTGGGTTTCATTTGCTGACATTAAGGGATTGCGCACTTTTTTTCGTTTAGCGTTAGGGGGTTTGGATTATAGGTTAGATTCTTGGGGTTTTGAGTTTTGGGTTATGTTTATTAGCCACTAAAACTGCATTTTTTTGCCACAAATTTGTAGGGACATAATTTCAAAAGACTGATTTTTTTGCCATGCATGATATCTTGGCCAGTTTTAAAATGAGCAGTTTTCTTTTTTAAAGTGTCGTTGAACGTGTGCGCCGGACTGCGTTTTTGCACGCGCGTCTTTTATCACTGGATCGTTGATGTGTGAAATGCTACTGTGCCCGGTGCGGTGCACTAATGTGCTGTCGAACAGCAGTGCACGATTTGCTTAATTGCGGACAACTGGAGTTTTTTTGTTGTTGTTGTAGCCCGTGTTGCCCATGGGAAATCGGCTCGATGCAAGCTTGCTGCATGCACATGGGCTGCATATTTGTTGGAGCCAAATTAAACTTAACTGAAGTAAAAATATAAATGTTAATTGAAACAAATTCTCAAGAAAACAATTGGCTAAATCTTGATTTGAAGCTTTCGTGACTGCAGGAATCCATACTCGTTGATTCTTTCGGTAAAGTCACGTAGGTAATAAAATAAAACAAAAAATTATACATCACGACGTTTCGATCGCAACACAAGCGGTCGTCCTCGCTGGTTCTACTGCTGGATTATTTTTTTTTCCTCCTGAGGACGACCGCTTGTGTTGCGATCGAAACGTCGTTATATTTATTTTCTACCTACGTGACTTTACCAAAAGAACCAAAGAGTATGGCTAAATCTTGCGTGAGCGTTCTTATTTTTTTGATATTACCTTTTGACTTCTACAACAAAAAGTTGCTTAGGGTCTGCAAAGGATTGTTGTATTCCATAGGCAGTCACGTAAAGCAACAACATAAGCGGGGGCAGTACAAGGTTGATGGTTTTTGTGCTGGGTTCTAGACCATATTCAGTATTCTCACAGGGGACAGCTGTGGAGGGCACCACGTGGCGAGTTGTTAGCGATTTCGCCTGGTACACAGGAGGTTGTGGGTTCCATCCCGACCATGACGCCTGCTGTATATTTGGAGTTTGCATGTTTCTCTCTCCATGGTCGTGTGGATTTTTCTCCGGGTCCTCTGGTTTTCCCTCCACATTTTGAAACGTGCGTTTAGGGGATTTGGCTGCTATAAATATCCACGTGGTGACGAGCCGCTTCGTTGTGCTATCATTTGTGGCCAGGTCGCTTATGAAAAATACCTATATGGCCTTACCTGGAAAAATAAAACAAAGTTTAGTTAAGTGTATGGGATTCTCCCTTGTTATGAATTCTCGGCACAGCAGGGTATGCATTTGTCTTCCTGCTCCACATTCACCTCTTCATCCTAGCCAGCCCATCCTCCACCGACTCTTTAGGCCCTGTTAGGGGGATGCCCAATGAGTAGCAAACACAGCCCCAAGGTTCTAGATTTGAAGCTTTCGTGACTGCAAGGATTCATACTCTTAGGTTTTTTTGGTAAAGTCACGTAGGTAAAAAATAATAATAAAATAAAATAATAATTAATCACGACGTTTCGGAGGCAACTCCATCTTCAGGTGGGACCGTCACAGCTAAATTTACTGTATCAAGTGATACACATCAAGTGATACACTTGATACAGTAAATTTAGCTGTGACTGGTCCCACCTGAAGACGGAGACTTGTGTTGCCTCCGAAACGTCGTGATTTATTATAATTTTATTTTATTATTATTTTTCCCCTACGTGACTTTACCGAAAAAGCCTAAGAGTACAGCCCAAAGGCTTTTATAACGATAGCGGCAGTTTTTTGCCCAATGCTTGCAAAATATGTGGAAGCAGGCAATGCACAGATGCGCCTGTAATTAGCTCTGCAATGTTTTGTCTGACTTAAGCTCCTCACACGATTAGTGGTACAGTCGAAGCTGGATATAAACACACGCGACCTTGGAGCAAGGCCCCACATGTCTTTATGCTTATATCAGAAGCGGCAATTCACCCCCCCCCCTGCCACCACCAGTGTTATCCAAGCATGTGTTGCTTATATCAGAATTGTGCTTATATAAGGTGTCAATCTTGATTTGAAGCTTTCGTGACTGCAGGAATCCATACTCTTTGGTTCTTTCGGTAAAGTCACGTAGGTAGAAAATAAAATAAATCACGACGTTTTGGGCGCAACACAAGCGTCCGTCATCAGATTGTGTTGTGCCCGAAACGTCGTAATTTATTTAATTTTATACCAACGTGACTTAACCGAAAGAACCAAAGAGTATATAAGGTGTGTTTATATCCAATTTTTTTATGCATTGTGTGACAGTCCAAGTGGACTTAACAGCAATTGTTCCGTTAAATTGTTTTGGTGTATGCCACGTGTGAACAGAATGTGCCGTTGTAAGGAACTGCGTCCGGTCACGTTGTGAAATGGATGTTCTTTTTAGGTCTGTCGAACAATTTGGCCTTGTTGGGACGGTCGTCCGCACTGAAGTACAACATTGCGTACCCACCTCGCTACCGAAATGTGTCGGCGGAAACGTTTAACAACGTTGGATATGTGTGAATATCGATAGAAAACGATAGTTGCGCTAAACACAATTTTCATTGTTGGACAAAATATGAATCGCGTTCTGCTTCGAACTTGGAAACATCCTCTGATGTGCTTTAGAAGTAAGCAAATGTACACGAGATTAAGACGTCTGTGAGAGTATAGCAAAATTAACTGTCACGCCTTGCACAAATACTGCCCTATGTGTGGTGTGGTGGTTGATTGGGTTATAGTTGGAAATGCAACGTACTATACCGTATGTTCATTTTCCCAAGTTTATAATAGCTAAACATAATAGGGTACAATATTTTGCGCATGGCAATCGTTTCGATCACCATTATTGACACTTTACCATTTAAAATCGAAATTGTGAATGCCACGTCACATTACACATTTACGTTCGATCCCCACTGCATACAGTATTGGGGTTCTATAAAGCTGCCTATGACCATATGTATGTATGTTGAACTTTATCACCTGGAATACGCCGAATCTCGACAGATTGAGCCCTGGGTCCGTGCTACGCCTGGATGGACGACCACCATGCTCGACACAGGCGTTGCAGCCTCCTTGTAAGGCAACGTTTTCAGCAGAGGGCAGTGCAGCCAATTGTTGTATTGTAATATGCACCCAATATCTGAGCAGCTCACCTTCAATCCACACTGACTCGCGCAGTGAAGTATGGGCGATTAATCTTCCACAATGGTGTTGGTGAGGCCCTCGTCCAGCAGTGGACTGACGAAGGGGCTGTACATGTGCAGGCCGACCATGTTCTCCAGATTAACAGGCGCACCAGGGGGCCACACATTGAGTACGTACGCATGGAGGGGGAGGGGGGGTTAACACAAATGTGTACGCTTGTGTTTGGGGAGGTCTACTGACAATGTACGCATAGGAAACGGGGTGGGGGGGGGGTGAAGCCTCGATAATAATTTGTCTACATTGGCCTTCAAATGAGCCACAGTTCAGTGTCTCCAGCTGTCAGACAACAAGTCCTGCCGGGAGAAGTGGGACTGTGGGAGAGGTGTCACTCGTGTGCCACCGTGGCCCTGACTGCAGCTATCACGCAGCTCAGCAAACAAGTGGCCCAGGTACGCGACTTAATTATTTAATGCAGCTGGCGGTGGACTGTCTGTTTGCTTAAACACGTTAATAATATTAATCCTTTGTCGTTTCTGCGTGGATTAAATATCGGCTGTTCTACAGGATTGGGGGGGGGGGGTGCGTCAAGCTTACGTACGCACGCATGTGGGGGGGGGGGGGTCAAGTTTTGACATTGCCAACCTACTAATTGAATGGCCCCCAGAAAGTAAGAGACGACCCCAAATTTTGGGTCATGGTTCCAAAAAACCATATGAGTAAATACGGTGTGCAGTTAAATGTGAAGTGACATTGCATATAGATTTTGAGAATCGCGGTTTGCTATGTGTGAAAGTAGCGTAAAGTGCAGATGTTGCATTGCTTTATAAATGTGCGAGGCAATGCCGGTCAAATCGAATACTGTACAAGCAGAATTCTGTGCTGTGTCCACATGTAAATAAGAATAAAGAGTCGTATTTTTATACAGAGTTTGTGAACATTCAGTAGCAGTGAAACATTTTCTCTCCAGTCACTTGCAAAGATCCATTCATCGGACTTGTCACGTCACATGTCAGAATCTGAATATTTATTTTGATTGCCAGAGGAATCTGATGAGCTATGAAGCTCTTTCACAGATGTCCCGTGAGGCCGAGTGGGACATGGACTGAGCAACGTGTGGCTGAATGGCACGTGGAGTGTGGCGTAGAGGCAGTGTAACATTGAGTGGTTATGTCGACATGAGTTGGCGTATGGACGTCGTGGATGGTGGTTCGTGTCGAGGCTCTGGCTGTGTGAGTGGAGGCTGTTAGTTTGTGTTGAAGCCGTGGGTGAGTTAGTGACCAGTCTGGGTTCGTCTTCAGACCGCCTTATCTTATTGTTAGCAACTCGACAGTTCTCTAATGTGTTTTCGGGTTGTTGCCCATGTATGTTGAACTTCTTTCGCACCGTACATAGCTAGCCGTGTTATATATTTATGTATTACATATGTTTTTTAAAAATGTTACCAGGTAAGGTCCACTGAGCTTTTTATATCTTGTTCAGAAACGACGTGGCCACAAATTATAGATGAAATGGCTCATCATCACGTGGAAATGTATTGCAGCCAAATACTCGTGATGTTGATTCTAACTGTGGAGGAAAAAAACCGGAGGGCCCGGAGAAAAATCCACGCGAACATGGGGATCGACACGTAAACTCCAAATATACAGCAGCAGCAGGCGTCAGGGGGTCGGGATCGAACCCACGTCCTCCTGTATACCAGGAGAGGTAGTTAACATCTCTTAGCCACCATGACAATGATGAGAGAGACACACAAACTCCAAATGTACAGCAGGCTTCAGGGTCGGGATCGAACCCACGACCTGTATATCAGGCGAGGGAGTTAACATCTCCTAGCCACCGTGACGATGATGAGAGAGACATGCAAACTCCAAATATACAGCAGGCTTCAGGGTCAGGATCGAACCCACGACCTCCTGTACACCAGGCGAGGAAGTTAACATCTCGCCACCGTGATGAGAGACACGCAAACTCCAAAAATACAACAGGCGTCAGGGTCGGGATCGAACCCACGACCTCCTGTATATCAGGCGAGGTAGTCAACATCTATCCACCGTGATGATGATGATGATGAGAGAGACATGCAAACTCAAAATATACAGCAGGCTTCAGGGTCAGGATCGAACCCACGACCTCCTGTATACCAGGCGAGGTAGTTAACATCTCCTAGCCACCACGGGGGACAATCGGAGGTGCCAGGGGGTTGTGCCGCGTTGTCCCCCCCCGATGTCTTTTCTCGGCGTGCCGAAGAAGATGCTCCTCGTCAGCACAGCGAGGTACGAAATGTCAAGACGACATCGCGCGGCGTTCAGGCAAAGCACATCCTTGTACTCATCATCCTCGCGCAGAGGTGTTGTGAAATAGCACTTGACAATTGGAAAACGAGTAATCGTTTCCACGTTTTATTTCGCCTACATCATAGCAAAGCCGATTTATACACAACTGTTAAAGGGGCCTCATTTGCACGAAGCCAACACGCATCCGAAAAAAGAATTTTTTAAAGAAAAATCCCCGCGTCTTACCAAATATTTTGTGATGAAAGTGCAGTGTTATGCATCTGCAACGCATAATCTATCAAACACGTACTTAAGTTTCCCACCAAAAGCATGAATACAAATGAATGTCTTAACAAGGACAATAAAACATTGCATAGCATTTGTATAAATTGTCAACTTTTAAATTAAAAACACTTAACGGCATTTCCACTAAACGGTTTTACATTTGATCCTTATGGCGGTACCCCGGGGCGCCAAATAATACAAATTGGCCGAGGCAATTCAATATTTTATTTCTGGGACACTATTTTTCTCCAGGGGTGTGCTTCACTCCGCGACAGGGGCACCAATCAATCCGAAATCAGGTGCCACTCCGCGATGTCGAAACGCCAAACATCAGCATAAAAAAATCCGTTATCGAGAAATTAAACTTTGAATAGTGCATCGTGTACAGCTCGTCGAGATGAGTCGATTGCCACATCGCTGACCATCAGACTAAAGATGACTGCATCACAGACATTATGCGAGAGCCAGGGTACTGCCATAAGGTTCAATTCATCTGTTGAATATCCAACGTTTAGTCACAGCTGATTGATGTCAATTGGCACAATCAGAATGTAAAAAAAATATTGAAACGGTTTGTTAGAATGCAAAATTATCACTCGCGAGATTTACCCTGTGACAACACGTGCAGCGTTTTCATGAAATGAAGGAAGCACTTTGAAAAACGATTGTGAACAAAATTCTGTAATTCGCGATTGACAGCATATTTACACCGAGTTAAGATGCTCAACAATTTTCTCATGCGGATGGAGCTCAATGTATGGATAAACTTTTTTAAAAATCCAGCAAATTCATAGTTATTATATAGTCTGAAGGCCTTACACATCTAACGCACACTGCCCAATGTGACCAACGTGAAGAGGACCGATCGGGTGAATGAACAGCAACCATTTGCCACGTTGATAATGATAGCAATCAATCTCCAAGTTTCACAAGAGAGGAGACCCGCAAGGATGACATTTTTTGCACCCCCCCCCCCCATCCGAGCCCTATAAGCACAGATAATAGCACCTCCAGCAATATTAAACGATTCAAATAAATCTTTCACCAATGCCAGCCGGGTCGAATCACTTATGCAAGAATCAGTTTGCGATTAAACTCATTGCAATGTTCACGGCGAAAAATCTATAGCGACTTCAGATTTCAAATGTATGACGCCAATTCTATGCTGTAGCAGCTGTAGATTGCAAATACACAATGGGGAAAAAGTGAATTTTGACCAAATAATCAACTCATTGAACTGCAAAAGGAAACAGTTACTCCCATCTCAGCAATGCACAGGCCGATGTTAATCCTCGTCTCAATGATCCAATAGATATGTCAAAGGGCACGGTGATTAAACTGGCGATATTTGTCCCACGCAGTCTCTGATGGGGCAAGTGACGAGTCTGTGGGTCTAAGCTGGTTGGTATTGCCACTGCAGGTAGACGTTGACCTCCCTGGGACCGTGTGGAGGCTGTGGGTCTAAGTTGGTTGGTATTGCCACTGCAGGTAGACGTTGAACCTACCTGGGACCGTGTGGAGGCTGTGGGTCTAAGTTGGTTGGTATTGTCACTGCAGGTAGACGTTGAACCTACCTGGGACCGTGTGGAGGCTGTGGGTCTAAGTTGGTTGGTATTGTCACTGCAGGTAGACGTTGAACCTACCTGGGACCGTGTGGAGGCTGTGGGTCTAAGTTGGTTGGTATTGCCACTGCAGGTAGACGTTGACCTCCCTGGGACCGTGGAGGCTGTGGGTCTAAGTTGGTTGGTATTGCCACTGCAGGTAGACGTTGAACCTACCTGGGACCGTGTGGAGGCTGTGGGTCTAAGTTGGTTGGCATTGTCACTGCAGGTAGACGTTGAACCTACCTGGGACCGTGTGGAGGCTGTGGGTTGACGTTGACTCTGGGGTTGTGCTCGAGGTCGTGGGGTCAGTGTTGCGTGTTAGCAGCGCATAATTAACATGGCTCGCAAAAAAACGAATCGGTAAAAGTTCGGCAGTTACATGCACAGACCGTATGACGTTCCGACACCACGTGACATCATCCAGATGTTAGGTGGCTAGCCGGCACACGCCACTGTTAGTATACAGCCTGCCTGTAAACAGATAATTCTACCATGCCAGGCATGCGGCTGCCACCAGGACGACTACCTGGTTGCAGCTTGGAGCGTTACAGACATGTTAAGCAACATGCAGCAAGCACCATGTTGGGGAGGGATTATATGAAACAGGTTTTGGATCCTAGGAACCATTTTCCCTGCATGAACGATCAACAGCACCCCTCTTGCCCACTGACAACACGTGAACGGTGCAGCATGCCGCCCTCAACATCGTACAACGCCACTGCCCTTGTTACTACTCATCATCCACGTGCTCATGTAGGTCCGGCCTAGCCTGTCACTCAGCTCGCTTCCCTCCACCACCCACCCACCCTTCCCAAATTCATCAGCAGCATGAAATCAAAACACGTTTGCCTGGCCCGACTGCCTTACAATAAATCAGCCGTGATTGTCCACCAAAGCATTGTACGATTTTGTTTTATTTCATCGAGCTGGGCAATCAGATGCCCAGTTATTTTCGGCTCTGCCAGTGTGCGTCAGCCTTCCAAAGACTTACATTCACTCCTTCTCAGCAGAGTACATTTGATGACAATTGTAATAAAATGTGCAGGTTGTGGTTATATAGTATGTTGGAATATCTTAACATAAACGCATTTTTACACATGGGGACACATCAGTGTTGACAAAAAAAAGAACCGAATGTTAATACATGCGCCGTGTCAAATATACCATTGTCCTGCACTTTCCAATTTACGTTTTACACCAATGCTTGCACCCCGGTATATTTCCGTGCAAATATCAATGTTCATAATTCTAAAACAAAGCTCCAACCCAGCCTGCCGAAAATGTGTTCGTTGTAAAAGTTGGAATATTACGTAACTTGCAAAACACTATAAACCCAATAAAACTCAAAAAAAGGCAGAAACACATGTTTAATTTTTTTAAACAAGCAAACATGATATTTAACTTTAAAAAAGTCCTTATTTCACTACCAACATGAAAAATAAATCTCTATGCCCACCCCCGTTTGACAATAGCCACAGACACGGGATGCAAAAGCATTTTCACAGAGTGCAAACATGAAAAAATCCAGTGCGCTCCCCCAGACCACCGAAGAACTTGCGAGGGATGTTACGTTCGAATGAGTGGTGGTGGTGGTGGGGGTTGGCACCAGTGGTAAATTCACCATCGCTGGACAACTGGGAAATGTGCGGTGCAGTGCCTTGCCTCAACCTCCTAACAAAACGCGTGGAGGAACTCCCTCTGCCCTTTTGGGCAAATACGGACACGGGCGGCCACCGTTTGAGCCACACCGCCACGTTGCTTTTGGAGCCGGCTACCAGTTGTAGCCCTGAGGCGTCGGCTTGTCGTCCTTGCTGCTCTCCAGTGAGAAGGGGGGGATTCGGGTGTCAAACTGCGAGCTGTCCGGCTTTTCGAAGCGGAAGGTGCCCCTGGAGGACGAGGTGATTGCAGGAGAGTGAGGGGGGGGGGGGGCAGCTCTTGCCTCTCAAGAAGGCCAAGACATAAAACCACATCTCTGTTAACACTCGGACACACACACACCTGTATACACGACAAACAGCCACCGAAACAAACTTTCACAATGTGCGCCTCAACACATACGAAATGTTAAAATTTATTTAGGTCACACCGTTACACATGCTGCAGTTCCCAGCCAGAATCATGATGAGCAGACTTATACGGCATCGATAATACTTTCAATCGCTGTGGGAATTTACATGCGTGTACCTGTAGGCTGTGAATCTTGAAAAAATCTCCTCCCGACATAGGAAAGAGGCAAGTAATTCGGTGCAAGTGTCATAAAACTATAATGCCAGATGTTAAATATATATTTAAGTGGCTCACCAAACTTTGATGACCACGTTTAGGCATATTGTTACGTAGAAAGATAAATATCCAAGTCACTATTATTTAAATACATGAAATACACATCACACTATTCATGCCTTTGCCTCTATGGGCTGACAGGCTAAGGTCGAGGAGGCCAGGCGACCTTGCATCCAGTTTCCAAGACCCTTGGAAATGAAATTCACTTTGGGTCCATCACGGTTTCAATGCTTTGTCTGGCGGGTTTTGCTCCCCAAAATGATCATTCGGACTTGATGGTGACGTGTAATTTCACCGCCACTCTAAGACCTTTCCTGGGAGCAAGGTTTGGCAAGTTTGGGGTGTCTCCCGATTTTTCACATTTTCTCCATTTTTCAAAGCTTATTTCTACACAAAGAACCACCACACACATCCATGTCCTTATACTAATTAGAGGATCTTTACAAAATTAAATTACTCACAAATGCGAATACTACGAAGCAGTTCTATACGGCACATGGCCCATACATTCACGAGTGGCGATTTGCCATTTAAAGTTTTATTTCAGGCACGATACTACTCCGCATGATCAGTGCAAAAAAGGCATATAATATAATTACTTTACATAAATACAACTTCAAACAATGGATGATTAAAATGGAATTGGCGATGAGAGACAATGGACACAGTACTATACATATCAACCAACGAAATTAGTAAAAGTACAGCAAGCATTAGTACATATTTTAACGAACTCAGCGGTCACAAAAGACGTTGTACAACATACACAATGAGTGCCTGTTATTTCAACGTCAACTTGGAACAAGAGATGTCGTTTTGAAGGAGGCAAATGTCATGGTATGTGCCAATGTGCGCACACAAGACAAACAATCCCAAAAACCATGACGGTGGCAGCACCTTGTGTTACATGCGATCGGCTAGCCAGGGGAACCGAGCCTGCAAGCATGAATACATGCAAAGAGGATTACAATAAACAGTTGGACTTTATGAAGAACAGAAACTAAAATTATACATTTTATTCCAGTTACTAGTCAAGTTCCAGTGTCTACCCTATTTATACCAGCAACACTCATCTCCATTGGTGGACATTCCACATTCCCATGGCAGCAGCCGATTTCTCCACAAGACTTCCCGACAAAACACACTTCCTTTTCATCGACTCAGAGGAGCAGAGGCTCACGGGATGGAGTTCACCTGTGACTTGGATTTGAACTGTCAAAACATCTGACCAATGAGTCAAGCAATCTAAGATCACATGAGACACCCAAACCAGTTGAAGTAATAAAACAACGTTTATGTTTTATTTAATACAACCTGAAATTGCTGTGTAGCACTCTACTCTGACCACAAGGGGCGGTGGGGGTTGCCTGGGTGGATACTAAAATGTATGTATGGGATATGTGCGCCAGTGGTGAGATGTTATCTCCCTCGCATAATGTGCAGGAGGTCGTGGGTTCGATCCCGACCCTGCTGGCTGTATATTTGGGAGTTTCCATGTCCTCCACGGGGTCGCGTTGATTTTTCTTGGGGTTCTCCGGTTTTTCCCCGTCCACATTTAGAAACGTGCGTTTACAGTATTTGCCTGCGATACATTCCCACGTGATAAGCCACTTCGTCGGGTGATCATTTGTGACCAGGGTCGCTTCTGGAAAAGAGCTACATAGCTCAGTGGGCCTTACCTGGTAAAAATAAAGTGTTGGAGTGCCGTGTGGATCTGCAGTGCGGGTTGCATGTCACGTGTTCCTCCCTTCAAACCAGGTTCGCGAAAGGGCCGGAGTATGCATCCGTTTGACTGTCCAGGTCAAAATTTGGGATCTGTCCTTCAAAGGAACTCCCGTTGTCTCGCTCAAACCGAAACGATCCCCTGAGAAAATCGAATACATATGTTGTATCGTAGACGGAGGTACTCGGAGACGGAGGTTGAGTTAGGGGCTTCCGCCAGGGTTTATTAACACTTATCACTATCCCTGGTTCCCTCTTTACCCCTTCCACTATCCCCGTTCCTCCAGTGACCCCGCTTACGTTACGGGGTCTCCCTTATATACCCTCGGAGGGGTGATGTCGCGTGCACTGCCCAGCGCGTGCGACCCCACGTCCCGTGAGGTCACCGCACCTGACAGCGCACACGACGCCACCACTCTCCACTACTCCTCTACATCACCCCCCCCCGTAAAAAAAAACAGCCGACCCGGCTGCAATCAACCTTAGGGCAGCACGGCCCTTCAAGCAGAACAGTAACAACAAAAAACAAAACAAATAGAGCCCGAAGGCCTCATCCGCCGGATAGCGCCGAACGGGCGCCAGGGGCTAGGCCCGCTGAACGGCCATCAGGGCCGTCACCGGAGCCGCACCCCCCTCGAGCGGGTATGCGCTGCTGGCCCGCTCCCTCGTGCGGTGTCCGCCACCCGTGCAGGTGGGCCGTCAGCGGGCAACAGGCCCACCGCCGTGGCCTCCGGTGCCTGGGGGGTCTCTGTCGGCCTCACTCGGGAGGGGCCTGGGGGCACACACACAGGTCGGACGTCACCTCCGTCAACGAGACCCGGCCGGTCAGGCACGCCGGATACATCATCAGCCGGCCGCTCCGGAATTGGGGGTGGATCCCCCAGGGTAGATGGAACATAACGTTTGAGCCGGGACGGGTGCACTATCCACTGCCTGCGACCGAATCGAATCCGGACGCATTGCGGCCGGCGGACCTCCACAACCTCCACGGGTCCCTGCCAAGGGCGATGCAATTTGGCCGATGTGCCAACGGGGACCTGGGGACAATGCAGCCACGCTTTTTGACCCGCTACCCACGGGAGGCCAGCTGCCTGGTGTTTTGGCAGCCGCTCATTAGCCGCCTGCCGGCTTGCGGAATTCTCGGCAGCGGCCTGTCGCGCCTCGCGCAGCCGGTCAAGTGCGACCTTCAAAGGGGTCGGCACCGACGACCCCTTCTTGGAGGAGCCAACGTCCATCTGGACGTGCACCGGGGGCTCCGGTTCCCTACCGTACATTAAATAAAAAGGCGAAAATCCCGTGGAGGCATGAGGGGCCAACCGATACGCCGCCAAGACCCCCGGGACGAACAGGTCCCAGTCTGACTGGGACGTGTTCACCTGGTGGCACAGCATGGACGTAAGGGTGCGGTTCAAGCGCTCTACCATCCCATCTGACTGGGGGTGGTAGGGCGAGGTGCGGATTTTCTTGGTGCCAAGGAGGTCACACACCTCCTTGAGCAACCTAGACGAGAAATTCCGCCCCTGGTCAGTCAACAATTGTTCCGGCGCGCCCTTGTCAAACACGTATCCCTGGACGAAGGCCTCGGTGATAGAAGAGGCCAACTGATCGACCAAAGGCCATGCCATGGGCCAACGTGTGAGGTACTCAACGCCCACCAAGAGGTATTTGTGGCCCCGTTGGGATGCAGGGAATGGCCCCAAAATGTCGAGCGCCACGAGCTCATTAACGCGAGAAACCCGGATGGACTGCAGCGGGGCCCGGTCCTGGACAACTGGGGCCTTCCTCCGCGCGCAGTCGTGGCAACCCTTCAAAATCAGTGCTACGTCACCCTCAACACCCGGCCAGTAATAGTCCCGCTTAAGGGTCAATAAGGTCTTGTGGTAGCCAAGGTGCATAAGCTTCTCGTGAATGGCTCGGGTTAATTTACCACGCAGGCTAGTGGGCACAACCACACAATAGCGTTCCAATTGGGCATCCCAACGCATGAGTAGTCCGTCATGCACGGCGATCGCCGGGGCAGCCGACGAAGCTAAGCTCCGGGCGTTATGTCCGACACGGCGCCGTAGCTTCAGCAGAGAGGAATCCTCCATCTGCAAGCCGGACCATACCTCCCGGGGAAGTCCAAGGCCGAAATCTGCGGTCGACGCCGCACCTGGAGGGGTGTCCGCCTCGGCCGACGCGACCAACTGGGCCGCGGCGTCCCCTGGGGCCTTGCAACGGCTAGAGCCCAGGGCGCAAGCACACCCGCCGCCTGCCGGCAATCGGGATAAACCGTCCGCATTTCCATGCTGTGTCCCCTTCCTATGGATTACATCAAAAGGGTAATCCTGGAGCACTTCGAGCCAGCGAGACAGCTGACCCGAGGGCTGACTAATCTTCAGCGAATATTGCAGGGCCGCGTGGTCGGTTCGGACCGTAAACAGCCTACCGTACAAATATGGTCTATACAACTGAACAAAATAAACTATGGCCAAAAGCTCCCTCCGGGTCACACAATATCGCTGTTCCGTCGAGGACAGAACGCGACTGCCATAGGCTACCACCCTCTCAACCCCGTCGACCACCTGGGCCAGGACAGCCCCAATTCCCGTGTCGCTGGCATCGGTATCGAGCAGGAAGGGTTTCGTAAAATCCGGGTACCCCAAGGGCGGCGCATCCGCCAAGGCCGTGCGAAGCGCCGCAAAAGCCGCCTCCTCCTCCGCGCCCCAGTGAAACCTTTGTCCTTTGGCGGAAAGGGCGTGCAGTGGCTTCGCAATTGTCGCAAAATCGCGGACAAACCGGCGATAGTACGATGCGAATCCAACGAAGCTACGCACCTCCGCGACAGATGTGGGAGTCGGCCACGTCCGGACACAAGCCGTTTTATCCGGGTCCGTGGCGACACCTGACGTGCTAACAATGTGTCCCAAATACCTCACCGATGGTTGTAGCAAGTGGCATTTCTGGGGTTTGAATTTCAAGCCAGCAGCACGCACTTTGACGAACACCGCCTCAAGGCGTTGCAAGTGCTCGCCAAACGTATGGCCAAAAACAATAACGTCATCCAAGTAGATTAGACAAGACTCCCACTGCAGCCCCGCCAAGACCATCTCCATGAGACGCTGGAAGGTGGCCGGGGCCGAATGGAGACCCATAGGAAGCCGATTGAACTCGAACAACCCCTGGGGCGTGCGGAACGCTGTTTTGGGTCTAGAGGCCTCATCCAGTGGCAATTGCCAGAAGCCGGAGAGCAAATCTAAAGTCGAAAAGAACCGCGCGCCCGAGAGGGCGTCCAAGGAATCATCCATGCGAGGCAATGGATATGCATCAGCCACCGAGATCTTGTTCAATCTACGAAAATCGACGCAGAACCGGAGACTCCCGTCCCGTTTCTTGACTAGCACAATGGGGGCACCCCAAGGGCTAGTAGATGGGGAGATGATGTCCGCCGCCAACATTTCCTCGACAGCCGAGCGGACATGATCTTTTTCCGCTGGGCTAAAGCGGTGGGAATTAAGTCGAATGGGGGCCGCGTCGCCCGTGTCTATGTGGTGGTCCAAAAGAGTAGTGCGACCCAGATCAAACTTACTTTGGCTGAACACATCGGTGAACCGTTCGATGAGGTCGCGGAGTTGCCGACGTTCCCCGAAGGACAACGAGGCATTCTCGTCGCACAACGTGGCGATCCATGATGCGTCGGGGTCCCCCGTGCGCATCACGCCCGCCACGACCCCTCCATCCGGGGCAGCGCTCTCGGGTGGAGGAGCCGGGGTTGCGTGTGCCAGGACGGCGCCGGCCGGGACTATGACCGGCAAGGGTCCCGAATTGAGGACCTGCAAAAAAAAGTCCTGGCCCCCCGACACGGCTGTCAAGGCGCCCACCAACCCCTTCGTCCTTGAAAAGTAGCTTGACGGGGACAGGAGGATACCCGTCTCCGTGGAGCCCATTTCGAGCGGTTTGCGCAACCTAAGGGGTATCAGGATTTGTGACGCCGGTGGTACGGTCACCGGCACTTTATTCAAGGCCCGTACACCGGCGACCAAGGGAGACAGGACGGTAGGTGATTGTAGGAATTGCAGCCGCCTCCCTGACGGCATTTCCACACAGCCCTGGTCAACGAGAATTCGGATGGGCATCCTAGACAAAAAGTCGGTCCCCAAGAGGCATGGCACTGCCAAGGTCCTGGAGACCAAAATCGGCCCGGCCAACTCAATCTCGTCAACCCGAACCGACGCTACAACGTGGCCCAGGATGCCCAAACTGCCGCCGTTCGCGGCGACACAAGCCCCGCGAACCGGCCTTAATGGACCCACGCTGCGGGGTAGCAGCCCAAAAATGGCCTCAGAAATAATGGTGGCCGACGCCCCCGTATCCACCAGGAGGCGAACGTGCACCCCTTGCACATATCCTGCCACCGCTGAGGAGCCGGCAGCTGCCGCCACCATCCTATGCGCAAGCGCATCCCAGTGGCGGGTCTGTCTGGGCCATTGAGGGGGTGATGACGATGGTGCACCCGACCCTTCGAGGACAACCCCATGACGATGGGCCCTAGCCCCGCTAGATGCATGAGGTGAAGGGAGCGGCCGCGCAGATGATGCGTCGCGACTCGCCTGGGGCCCCGAACCCGATGCCAAGGAGGGTCTGGGAGAAGGTGGAGTCCCTTTTCCAAAGGCCCCCGGGGCATTCCGGCAGCCCCGCTCAATGTGGCCCCGCTGACCACAGCGGAAGCAGGCCACCGTGTCCGCCTCCTGTGGACGGGAAGGTCCCGGCCGCCCCCGCTGCTCCGGACGGCGACCACCCGTCCCCCTTCCTCGACGATCGGGCATCGCCAGGGCCGCGAGGGTGTCCCCCCCGTCCGGCGCCAGGATCCCCGCACACGCCGCCATCTGAGGCCGTTGGCGGAGGGAGAGGTGCGCCTGAATGTTTTCTGCGACCGCCAAGGATGTGATCTGCCGATCATTGTTGATCGACAGAGCAATTCCTAGCTCCCTTGCCAGGTCAAGCAGCTTCCCCAAGGCCATAGAATCAAGTGCCCTGCCGTACAGGTCAGGGTATGCAGCCTGCGCCAGGGCCAGGAGCGAGCAGCGGAAGGCCAGCGGCAGTTCCCCCTCCTCCCGCCGCCGCAATGAAAACTTTAGCTGCGCGGTGGACGGCGGCTCAAAAACGTTGGCCATTTGGATATAGGCCGCCGGGAGTGTAGCCCGATTGGCCGGATGGATGGACTTGAAGGCCTGCAGAGCCCTTTCGTCCAAGCAGGTCGGAAGCGCCGGCAAGGCCTCCTCCATGGACCAGCCGACCGACATGTATGCCGCGTCGAACCGGTCCTGGAAGGCCGACCAGTCGCCCCCTTGCGCGACAAACGGCGCAACGTCGGGTAACCTGCGCTGCCATTGGCCGCGCGGCGCCGCGAGGTGTGGAAGCCAAGCGGCACCTGCGGGCCACCCAGCGGACGCGACGTGTTGCGGCGGTGGCAGCATTGCGGCTCCCGCGGGCCACGCCGAAGACGCGGAAAGGTGCGGTGGTGCTGCGGCCCCCATGGGCCACGCCGTAGGCGCAGCGAATTGTGGCTGAGTTGCGGCCCCCATGGGCCACGCCGTAGGCGCAGCGAATTGTGGCTGAGTTGCGGCCCCCATGGGCCACGCCGTAGGCGCAGCGAATTGTGGCTGAGTTGCGGCCCCCATGGGCCACTCCGTAGGCGCAGCGAATTGTGGCTGAGTTGCGGCCCCCTTGGGCCACGCCGTAGGCGCAGCGAATTGTGGCTGAGTTGCGGCCCCCATGGGCCACGCCGTAGACGCAGCAAAGTGTGAAGGCGCCTGCGCTTTCGCGACCCACCGGTCAGCGGCGGCGTACGAAGCCACGGCGTCGTCCCGCGACGCGGCGAGGGACCACGGCGTTGCAGCCTCAACGGGCCACGCCGAAGACGCGGCGGTGTAATTCGGGCCTGCAGCGGCCCCCGCGGCCCACCCCGCCGGCGCAGCGAGGTGCGGGACAGCGGCCGCAGCCGCGGCAACCTCTCGCGATGCGGCGAGGCACCACGGCGTTGCGGCCTCCCCGGGCCACGCCGTAGACGCGGCGGTAAAACACGGAGCCGCGGTGGCCCCCGCGGCCCTCCCCGCCGGCGCAGCGAGGTGCGGGACAGCGGCCGCAGCCGCGGCAACCTCTCGCGACGCGGCGAGGCGCCACGGCGTTGCAGCCTCCATGGGCCACGCCGAAGACGCGGCAGAATAACACGCAGCTGCGGCGTCATCCATGAGAAGGGACGCAGGCACGGCGAGGTGCAGAGCCGCGGCATCGCCGGTGTCCGGCCCCGTGAGCGCAGCGACAGGTTGAGCCGCGGCAGCACCCGCGGCCCATTCCGGCGGCACAGCGATGTACGGGGCAGCAGCAGCCGCCGCTGCCCACCCCGGCGGCCCGGCGAGGACGGCACGCGCGTACTTACCCTGGGCCCCCCCGGCGGGCGCCGCTTGATGTAGAGCCGCGTCGTCGCCGGCGGCTGGTCTCGCAGGAGCGGCGTGCCGAGAAATCCCGGCCGCGTCGGTGGAGAGACGCGGCGTCGCGGTCGCCATGGCAGCCGTAGCAGCGGCCGCATATGGCTCCCGAGCCAACATGGCCGCCGCGGATTGAGTCGCAGCCAACATGGCGGCCATTTCCGGTGGAGCGGTCGCTGGGAAAACTGCGGCGCTTTCAACGTTGGCAGTTGACAGTTGCTCCCGTCCCGCGTGCGGGGCGGTTGGCTGCGTCCGCGCCTCCACCTTGGCCAACCTGGCTGTCAGCTGCCCCACCGCCTGCAGGAGCTGCTGCAGCAGAGCTGCGGGGACGCTCTCCGTCTCTGGCGGCGGCGGTGAGCTGGCACTCCCCGCAGCCGACTCCTCCCGCTCCGGCCCGCTCGTCTCCACGGGAACCGTCACCGGGGTCCCGGGCTCCGGGGTCACTGCTGGAGCCTCCTCTCCGCCTTCGGCGCCCTCCAAGTCATGTGCCGGTGGGTTCCTACGCCGTGCGCCCGCTTTATACATGTTGGCGACGGTGTAAACTTCTGACACCAGTTGTTGTATCGTAGACGGAGGTACTCGGAGACGGAGGTTGAGTTAGGGGCTTCCGCCAGGGTTTATTAACACTTATCACTATCCCTGGTTCCCTCTTTACCCCTTCCACTATCCCCGTTCCTCCAGTGACCCCGCTTACGTTACGGGGTCTCCCTTATATACCCTCGGAGGGGTGATGTCGCGTGCACTGCCCAGCGCGTGCGACCCCACGTCCCGTGAGGTCACCGCACCTGACAGCGCACACGACGCCACCACTCTCCACTACTCCTCTACACATACAAGGGGGTTTTTACAGTCAAACCTTGCGAAAATTAAAATGTAGGTCAACAGTGGTGATTATTCAATAACGGATAGGAACACAGACAATTTCGCAGACTCAAACCCTTCCCCTTCTTCCATCAAATTACCAACTCACAAGTTCCCACAAATCGAAAAAAAAATTACTTTGCAGCCTCATTTCATGACCCTTTAATAAACCAAACTTCAGTGTCTACCAACACCCAAAACGAGGCTAAGCGATTACTCGTGACAATCAGTAGCCCGAAGCCACGGGTGGAAAATAGCCATTACTTTGGCAGGAACCAGTTTATCAACATATCCACGGTTTACACAGACTGCAGCACGGCCACCTGCTGTTGTGACTTTCACCAAACTGGGTGTTGCTTTTATAAATCCCAGAGTACCAATGGGCTGCGTTGACCCCGACTTGAATTTTGAACAGACCATGGGCTTCCCAACAGCATTTGCAGCCGCTACTGCAGTGAAACAAGGGCAAACGCCGAGTATTTTATTTACAACTGAATGCGGTGAAGTTAGTCAAGACCTCAAGTCTACTGCACCCCTACATACACCAGCTTTGCCCTTACAATCAGTTGGCTGTCGGGATGCCTTTCTCCACAGACCTCAAGCTCTCAATTTCCCATACAAACACTTACATGCAACCTTGATCAGGAATTGTAAATAATTGAAATGGTCAACACATGAATAGAATGCATTTATTATGTATGAATTGGATAAAACCTGTCCTAAGGGAGTTACCCAATGTGGATAATACCAAAGGCATGATATCAGAGCACTGAAATAGAACAGTCAAGGCTAACAGGAAGAGTCAAATCGTAACTTTAAATATTCCATTATTGAAAAAAAATTTGCGTGGAGTTAACAAACCTAACAAAGGAAACTTGGAGGAAGACGCATGCAAGGTTTTAAACCGAAAGAGGATAATGAAAATTCAACTGCAAGGTGTTTGCAACACAACCATTCGCCGTATACCTAACAGCGAGACAGTTTATTTAACACAAAGCTGTAACCCTTAGATGCTACAGCCATGGCACCTCTGCCAGGCTTCCCAACTGTTTACATCTCGTTACCGATTAGCCTCAAATCACCTGCCGTGGGCCTGCATGAATAGATAAGATAATGCGACGGTAAAACAGCCTTGACCGTTTCAGCCTCAAGGAGAAGCAAAGAAAATGTGTCAAACACCACGATTGTTGATGACAATCCTCTTGCTGCCAACTCCCATCCGAGGCAACGATGTTTGCTGCGTCTCGATGCAAAGCAACTCCGGAACGGCGGTGGTGACGTCATAATAAAACACTACAAATAGGACGTGAAAACGTCTGAATGTTAACCTGCAAGGGAGCTGCTGTAAATAGCCATCTCTCATGGAGGCAAATTCCATCATCGGCCACGATTAAATCACTGATTTAAAGCTTTCGTAACTGCAGGGATTCATATTCTTGGTTCTTTCGGTAAAGTCACGTAGAAGGGAAACAATAAAATAATAAAAAATATAAAACAATTAAATTATCACGACGTTTCGATTGCAACACAAGCAATCATCATCAGGTGTGAAAACCACTTTATTCAAATTTTCTTGCTGTGGTTTTCAAACCTGATGATGATTGCTTGTGTTGCAATCGAAACGTCGTGAGAATTTTTTTGTTTTATATTTTTTATTATTTTATTGCTTCCCCTTCTACGTGACTTTACCGAAAGAACCAAGAATATAAACCACTGCTGGCAAAACTGACAAACGGGCCTATACTCGTACGGCATGTCTGCAAGATCACCGCTTTACAAAACAGCTACCACCCAATAGCATCGGATTAGAAAACGAAAAATGTACACAAAACCAGCAACTGCAGCTCTATGCCAATACAGAAAGCCGGAAATGGTGCCAAGAAAACAGGGAGTAGGCGTACAGTCGGTCACATAACAGTCCAGAGGTGGGACAAAGTCATTGTTATGCAAGTCCAAGTCGAGTCTCAAGTCATCAAATTCATGACTCGAGTCTGACTCGAGTCCAAGTCACATGACTCGAGTCCACACCTCAGAGGTGGGACAAAGTCATTGTTATGCAAGTCCAAGTCGAGTCTCAAGTCATCAAATTCATGACTCGAGTCCAAGTCACATGACTCGAGTCCACACCTCTGCATAACACCACACGCCAAGCCACAAACTACCTCTCCTCCGAGAGCTGCCAGTTTCGTAAGGATTCCAGCTAGGGGCAGCTGTAAAGAATTGCTATCTTGTGAACATTCGTTTAAGCGAATGCTTCAGGAAGATGGAGAATTATGCACGGGGAATATTTTCACAGCATCACACCGATGCGGGACGCGCATAAACTCAACAGAAATGAAAGGACAGAAAAAAACACCTGCACCCAATACAAAGATGTAATAGGGGGATTAGTTTGATTTCAAAATTTAGGATCAGATCTTTAGGAAAATTCACCATCTTTTAGATTTCCTGAAGATTTTGATTGTGTAGTAATTTAACGTGCCTACTAACAAAAGTAATGTCATCCGATGCCACTTTTGGCATAAAAATCATGTGACATTGAAGCGACGTAAACGTCTTGTGACGTTATTTTTGGATAAATCCGCAAACTATATCGGATATCCGAAACTTAGTATTTTAAGCACAATTTTCGGAATTATCTGAAAATAGGTCACTTTTACCAAGTGTAAGTCAGCCTGTGCTTCAGGATCACGGATCTCGTGCCGAAAAACTAAAACACTTCCACCCTCCTAACAACTCCTACCTAAAGAGCACACAATTTGATGGACATTATAGCATGGAGAAGGAAGCATCATTGGCATCGGCCACGGTGATCTTATTAAAGTGCGAGATGTGTGGGGGGGGGGGGGGGGTTAATATCTACACAAGTGCTTTGGCACAAGCATGACTATTCTAAAAGAGCATGGTTTCAACCAAATCGTTCCCAAGAAAGATTGGACCTGGTTTTACAAAGGGTGTAAGAGAAACTCGTGTATTTTAATGGGTCGTGATTTTTAAAAATTCATTATAATCCATGTTCAATCCATTGCTGGATAAAAGTCTCAAAGCCATTCACCACCAACATCACAACCCTGCAAATGCAGCAAAAACCCACAAGGCAAATGAACAGATTTCGTCTCTCCACCTCTCCGCTAGTTTTCTTCAGCCGCGTTGCATTCCGCGTTATTATTTTCCTCATCATTCTCGACCATCGGCCCTCATTCCCCTCTAAAGACTTGTCTGTCCAAGCAGTTACTTCTTTCTGCAGTCCGAATTCTGTCATTAACCTAACGTTCTCAAATCCACGCGTTTATCATATCTTTGCCTCTCAACGTAATTCCAAGCGTGCGTCTTCTAACCTTTCAGTTTTGTTCCATATTTTTCATTCATGAGCATTTTTAGACCCATAAATCATAGCAGGGCTGATAAGAGACCCTTTTTTGCCCTCCCCCCCTTTGATACAATAACAAACACGTGACAAACACTGGAAGCCTCACACACAACAAGAAAGCCGTAGGCAGAGCCAAGTAAAAAGAAGAGAAGCGTCTCACCACATGTGGCCGCTAGATGCCTGCAGCGAGACGTGGCTGCTGTACTGGAAGGCCGGCTGCTCTTTGGACAGGATGGGCTCCTGCAAATTAGAGTCACACGCACATATCCATTAGCCTCAAGGTCGAAGCAGTCTCCCCGCTCGTATAAACGGGGAGCTCATTCGCCACTATGAGACCTCCTTTACCAGTGGCAAAATATAGTAGTAGGTTTTTACCCTTGAAACTGGTACAAAACTGACACCTTTATACAAAGCATCATGTTTGCAATAACCGCAACACAAGCAGTCAAAATGCAAACAAAAAGAAACAACTCTGATAATGGTAATGATATGCACCGTCCTTGAAGTTGATTCGCCACTGGCAAACCCGAGCAATCGTCAGCAACGATCAATCTACCGCGGGATAAAAACCCTCCAAGTTGTCGCCAACACCTCAATCCGGCAGCTGCGCGGGAGCCGAGTTAAATCGCTCCCCCTCTTGACGGCGGATGCAGCCTCGCGAGTGCATCCCCCCCCTCCCTCGACTGCCACTGTCGTTATTCTTGGACATTTCACCGAGCACCAGCGCAGACTTCACCGTTTCATCTCTCCGGCGGACATCGCTCTGGGGTGCGTTTCGCCCCCTTTGACTGCCACTCCATCTTCATTCTCGACCATGAGCCGTCATCTTTTCAAGTGACGGGTTCTGCCCAACCAAATACTTTTCTTAACAGTCAAAATGACGTCTTTTGCTGTATATTCTCGAAGCCATGTGTTTCTTTTTCCTGCATCTTAAATGGTATTCTAATAATGCCTCTCTCCCCATGCTTCTTTGCGGACACTTTTGACCTTTTGTTCCATTCTTCATCAGTGGCCATGTGTCAGTTCCATGTGATAACAATACTCAAATATAAAACCGATATTGATAGGCAAAATTGGACGTTGCTTTTCATTTCAAAGTTCAACTTTCCTACCTCTCTCCAACCCACTTTCAACCACCTCTATTTCACATTTTTGATGTCGGCCTGCTTTTAATAAGGGACTTAATAAAGGTATATGTATTGTTGTCTTTTCCAGTTTATATTGAGTCCAACTCTGCAAACTTCTTCGAACATTTATTTTAGTTCATGCCCTTAGCTTTGTTAAAACTACAAAATGACAAAATAATCTGATATGTATGCTTGGTTCTTTCGGTAAAGTCAAGTAGAAGGGAAATAATAAAAATAAAACATAATAAAATAATACAATTCTCACGACGTTTCGACCACAACGCAAGCAGCCATCCTCAGGTGGAGAGAACAGGTCTGTCCGAAAGACGGCTGCTTGTGTTGTGGTCGAAACGTCGTGAGAATTTTATTGTTTGATTTTTATTATTTCCCTTCTACGTGACTTAGGAGGTCCACGGGACAGGCCCAGGGTGCCATGGGTTGCCCGATGGAGATGACTGACAGATGCACCAAAGACAATGCATGTATAGTCAAGAGCACGTTTTGTTTGCATGTCTTTCCCCAAGTACGTGTGGCTAATGCAGACTTGATGCCTTGCAATAAGTAACCATTTGGCGTTTGAATCATCTTTAACACCTCCCGTTTGATTGCCAAAAAGGATAAAAAGCCTATACCTTTTTGTCCATAATTTGTGATTAAATTACACGACCGCAATATGTTATCCCTCGTATCTTCCTCGCTCACCCGGCCGACAACGCCACGGCCGCGCACAGTCTCCAGCGTTCCCGAGAGGCTGAAGATCCTCCAGTGGCGCTCTCTCAGCTGCACCGTCTGCTCTCCAAGGTTCTCCAAGCGGATGCAGTACCTCCACTGCACGCGCCACCGCAGACCCGCGCAAAAGAGGCGGAGGGGGGGGAACACACCACATCCTTACGGCAATGGTGATGGAAATGTTCCCTTGACGTTTCCCTTGCTCAAACAAGTACGGGGAGGCGGGGGAGGGGGTACAATTTCTCTCCAGGCAGTCTGAAGCCAGTGGTTGAAAATGTTATGTTACACAATGTGGTGGGTCAGGTTCCTTAGACTGTGTACGCAAAATTATTCAATTTGTGTTGCAAATCAACATCTATTTACGGATTACAAAAAGGTGACCTGCAAAATGTATCACTCCATAAAAAACTATATTTCTCGGTCCACCAGCCTATGGGCATTCCAGACCATTATCATCCAGGAGCATTTTCTTACACAAAGAAAACTCTGAAGTGGTTTCAACAATTTGGGTCAACATAGTGTGATGAGGTTAATGATGATTAGAATTGTGTTCGAACAGAGAGGAATCGTTGTTTTATGTTGGAAAAGCTTCCGCAAATTAAAACGGGAAGGATTGTATAGAGACACATTCTAAGGGGGCAATGCCCATCTGAGAATATTTTTGTCTCATCCTCTGTAGCGTTTCAAGGTTAATTATTAACGTGTTCAAAAGTGGCAGCCAGCTGCCAGAGCTGTTGCAGAAATAGGACTTACCCAATAAACTAGGGCATTCTGCGTTTCCTGCAAAATATAAAGAAAACCCGTACACGTTAACAAACCAACGATTTTAATCACACAACACGACAACTTGCAACTTCCTAGAGCATTTGTTCGAGATCTTCCAGTGGCCTGAACGGTGTCGGTGATGTAAATCCCACAGGCTCATTTGCAGGGGTCAATTCCTCCAGCAACACATCTGTTGACATACAATCTGCATACACCATGACCATTTAATTCTTACACGCACGATTCGATGGATAATTTGTGAAGTGCATGAAACTGCTTGAAATTATGAACGTATGTATCGCTACAGGTCTAGTTTTCACACAATACACCACAAAACATGTTTTTTGTCTGGTTGAAATTTAGATTCAAACGCTATTCCAAACCGACTCTCAATCGCAACACATTTCACATGGCTCAACGGCAACATGCCCTGCTGTTACAATATTCGCTATATAGACCTCACATGTACCACTCTCAAGGCAATGACAGTTCACTATACGCTACTCTAGAGCACAGATGCTAGATAGCTCAACACCATTTCTCATCTGGCTATTTCGTAACGATGAACGCCACATCAAGTGCTCCGGCTGACGAATGGTCGTCACAAAAATGCAGGTACCCACTTTCGCTTGTTTACCGCAAAATGTACCACTCGAGCCTTTCTGTGTTTTTCCATGTTGAGTTTATGCAATGGAATTGGCCGGTTTGCTTTCATTACTCCTATAATAAGCCAAGAATGTGTGTGTCCCGCACGTGACGTCACTCCACGAGGCCCACCCCCCCCCGCGTGACGTCACTCCACATGAGGGCCACCCCCCCTCATTAATATTCATGAGCGGGTGGATATTTACACGAAGGCAGAGGAAGGTCGAGCTGAATTAAATAATTTATTGCGCAGTCGCTTCAAATATGACGTTTCTTTACAGAAAGTGACGGTAAAAAATAAATCTACGCAGCACAGTGCTACATCCGTGCGTGACGTCACTGCAAAAGAGGCCCCCCCCCCCTTCATGAATATTCATGAACGCGTGGAAACTTACACTACCGCACAAGGTCACGCACTCCACATGCCGCACCCCCCCCCCCCATTAATAATCATGAGCTGAACAATTGTTCTATTGAATATTTCACATTTACTGCAATATACACCCATCCTTGGACAGGCAAAAAAGCTCGGCAGGCACGGCACATAGCCACCAGGATGTTTACACACAATTCCAGGTACTCGCTGACACAGCCAGGTCGACCTAAAAATTGGCCCAGGACTAGTTAAAATATTTATCACGGATATTGGCCTTGAGTGGGAACAAAACTCAGGTCACCGGCTTTGCAATCAGGTTGCACGAGGGTTTGTAGCACGGTGCGCTAACCGCTGCCCCATCACTCGTGAACACACACACGTACACAAAAAGATGAAGACAAAGATCCCCATATAGCCTAAACAGACTGTTGGGGCAAGTGCTGTTAGAGAGCACCTACGATGGCCGGCACGGCACACGAGGGGGTGGGTGGTGGCCAACACCACACCCGGCTGCCTTTTTGTCTTCCCAGCGGTGATGTTTACACGCCACACCGGGTACTCATTTGAGGTCGAGCCGACCTAGGGGAGGGCACCAAGGCCGGTTCAGATAATCATCACCGGTGCTGGCCGTGAGCGGGAATCGAATTTGGGTCACCGGGTTTGTAGTGCAGTCTGCTAACCGCTGCACCGCCACTTGTGAACGCACATGGGCATACACACACACCGTACCCGGGCACCCATGTAGAACGGTGTGACGGTGACACGAATGCCCTCCGTGGTTTCTCGGTGCACGTCCGAGAGCTCCAACCAAGGATGGTTCTTCTGCTGCCAGGCGTGCAGTGTCTCGCGTGCAGAAAACACGGGTACTGGGGAATAAGTGGAAAGGGGCAAAGATAACTACCCAGTTGTATTACAAATCGGCCACTTTTTTTTTTAAGACAGCATCTCCCCCCTCCTCTTCAAAAGAGCAATGGGTGATGCTCACCTCTGCTAGCGAGCCCAAAGTCGGTTGTGGAAATGCCATATTCTCATGGAGAGGGCCAGTCCATTAACACAAACCACTCCATTTCCATCACAGCGGTGGTCACCAACGGCTCGGAATAGTTAACGTAGAGAAGGGCTGGCACATTACTCGCTTGAGCGTGGACACGCTTACCTTTGAGCAAAGGTAAAGGAGCAGCCCCTGCAATTGCTTGCTCGCAATTGCAAGCGGAAGGGCTTTCATTAAGGGAGGGATCTCTCAAATCCGTCGAGGGGTATATCTTTGCATTCTCTTCCACGCTGGGCCAGACGTCTGGAAAGAGGTGGTGGTGGTAGCCAAAATTTACTCCGCCACGCACAACCAGTCGATCGAATGTGACGGACCAATTTACACAGCTGGGTGGAGAGAGGTGGGATTTAATAACTTGCCCATTGCTTCAAGTGCCATGCCAGGAGCTTGAACTGGCAACCTCTGCATGTAGACCTTCTTTCATGCCAGTACGTAGCCAACCGTGCTAATCTGCGGTGCAAGTCTAGTGTGCTAACCATCACAACACCATTGAACAAAGGATGTAGTGAATACTGCAAGGATGCTCATGTTACCAAAGTCTTTGCCTACCCTTGGTAGCGTCGTAGTTGAGGAATCTGTCAAACAGTTCATGCTGGATGGGATTTTTGTCCATGGAGTTGTACGGCAGAACGTCCTCATGGCTTACATAGTCCAGACCTGCAGGCAACAACAACCCAACGTTACACATTTGTGTTGGGGAGAAATCTAAACACATTCCTGCGGAGGGAGATGGAAGGAACGTTGGGTTGCTCGGTCAATGGCCAGTCAACGGCGGCGTGGTGTATTCCGCAAATATGGCCGACTGAGGGCGGGCACAAGCCGGTGTGAGTAGGTTAAACGTTGAGTTTTATAAGGGCACCACGGGGTGACCAGCCCCTCCCCACCCAGCCCCACCCCTCCCACCCCCCCCACCCAGCCCCACCCCCCCCACCCAGCCCCACCCCCCCCACCCAGCCCCACCCCCCCCACCCAGCCCCACCCCCCCACCCAGCCCCACCCCCCCCACCCAGCCCCACCCCTCCCACCCTCCCCACCCAGCCCCACCCTCCCCACCCAGCCCCTCCCTCCCCACCCAGCCCCTCCCTCCCCACCCAGCCCCTCCCCACCCAGCCCCTCCCATTTTTGTATGCACGACAGACGGACACAATAATCCCGTGGGCTGGTGTAACCAGGAGGTTCCTACCAGTATTATTGGCCATTTGCACTTTGTGAACGTGCACTGACCGTTGTTGATATTGGGATCGTTTCTAGGGGCTGCACGACCTCTTGGATTTTGGCCCATGGTGTGGTTGGTGGGGGTAGATGCGACTGGAGGGGTTTGAAGGGTTGGTGCAGTTGATGTGGTTGGGCGGATTGTTTTGCGAATGAGACTCCCTTATTGGCAACAAGTTTCAGCGGCTGTTGAACCAACCCTATGTATGCAAACTCATCATTTTCTTATCGCATGTCATCCCAACTTCTTTTGCCCTATTTTCTGCCCCAGTCGCTTTGTATTATGTGGATTGTGTTGCAAGGCGTTCTGAGATGACAGGATTTTAGGTGTTAGATAACGGAAAATCCGTATCAAGATCGACGCACCTGGGATGGCATAGAGGGCTCGGCTGTCTTCGTGATTCGCCAAGAATGTCACTCCTTCCGTCTGTGCACTCTGCGGCGACGATGATGATGAACACATCAGCCACACGTTCAGCCAAATGAAATACCTGCCCAAATAAGGTCTTACTTATACGGCGATAAAATATTTAAAACCTGCAAAATATTAGCCAAAACTATGATGGGGTTTTAACGATTTAACTCGAGCATTTCGAGGTATCCACACGTTGTCAATGTACACAGATGTGAATTTTAGTTTTTACACAAGACCTTTATTAACTCGGGTGAAAGTCTCGCCTTCCCCAACAATGGTTTCAGCAATGAAGCAGAAATAATCTTAATGGGCAGGAAAAAAAAATCGTCCAGCAAAGCACAGTATTGCACATCAAAAGTTTTCCCAACCCATAATAATAGTAAACAAATCATTTACCGATACCGTACTGGCAGTGGTGTACAAGAACAATTAACATACAAAATCACATTCGTTAATGACACCGCCTTACAATGTATATATTTATTACATAGGTGATTTTTCGGCTAAAGACCCTTCTTCATAGCACAGACCGGCCAAAGATATACAACTAATAAGGGCTAGAGACATTGCAATTAACACCATCACCAGTTTTTGAATAGGCATACGAATAGTTACTGAATAGTAACCGTCGAACAACAGACTTTGTACTTGATGGCCAGCAATCATCGCTTCATAGAGACGTGTCCTGCATGAGGTCACCGTGCTTTACGAGGATGCAGGGCTGATGTGAAAATAGAACAAGTAGACTCTTCTACTTACAAACGAGTTAGGTTCCAGGTCTGTTCCCAAGTCCAAATTTACCCATGTCGATTCCAAACATGTTGTACGGCGTATAAACTAAACACGGGAAATGGCTTTAAAAGTTGTACAATCTCCTGCAGATTCAGATGCCACTGGTTCTTCATGTCCTGCAGATGTAGATGCCACCGCCGCCACCTATTGTGGGGCAGTTGAACTTACGACTATCGGTTCCCGAACAGGTAACTGGACAGACGGGATCAGGTTTTTTTCGTATCTCCGAAAGCTTGCAAGTAGAATGATTGTAAATAGAGAGAGTCACAGAACTTCAAAAGTAACAGGTAATCAAACACAAGCCCATTGGTACGTACAATGTGAGGGCAATCGCGGGCATCGATGAGGACCTGGTAGTACGTGTGGGTCTTCCCCTTCATCTCCTTTCCCGTTTGTTGACCCACCGGAGGCTCCGATTTGCTACTGAAGGTCAAGACGGGTATTACGCAGAAAATATATACAGTTAAAAGTATAAAATGCGAATTAATTGTACGCGGCTATTGAATCAAATGGCTATAAAACAGTACCCGACGTTAATCTAACGTTACCAAAATCTCACAATTTTGCTGGAATTGCATAACCATGCTTATTTAAATATACATTCGATAATTTTCATCATTTGACATGTTGTAATGGAGTATTTTATGTATCATTGCCAATGTCCTTATATAGATAGATTGATACAGTAAAACCAGTTGTACAATAGTTGTTATTTTTCCACCCCAGCCAAGTAACCCGACTAGCTGATTCACAATGCACTTCTGAGAGCACCTTCCATAATCACTCTTTGGTTCTTTCGGTAAAATCACGTAGGTAGAAATAAAACAAAATAAATCACGACGTTTCGAAAGATATCGCGATTTTCACCTGAAGACGGGCACTTGTGCTGCGTTTGAAACGTCATGATTTATTTCGTTTTATTTCTACATACGTGACTTTACCGAAAGAACCAAAGAGTATGGATTCCTGCAGTCACAAAAGCTTCAAATCAAGATTCACCTTCCATAAATGGACACGCATCGAATCGTGTAAATGCACACAAACTTCACCAATCGCAGGTTTCCCCCATTGCGGATTTGATCATTCGCGCCAAGTTTACGGGAGGATATAGTTTGGCGATCGTGCCCATGTTGACCGTGAGATTCCTGTATTTATCGCAAATACCGTTCCTTCAATGCACTGCTCACGATTATGCTTCTACCGAAGAATACACACGTTGTTGTTGTACCGTTATTATTTCTTTGTAAAGCCCTTGGTTAAGGAGCTACATATTTTCTTGCATCGAACAAAAATCTCCAGGAGAAGATGGCTATAAAACAGTTGCGTGTGGCACCACAGATCGAAATCCGCCGGTTGCTCTAGCACTGAACGCAAACAAAGGATGGGTGGACACACGCACACCACATGTGCCTTTCTTCGTCATTTCCTGCAGCATCTCGGTCGTAGAGCCTCGCTTGCCACGGGAAGAGCACAACGCCACGGTATCCGAAAACTCTGTGCAGGAACAACTGCAACGGCAATTCGAACATCGGTACACTTTAAATACACGAGGCTTCCGATTTATTACGAGTGAAAGATTGCGCAAAGTATTTTTAGACTGCGTGCTTTGCATGTTGCGAAATAAAACTCTGGATTCCGAAATGCCATTTACAATTGCAGTGTTGTTCTAGATCAAGCTACCAGCGTGAAATGCATTCCATATTTGGCCTCTCGTAAACTCCCAGGACAAGAGATCAATAACCAAAAGGCACTTCAGGAATGAAACTGCATATATTCACAAATTGGTCGCGTGATTTTCTAAACAATAGTTCTAAATAGATGGTTAAAAATGGGATAAAATATTGGCCTATTTTCTGTGTTTGTAGATGTGTAGGAAGTAATCCTTTTCAGAATTTGTTTTACATTACCCGGAATCATACGACTATTCAAAATAATCTATGCCTCAAGTTTCCTGGATGGGCTCCCTCCCACGTGCCACCAACTCTCTCATTACTGGAATTGGCCAAACATTCCAATGCAGTGTATCCTAAAAATGTTCCTTGGTGTGGAGGCTTTTCCTGGATATAATGGCCTCTACGCAGAACACAACGTTAAATCTGGAAAGCAAAGGCAGCATTAATGAATGCAGTGCTCGTATGGGCCAGCGGAAATGTCACCAACCTGTCCAGTGTCATATTTTCCCTGTCTTGGCGCTTCCAGAATGCCGACAGTCTCCAGCACCTTGCCTTCAGCTCTGTTCCTATTTCAATCAAGAACGAGAGTAAAGAAAGCAACAAAAACAACGTTGTTCAATCACGTGCATGCATGCACAGATACATGCACGAATAAACGGACATTTGAAACAATCAAACATTTCCCATTTCAAATGATGAGCAAAGGGCAGTGTGCGGCACACATCCTTAAAGTCGACCCTGAACCGATGTCAGAAATTCCACATTCCTATGGACACGGGCACTCTCCATAAACACACAACACACCTTCCCATCGGAGTGGGTACTCATGTTACCAGCCAATGAGAGATGGGTTGGTTGGAATCAACCCTCGACCAGAATTAACTCTCAAAAGTTTCCAATTGATAGAAGAGACCACAATGGGCCATCAAGTCAGATGACAGATATGCAACTTTGTCTTACTCAGAAAGTGGTGGAAAACGACAACGCGGTATAACGGGTTCTATCGTCACAAATAACATAATTCAAAGAAGTTCAACGTAAATACATAATGGCAAAGGCAGTAATGGTATCATGGTCAGTCGACACGTTCTGGCAGGAGAGCAAATTTCAAACTGGGTGCAAAGCCAGATGTGTAAAAGCAAGCGGCTTGTGCAATGTGTTTATTATAAAAGTATGGTTTCACATGCCATGTGAATTGAGGACAAAAACGTGATGCATTGAATATCGCGTGGCAACTCATCCTAGCGATGGAGGGCAGCAGGGCAAGTGTCACGATTTCGTATATTCCCCCATCTCTCCCGACTACTTTGTTATTCTGATATGCCCATCCCTGTATTTCACTTTAGATTGAGAAACGTAATATTACACTGAAAATTACACGTGTGACAACACCATATTTTCTGGATCACAAGATACATCAGAAATTAAGACACGCGATTAAAGTTAAACAAATCTGGTTACACATACATACACCGACCAGATTATAACCTACACCTATAATTTTTGCTTTAAAACACAGGGATGGGGGGGGGGAGAGCGAGTCATATAATCCAGACAACACCGACATAAAACATTTTAAGGGTGGCCGTTACATTTTTGTACGTGAGCAATGTACGCCAAGGGTTAGAAGCATTGCTTAAAATAACACTCCATACTAGGATGAAACAAGCCAGCAGTCCCAATTTAGAAAAGCAAGGAATTCCAGTTTACGAACATGCAGTATTTGTTCATGATGAAAATATTCCTTGCACGCAAAAAGGCACTCAGAAATTTGGTCTGGATAGTAATCAAACCATTTATAAATCGCGCATTCACAATAATAGCAATCCCAATTTCTAACTAGGCAGTTCACGAATTGGATGCAGTGTTTCGATTGAGGACTCTTAGGATGGAGGCACGGTGCTCTGAAGCCCCTCGCATGCCAGCCTGAACTGGAGAGCCTTGAAGCTGCCCACTGGAAGGTAGATTGGTGTTCGATTGCTACAAGTATGTGCTGCGGGAGAGCAGTCCAGACGGCTGGTGCAACTACGGCAGAAGCGCGGCTCAGCCAGGGAAGTCCTGGTTCTGGGTGTGACGAGCAAATCATTAGACGCGCAATGTAAGACGCGAAAGTTTGCCGTGGATCAGTGGTGTGAAAATGGCGGGGAGGTATATAGCAAGAGGTTAAAGAGAGGTCGGTGGTGGCACAGGATAGCAATTTTGTAACATAACCTGGAGTTAACTGGGAAGCCAGTGCAGAGTTTAGCGAAAACATTTGGCCATGCCCAATTCCCAGAACTAGCACGTGACGTATTGTTTGGGTCTTTCGGTAAAGTCACGTAGATCGGTTCAAAGAAAATAACAAAAAAACTAAGTTTTTTTATTTGAACCTATCTACGTGACCTTACCAGAAGACCCAAATAATATGAATTCCTGCAGTCACGAAAGCTTTAAGTCAAGCACATGACATGTTGTTTTTTGGAGCCAATGTAGCTTGTTGGAGGTGTTTTAGCCGATGTCCGAGTAAGGATGAATGCTGAAAACGCTACAAGCCTGAGTGGTTTCTGGGGCTGTCGTCAACGACGGGCAGGTGTGCCCATGAGGCCCTGAAATATAGACTGCGTGTGTTCATGCCTGGGATGCCCAGAGTAACCGGGATTAAGTGTGCACTATAAACATACATTTGACTTGACGAGATTAGTAAAATGCAGGTGGTTGTTTATTTAATGTAGATTGTGCATTCTAACTCAGCCAAAGTGCGGTTGAACTAGCAAGCGACACAACATTTGAGTCGATTGTCTTCATGGAAATTGACGACTATCAGTAATAAATTCCACAAAATCCAGCTAAAGGTACTCCAGCACACCTTTAGTGCAGTGAGTGGTCATGCAGGCTTATTTTACAGACGTACCACACAATACGTTGTTTATACCATGTACTATTAATGTTGAATAATAACGATGCGATTCATTTATAAATATTCCACAATTTATGATAACCCTATTAACTTTCTATTCAAAACAATTGTGGGGAAAAAATGGCTCCATATCTTAAGAGGAACAAAGGTGGTGGTGGTATAGCATTGTATCAGGAGGGAGTTCAACGTTAACCGAGATTAGTGGGAGACATGTGAAGGTATTAAAATGACAATATCCAAAAAATTGAGCAGATAACTATTTTATTTCAGTGGTATTTCTAAGGATCACCCCCATACACAATACAAGAGTACATTCAGTGAGAAAACAATTACGGATCTCAGTGAACTGGGTGTAAAATTACTCCGACAGTCATGGGGGGGTTTTTCACCAAAAATAACAATTTAAATCCATCACCCAAAGGGCATTCTGGACCAATGCTGCCATCAGAATGTGTTTGCCGGCAAACCAGTGTCGATTTGGCAAGTATTCTCAGCAAGGTTTGTGGTATGTTATACCACTATGCTCATTGAAACAATTAGACATTTTTCATTAACAGGCAAATAAGAAATCACCTATATTTGGTCTAATAGATCAGGTCTAAAGATCTGGCGATTATGTAGATATGTTATGTTGGGCATATGATTTGAGATAATGAGTGGTGCAATGGAAGACATGAGATAATTATCATAACCAGGCATGGCAAAGCCACTCTCGCAGCCTGCTGACACGCATGAGCAGCTTACGCCACAGGCCCACAACTGGCACACTTGCAAATACCATTTCACTGAACGTGCCTGCATCGCACTACTGCATGCAAAGCGAGCTTGTTGGCTTAATTCAAAAGCGATGCATTTCTCTTTTTTTAATAAATCACGTTTAACCGACCCGCTAAACTGTCTCTTGTAGCCACAGAAGTGGATCCTTATTCCTATTAAAAAATATATATTTTCTGAAAAAGTATTTCTCTGTTGCTGCTTCACGTTTGTGAAACACTCCTCCTTGCTGCTCATCTCTAGCTTTGGTTCCCTCCTCCACCTCCCTCTATATTCCTAGAAAGGCAAAATAGAGATTACTTTCACGTACACCAAACCCCCCTCTTGTTCCCACATGTCTGCGGTCTCTATCCAATTCGCGTGTTTTTACACCACAAAACGTAAAGCTTACTCTCGTACTTTCATCGAACTTTCCCTGCCACCTCTTGCGCATATATTATACTAGTTCTTAAAGGCCCGTCTTCGCAGGGCAAACGTTTTCCATTAATATAATAATTAACCTGATTTTTTTTTTGAGTTTGTACCTACCATCAGACACTTTACTCCAAAAAAAAAATCCGCAAAAAAATACGAATTATTTACTTGATTCAACTTCTTATAAAGACGTACCCATCAGAAACCGCTCTATTTAAAGATTCCGTTCCTTTTTTATTACAAGGAAATAAAATAAAATTAACTTAATACTCTGAAGGGAAGATCCTATCTTTGACCGTTTTCGAATTATTCAGATTTGATCATCATAAAATGCATATTTTAATCCCAAACCGCTTGAATCTGCAATATCAGAAAAACAAATAAATATATATAACAATGGTTCTCGCTTTAATTTCACTTGTCGTTTAGCGCTCTATCAAATAAAAAAAACCCCGCAATATTAAATTTTGAACGGTTTCCAAATGAAAAAAGGCAGACATGTTTATGGGGCACTTAAAATAAAAAATCTAGAATTTTCAGATGTTCCCCATTATGTCCTAAAATCTTCCTGTGTAGCTCCTTCCAGCTTTCTACCTTGTTGAAAAGCACCCTAGAAGTTTTAAAGACAGATTAAGGTCTTCATTTAGATCGACAGATTTCCACTGTTTTTTTTATTCGTGTGCGTTTCGTTTGTGACCATTCGACAACGTGTTTTTTTTAGTTGTGAAATACTCCATAAGGGCATTGCTGTTCTCATTCTCTGCAATATCGCCGATGTTTGTTGTTGTTGTGCTCAAGCACCACGGGATCACCCATTGTGAAATAGCCAGGAAACTGGCTAAACGGGACCATCCATGTAACAAATAAATATCTACCAACTGAAATAAGTAAAACAAATCTTGGTGGGGATTGTCATTATTATAATTCGTGACAAGCATGTTTTTTTGCCCGCTAAAAAAAGCAGAAAGTAGATTTAACAAGTGGAAGAGGGATAGCACACATGGAACGATGCAGATCATCAAGTGTGGCGAGAAAGCGAGAGATGGGGAGGGCCAATGTTGATGTACAAACCGTACTGCAAGCAGTACTTTTGTGTTTGTGTCAAGGGTTTCACAATAGTTTGCTGTGTCATGGTTTCAAAATAGCCACTGGTGGTCAATGGAATTGGAATGACAGCATGCGCGCCCGTGTGTTATGTCCACCCGTTGAGAAAGTAGCCCCCCCTACATTACTGTACTTGGATTAGTTTCAATTGAATTAAAATCATTTTTAAAACTCAACCGTGGTAATCGTAAAAGTTTACACCATTTGAACTCGAGTTCCATTCTCTGCAACTGCCTATGGTAAATGTACATACAATACTGTAGCAGCTTTACTGTTGCAACATTTTATTTTTACAATCAAGCCATGTGCAAGGTTTTTCAGTGCCAAAATATTACAAATTCTGTTTAATTTGCCACTTGCTCATCTATTTTCGACTTACATGCTGGTGGCATTTCGTAGTTACTGTGAACTTGACCTATCAAGGTCTACCAAACAATATCCATCTCATACCACACCTCGATCAACCACGAACACTGCAGGTCAGAGCAGCTCCATTCCCTCCCATCGACTTTTTATTTCCCCTCAAGCTCCAATGACCTTGCTCAAATCAAGACACTTGCCACAAACTCACCCATTACAACTTTGTGACACTTTCATTCGGCCTTTGGGGCCTATGCTCATCAACTGCGTAAAACAAATTACCTTTTGCTTAGAACAGAGGTTCCAAAACTCTCATTTCCCTGCTGACCAGCAATTAAGGCCTTAATGATGTCCTCAGCTAATGGGCAAAGTGACCAGAACCACCGTCACCGTCCTTCACCCGTGATCCATCCTAACCCTATACTTTAAAACTCACAAGCGGTGTCCCTTGGTATTTAATGAACCGATAGCTAAACAAATTCGAGGTAAAGAGTCACTTGTCTTTAAAATGTCAACATGCCACTCATTAACAATCGAATCGGCCCAACAATCCAAAGGAGGATCTTCCTGAAAGACAGCCCTAAGGACCGGCTTAAGAGAGATAACTAATTATTATTACATAAAATAAACACGCGTCCCGACATGGTTAAAGAATTAGACTCAACAATGGAAAGGGGTTAAAAGTCCAAACCCCAAGTAGCTCAAAACTTTCCACATCATCCCTGGTCAAGGTCTAAACATTAATCAGAATATTTATTTAGACTGCAGGAATCCGATGAGCTATAAAGATATATTTTTCACAGATTTCCAGTAGGGGCGGGTACGTGTTTTTGTACTGTCTGTTGTAATAACAGACAGTACAAAAACACAATGCACACAGATCACCCAAACACACAAATTACACAAAACCATCCCTCATCCTCCCAGCCAAAGCCCAATGAGACATTAACTTATCTTTCAGAATCGAGCTGGCCACAAATGACAGCTCAACAAAAGGTGGCCCATCATTTGGACATTAAAAATCAGGCAAAATAATCGAAACAATCTCAAAGCTTGTTTCTAAATGCGCTGTAATGAATGGCAATGACCCTCCCCTCCTTGAGTTACTAAGCATCGTCACACGACCCTCTGACCCACACTGCGCAGTCAAGAGAGAGAGGCCTTCTTCATACAGCAGGATGGGTTCTTAGTTCACCTAGAAATTGGCCACCCAGTGTTGCAATTGCTTTTTTAAAGTACCAACACACTTATTCTTAGGTTTTTTCGGTAAAGTCACGTAGGTAAAAAATTAATAAAAGTAAAATTAAATAAAAATCACGTTTCGGAGGCAACACAAGCTTAATTTTTTACCTACGTGGCTTTACCGAAAAAACCTAAGAATAGGAATCCTTGCAGTCACGAAAGCTTCAAATCTAGAATTAATACCACCACACTCACCCTTGCTGCGGTCAAATGTGGAATTTCCACAATTGTCGATATAAACATGGAGAGGATGGGGGGGGGGATCAATGCTTTCATCAACAGCGCAACACGCGCGGCAATGATCGTTAATAAAGAACCAATGTGCTCGCACGTAGTCGATCGATCGATCGATCACCCCCCAACAACAACAACGAGCTCACGCCAACAACAACAACAAGCGCCCCACCTGGACGAATAGTACCGCCGGGCCTGCAGCAACAGGGCGCAGCCAGAGCAGGCCCGTGCCTCCTCGTGGTCTTGCGGCGGCGGCGGCGGCCGCGAGCCCTGCCAGGGCATGAGGGGTCCTGGCCCACCGCCCGCCACGAGGGAGGCGAGGAGGCCGCGACCGGGTTGACGACGGAGGTACGTGAAGGTGCGCAGCGCCATGAGCGCGAAAATCCACGGAAGATTCGAATGACGGCGGAGTTTGTGGAGTGGTGGTCGTGCGCGTGGTGCGTTCCTTTTATAGCCGCGCAAACTCCTCCCCCCCCTCCCTCCCCCCTAGCGTCGCGCCGTCTGATTGGTCGAAGCGGGAGCGCGCGCGCGCGTGCAGTCGCCGCGTAGGCCAATCATGAGGCGGGGTGATGACCCCATTCTAATTGAGACTGTTGGGTTGACATGCCAGGCTAGAGGTTTTTTGTTATGGGGGGGGGGGGGGGGCTATAGGAGTTGGTGGCGTTGGTTGACAATGGATTTAATGTTGTTGTCCCTTTTTTTTTACGGGTGAATTTTTTTAAACATATAAGGGGCCGTCCATAAATGACGTCATGCGATTTTTGACGCTTTTTGACCCCCCCCCATTGTCACACGGCATCACAAAAAGTCAGACCCCCCCCCTCAACTATGCCGTCACAAAGCTCTGCCCCCCCCCCCAAAACCATATTTCCATTTTGAAAATAAAACATGCTTTAAATCGCTTTAATGTGCCGCTGCACTCTGATGTTGTAGATAAATGTATTAAAAAGTTTATTCAATTAAGTAGAAGTAGAATGTCTATATTTATTTAAAGTTTCGCGTTTTGATGTGACGTCACAATTCTCACCCCCCCCCCCCCTCGTCACACATCGTCAATGTCTGACCCCCCCACCCCAAGTGCTTGACGTCATTTATGGACGGCCCCTAAATCAAAAGATATGTATTTTTTCAATATTTTAGTTTTGGTGGCGTATAAACTCGTCTGAAAATAACGTGGCGCGATATTTGCTCGAGACGTCACCCGATTCGCACGTGATGTAGTTGTTTTGCTTCGTTATCAAACTTGAAACGCTGCCACGCGATTCAAAACAACAACAATAAAAACAACGCCGATTTCGGGCATCACGTTCATTTGGCGAGCGTCAAAGTGGATGGATGAGTGACTTTGAAATTCTTGGACACAACTCGTGGCGACCCCCACAACCATCACCCCCACTACCCCCCCACCACCACCCCCCCCCCTACACCACCCCCCCCCACCACCATCCCCAACTCCCCCCTACCCCCCCCTACCACCATCTCCAACCCCCCCCAACAACCACCCCCTCCTACCACCACTCCCCCCCCTATCACCATCCCCAACCCCCCCCCCATCACCCCCAACCCCCCCTACAACCCCCCCAACACCACCCCCAACCGACCCCCTACCCCCCCCCCCTACCACCATCTCCACCCCCCCCCCAACAACCACCCCCCCCATCACCATCCCCCCCCTACCCCCCCAACCCCCCCTACCACCACCCCCAACCCCCACCCCAACCACCACCCTCAAACCCCCCCCCACCCCAACCCCCCCCCCTGCCACCACTGCCACCAACCCCCCCTACCACCCCCACCCCTCCCAACCCCCCCTACCCCCCTACCACCCTCAACCACCCCGCCCCCCCTCCCCCTTCTCTGTGTTGTTGTTGTTGTTCCTCCCCCCCCTCCCCCCACCCCGGAGGTGATGGAAGCGAGCAGCAGGAAATCGTCAACGCCGCCCGCCAGTCGCGGCGTCGCACATCGATGACAACATCCACGTCGCGCTTTAAACACGCACATTTAAAATACTAATACAGTACTACTACCACAGCCATCATAATAATCACCAGCATCTTAAGTCGTCGATCGTCGTAAACCTTTACGCCATCTCATTATTGCCGGTGGTGGTGGAGGTGGTTGACGGTGGTGGTGGAGGTGGTGGAGGTGAATCTGTGGGGGCGACGAGGCGCAGGAGGCCCGTGACCTTTGCGTGACGCTGGGTGAGAGGCGACATCTGCGGGCTGCCCCCCCCCCCCTTGCTGCTGCCCCCCCCCCCCCGCTGCTGCCCCCCCTCTCTCTGCCCCCCCCGCTGCTGCTCCCCCCCCCCGCTGCTTCTCCCCCCCCCGCTGCTGCCCCCCCCCCCCGCTGCTGCCCCCCCCGCTGCTGCCCCCCCCGCTGCTGCCCCCCCCGCTGCTGCCCCCCCCCGCTCTCTGCCCCCCCTGCTGCCCCCCCCCGCTGCTGCCCCCACTGCTGCCCCCCCCCACTCTCTGCCCCCCCTGCTGCCCCCCCCGCTGCTGCTGCCCCCCCCGCTGCTGCCCCCCCCCGCTCTCTGCCCCCCCTGCTGCCCCCCCCTGCTGCCCCCCCCCCACTCTCTGCCCCCCCCACTCTCTGCCCCCCTGCTGCCCCCCCCCGCTACTGCCCCCCCCCCCGCTGCTGCCCCCCCCTGCTGCTGCCCCCCCCCCGCCACTCGGCACGCCGCTCCGCGTTCGTTCCTCTTCCCTACGAGACAGACACAAGAGAGAGAGAGGAGACCACCGTGAGTGGATCCGCGGGGAGATGACAACAAAAACGACAACAACAACAACGATTATTATTCGTGCGTGTTGTTGTTGTTGTAATAGTGGCAGCGCAATGGTCGATGTAGAAGCTCGTTCGTGTCGTACGATCGGCGTGGGTCAGGGTGCTGGTGGTGGTGGTGAACGCGCTGGCGCAGAGAGGCACAGAGCTGCGGGTCGGAGTCACTTGGAACTTGGGGGGGCCTCGGTCCAGATGTTTCATTTCGCCGAGACCTCGACACCGACCGATAGAAACGTCGCGTTCTGATCGACCTCTTCGTACGGCGCGGACCCGGAGATTATATCCAGTATACACACACACAAAAACACGTGCGCATTGCATTCTGTTGTATATTCGGGAACATGAGTGATAATTATTCTGCTTGAGCGATAGATTTAAGAGTCACGTTCTCTTTAACCTTGCAGACAGGGAGAAGCAGTCCTGTTCTGGGACCTACAGACGAGAAAAGTGCCCAGCTCCCGTGCGGGAGGCCTGAGATCGCTTGGGGGCCAGAGAAGGCCTCACTGCGCGCCTGCCTTGCCTAGCAACCCCGCCGCCTCCATCGACTCCTCCGCCCGCCTCCTCCCATCGCCACCCCCCCCCCCCGGGGGTCAGGATGGCCACTGCTGTGAGGATGACCGCGCGCGTTCGCGAGGCGTTCTCGTCGGCCCTGAGGGACGAGTCCCTGGCGGGGGAGCTGAGAGCGGAGCTGGAGGCTGCGCTGCGGGAGCCGGACGGAGCTGTTCCCTTCTCCACGTTGCGCCACCTCCACGGGGCTTCACGGAGCCAACGTAGGCACCTGCTCGTCGCGTTGCTAAATTCGTTTATAAAATGTGTGGTGCTGGTTGGATATTTTTCAGGTTCATTTATTTTGTATAGTCCTGTGTGAGCCATTCGGCTCTTGAATCGGGTGCAACCGCAACAAACAAAAAACAAAAACATGAACAAGAAAACATCTTAAAGTGACTATGTGACTAAGTGCAAACAGAAAATACAAGAAAAGACAGTAAAATATTGCAGAAAAAACACCGTACACCAACGCTGTGTGCAAAAATCCCAGTGGGATGCAAATATTGTTGGGTCCACGCGCAAGTGGGTTTTCCTATTTTTTACACCCAACAATAAATACTTCGTGTGAATGTATCTGCCGTGGTGTTAATGGCCTTCATAGGTGCTCGCTAATAGCACGTTGTCCCGACAGTCTGTTCAGGCTATAATAGTGTAGTGATTAGCACACTGCACCTGCAATCCAGAGGTGACCTGTTCGATCCCCGGTTGAAAACAATGGGCAATTTTTCTTAAACCATTTGTCCACCCAACAGCATAATTGGGTTATTTCCACAGTCGAGTAGTAATATTGCGTGTGGTGGGGTAAAGTGTGGGTATGCCCACCTCTTCCAAAACGTTTGGCCAGCATGGAAGAGGAGGTCAAGTCGGTCTGGTCTTTTGACCAGGACATGTTTACATATTCATAACCTTTTTGAAATGTCTGCATATTTAAGATGCAGTGAATGAGAAACTAAGGGTAAGAGTGGAATAATTCGCACTTTAAATGGAGAAACCAAGTTATGGTGAATGACAATATTGGAAAAATGTAGTTAAATGGGGGAAAAACGCCCAAGTGTTACCTAGAGGTGACTGTGGTGGTAATGCAGGCTTGGGTCTTGCACAACTAATACGTTGCTGTAAACCAGTGTGCTGTGTTGATGTCCAACATTGAGCCAACAATATTTTAATCTATGTATGTTGCACTTCTTACACACCGTACACAGCCAACCATGCCAATCGGAGGTACGGGGGCAGGACAACAACCTAAACACAAAGCAGTTCTAACTAAATTTTCAATATAGATTTTTAAGTGCATAGGCAATACGTGGTTGGTAACTGGTGTGATTTGATCTTTCGTGGTCATACAGGCTACAATAGATTTGTCGTCATTTTGCCGTACTGTCCACCACCAAGGTAATGTCGATTTTTTTTTATCACTGGCTCAGGGCCCCTAACAGAGATGAACACCACCCCAATGCTCATTTTAACAGGGTGACTCTTTAGCCCGATTTAACCCTTGTTTGAAAAATATCAGAATACGTTTTTGATAAATGTTGATTTGTCATTTACAGAGGAGCCGCTCTATCTGCATGAACTCCTGGAAGGAAGTGAGCTTTATTTTCCTGAACCTGAGAAACCTGCCAGGGTAAGTAAGGTGAACTGATTGTCATGGGCATTAATTAAGGAAATAATATAAGGTACATATAAGGTTCCATTTACATGGCATCCGAATATAACATTGCAGAAAGGCAATGTTGTTCGGCAGTGGCCCTTTATCGGACATCAGAAGGGACACTACTCAAAACGTCGCCTATTATATTCTTCCTTTTAAGGCATCGTTATCTACAAATGTGTTGCGTTTTAGGTATTGCACCACTGCCAACGCAGTATCACTAAATAATTAGGTATAATTATAGGTGGCTGAAATCCCAATTTAGAACACAGAGCCTCATAGGTGCTGGACCAGTTTCTGAAGTGGTACTAGCCCCCCTGAGTTGCCAAGCTATCTTTGTTGACTTTTTTCTTCTTGACTGCGTGCGGTACCGTGTAGAATCCAGAGCTGGTGGCACGGCTGGAGAAGCTAAAAGCTCAACAGGACAATGCGGAATACAGACGCATGGTCCGGAACGTGGACTGCAAGGTTCGTGTACTGTGCGCGCGTTTGTGTACAACGCCATTGTGGGTGCAAGGGCTTCCACGAGAGGCAGCGATAGGTTATTTTGATATTCTTATCGCGTTGTACCGAGCTTTGCGTGCTTACCACAATAAAAACATTGAACAAAAATGTTTTTATTGAACATACAACACAAGCACAACCGATGTTATACAAATTGGCGTGCGGAAAATATGTGGGCGGAAGCCGTGCCGTCTTGGCGATTCTCCCCGTAGCGCGGGCCGGTTAGAGTTTCCTACAGCGGTAGGGGCTAATGATTGGGAGCGGGAGATTAAACGAAGGGAGGTTAGGGGAGAACGACGGGGGGGGGGGGGGGGTGAAAATATAGTTCAATATTATTTATGTTATTTGTACATTTAGATTTAAAGCTTTCGTGACTGCAGGGATTCATCTTCTTGGTTCTTTCGGTAAAGTCACGTAGAAGGAAAATAATAAAATAATAAAAATATAATAATTCTCACGACGTTTCGGCCACAACGCAAGCAGCCGTCTTCAGGTGGAGAACAGGTCTGTCGAGAAGGCAGAGTCTGCCTTTTCGACAGACCTGTTCTCCACCTGAAGACGGCCTTCTCGACAGACCTGTTCTCCAACTGAAGACGGCTGCTTGCGTTGTGGCCGAAACGTCATGAGAATTGTTTTTTTGTACATGTTTAAATAAATATTTGTCATGTTTAAGCTGTAATTAAATATATTTTAAGGATTTTTGTCAACATTTAAAAAATAGTAAATGCAAGTAACAAACAGGAAGGTGCAGAAGAACATGATAAGAGCCAACATATCTGATTGGCATGTCATCATTATAAGCAATCCACTGCGCAATTTCCGCCTTCGAAAATGTTTGTATTTGTAATTGGCAAACAGTGACTTCTTGAAAGCTGAATTAATGCAATCGATTATCTTGATTTTACTTTGCAGAGGCTGAATCAGTACGGCTCCATCGAAGACATTGGAAAGGAAAGTAAGATTTCTCTTCACAGTCTGTGTTTTGCGAGCGAAATTCCAAGTCGGTTGGATTAATGAGATCACCAAACCGAAACTCTTTCCGAAAACGATCAATAATTAAAATATTAAAATATAGTATTTATACTGACGCGATGTCACGATGTAAAAATCTAATTTTCTGACTTAAACCAGGGGTGAAGATTCTCTTCTTTAGGCCCATCCCTTTATTATTTATTCTTGCAGCCCTTTATCAATCCACTGCAGAATGAAGACCTCCCCATGCCGTGCCAGTCATGTCGTTAGACCATACTTCACCACGCCAGTCGGTGTGTGTGTTGGGGGGGTAGTTAACATGAGTGCCATTGTGCGGGAAGTCAACAGTACTGTAGTTGTCTTCTGGAGAAACCGATCTCCGCGATGAGCAGGTTACATCTCTACTCTTTGGTTCTTTCGGTAAAGTCACGTAGATGAAAAAAAATTGAAAATAACTAAATTAAACACAAGCTTCCATCATCAGGTATTTGTGACAAGCGATTATACAGGGTAAGAGGGGGGAGGAGCCAGGGAGGAGGGATGCAAATAGCTCTCTCTACTCACTACAGTAATTTTGCTGTGGCTGTTCCACCTGATGACGGAAGCTTGTGTTGCCTCCGAAACATCGTGATTTCATTTAGTTATTTTCATTTTATTATTTTTATTATTATTTTTCATCTACGTGACTTTACCGAAAGAACCAAAGAGTATGGATCCTTGCAGTCACGAAAACTTCAAATCTAGGTTAAATCTCCACTGATGCCTTAGGGCTGCCAAAGTAGATGAGCAATGCTTGTTCGAGCAGGGAGACAAGTTTTATGTACGTGAGCAGAAGGCACTTTTGTTTTTAAAGTTATTTTCGCTGCCACATCCGGTGTAATGAGCCATATGAAGTTAATGCTTGTTTTGTTATCCACAGTGAAGTCCGTGAAGGCGATGGTCGTGACCATGTTCAATTTCCTGATTACGGTGGTGGCAGCGTACGTGTGCGTCTACCTGGCCAGTCAGTACGTGCTTCCCAACACCACCTCTGTAAGTGCAGGGATAGGGTGGGATGATGAAATACACATTACATGACATTATGTACCACACAACAGTACAGTAAAACCTTGGATTGCGAGCATAATTCGTTCTGGAAACGTGTTTGTAATCCAAAGCACTCGTATATCAAAGCACTCGTATATCAGTTGTGATCACGTGACGCTCGGCAGACAAAGCGTATACGTACGACTCGTATTGCAAGACCTCGCTCGTTTATCAAATTAATATTTATTTAAAATTTTTGCTCGTCTTGCAAAACACTCGCAGACCAAGTTACTCGCAATCCGAGATTTTACTGTATTCCAGTGTATTTGAAATGTGTATTACACAGTGCTCACCTCACCGATATCCTGACATTTTGTGCCTTAATTGGCGTGAAGTGCTGCCGCTTGGTGCTCAGTCGGGCTACGTGTGACCCACGCCACTGGCAAATCATGCGCAGACTCGGTTACCTGTTTAGCTGACCATAACTCGGATTTGGCAAATACAAAAAAATTTGTTGAAACCGAATTGAATCTCTATCTGCATTCAAATCTATCACATTCCTGATAATTACACACACATACACATGTTGAACACATTTCTTAAAAGATAAATTGGCCAAATCTCTCAAAGCAGAGCTCTCCTGAAAAGAATCTTGAGGTTCAGGGAGGCTTTCTTGGATAAACAAATTACATTATTGTTTATTTCTGGTATGTGATGAATTAATACAATATATTTTATGCTCATGATACATGCATATATTTGTGCCATTGAGAATAATTTATAATTATTAAATGGTGTCTTAAGGTGGCACAGTGGCTAACGCACAATGCTGCAAACCCAGTGACTTTATTTGAATTCCCGACCGCCGCTAACATCAGTGGTGAGTGATGTCCACACTGACCAGCATGATGAAGAACGGTAACACACACAACCGGACAAGCCTCAACCAGCAGTGAAATGACAAAAGGGCTTTTAGATGATATGATATATGTAAGTTACAGTTAATTTGCTGTGCCCTTTTTTGCACCTGATGAAGGAAGCTTGTGTTGCCTCCGAAACGTCGTGATTTAATTGATTTATTTTCATTTATTATTATTTTTTACTTACGTGACTTTACCGAAAAAACTTAAGAGTATGAATCCTTGCAGTCACGAAAGCTTCAAATCTAGAATTGGAAAGACTGTACATTTGCCATTACTTTCATATGCATACATTACTTTTACACGGGTATCATGAGTGCTATGAGGAGGGTTGAAGTGTGATGCAATGGTTAGCAAATTGCACTCTGAACCCTGCGGCCTGAGTTCGATTCCCGACCATGACTACTAACTGGTCATGAGCCCCTTCCACGTGACAAATCGGCAATGATCAGAGCAGTCAAATTTGGTTAAACTACCGCCAAGACCGAGACGGCATGGAAGAGGCATTGGTTGATAAAAGCATGGACAATTATTTTGTGTCATTGTCAGGAGTGTTGGAAGTGATCTTAATTTATTTAACGCGATATCACAAATACTTATCAATGGTTGTTGGTAGTGCGTGTGAACACTAAATCTCTTAATGGATGGTTTCCATTGTGTAAAATACCCTGTAAATTACTCGGCTTATCTCTTTTAACGAGGCGTTTATTTACAAACAGCACGTCCTGTCGGTACAACCTGTTTATACCGAATGAAACCACTGTGCAGTGTTTTGCCGTGCTCACAATACAAGCACAAATTGTTTTGTGATGGTGAACATAACGTCGTGTGATATCTTAGTTCGATGTATATGGCGCCTTAGTCCAAGGCGGTTTCGTGACACAGGAAACCCCCTCTATGTTCCCGAGGATCTACATTCTTGAAAAAACACTCGCAGATGCATAATTCTCGAATGCAGAAACCTTGTTCCAGCGGGGGAAAAATGGGGTTACGTTCCTGGTACGAGTGAACATTGGGGGGAGACAGTAAATGTTTAACAACAATGGCTAAAATAATTAAGTTATAGAGAACAATATTTTTTGTTGATTACCTTTGATGGTGATTTTACGATGACTGAGGTGGTGGTGATGGTGAGGAATTCAGGAGGATGACTCCTCTGGAGAGGCAGCTGTTTGATAACAACGTCGCACAGTTGTTATCATTTTAGCACTCTGGGGGAGCGTGAGCCGCAAAACTTTCCCCGATTGCATTCGCGTTCTTTTTAACGAACCGCGCAGTCGGCAAGTTTATACCAACATGTATAAACGAGTCGACTGCAAGTCCGTATAAAGTAAAAATAATGGCGAGTTCAAAGCGGAATTACTGCGAGACTGAGGACAACGCGGGCATACGAAGGGGCGTGCCTAACCTTCGCACACCGTTTCAAATGTCACAACATTCTGCACGCACCTCCCCCGGTGTCGGAAGTGTGGCACCACGTACACTCGCCAATACCGGAGCCAGGCGGGTCGCGAATCGGGGCTTGCTATACATTTAGTCACCCGCGAATCCAGAACTCGCGCGTAGCGAGGGTTTACTGTACACTATTTTGCAATGTGTTACGTATACAGTATTTTTATAAACGCACTATGTGTGACAGTCATTTATTTTAATATAAAGTGTGCCCGAGAGTGAGAGATACGGCGAGAGAAAAAATAAGGGGACGAGATGACGCGACGCACACAAAGATGCTCGAGGTAGAGGAAGGCACGCCGTGTATCACAGCGCGCTCATCAGTACTACAGTTCCAGCTCCCAGCACCGCCGAACGACGCTGCCAACACTCGTGCTGCTCAGAAAAGTAGTCCGTCACACGCTAGACTCGCGTTATAGCGGAAAACGGCGTTAAAGAAAAAATGCGCAGTGTGTGAACACCCGTTACATTTCACATTTCTTGGTTGTAGTGATGGAAACTTGATTGTCGTGATGAATACTTGAAAGAGGCTGGAATTGCGTGCAAAATATGACCACCACAGAAGGAGTGATCATGTGTCTCCATGTGCATGACTGTCAGCATGGGGACGCTTCATCCAGCAGTGGATAGATGATGGCTAATAATGATCTGTCATTGCGGTGCAGATTCACTGTGCGTCGATTTTACCATACTCGGCACAAAGAAAACCACGCCGCTCTGCGCATTCACTCTTGTTGGATGATGTTCGCAGTGCTGTGTGGAGGTGCCTTGCGAGAGATAGCAGTGACAAAGACACGTGCACACACCGCCCCCTGCTGAACTTAGCGGCGTCAACTCAGCACTCTGTAACTCCCTCTGAGCCACGCGAATATTTCTGTGTTGTTCCTGACATGTTTTTTTGTAAATGTGCCTCTCCCACGGTCCCTCTGAAATGCGCGTAACTCTCGGCCTGTGTTTGCTTCCGGCAGCGTGTGCTCGCAGGAGTGATCGCCGCCTCCGTTGTGGGACTGGCAGAGCTCTACGCGCTCGTGAAGACTGTGGAGGGGGAGATGGGAAACCTGTAGCCCCGCACACAACGGCCACACACGCTCCACTGGGCCGCGTAATGATTCAACAACCAATTACCACACCACCCCTGTGCAGAAGTCGCAACCGGGTACCCGATACCCGTACCCTACCCGATACCCGGCTACCTGTACCCGGCCGGGTACGGGTACGGGTAGCCATTTGCGACCCTGGTGCGGCCGGGTACAGGTACGGGTAAGGAATCAAAACCCGTTGGCGACCTCTGCCCCTGTGGTACCATCGGGCGGGGGGTGGGGGGGGAATCGCTGCAGGGAACTGAGCACCCCGCCGCCACCCCCCTGATTCTCTCCCCACTGCATGCTCAGCTCCATTTCCAAATTATAAATTTGTATTTATTCCGTCAGTATAAGTCCTGCACAGCAGTGGTTAACTCCTGTCTATCCCTGGGGGGCGGGGCGGGTGATACCTCAAACGCCCATCCCCTCCCCCCAACCTCCCCATTTCCAAATTCTTGTAATCAAGTCAAAACATTTAACAGTGGGAGGGGAGCGGTACAAAATGCTAAAATTGACACAATTAAGCGATGGGTGTGCTCAGCCTTTCCCCAATACACCCGAGGAGGTGAGAGCGAGACCAGAATGTGTGATAGGCAACAGCAGGTCGTATCGTTATGCATTCTGATCATCGTTGAACATTTTAGCATTTGTTTTTTCAAGTGGACTATGTTGTGTATGCTTCCCGTTTAAAGAACATCACACTACTGGGCTGCCCAACCCTGTCACGATTTGTTGATTTGGGTTCATGGTTTCAAGAATCAATCACATTGTTTTTCATTGTTTTATTTGTCCATGTCTTTCATACTATTGGCAAAAAACGTAATTTTTTAAAATAGATTTTCCATAACCATAATCATTTTCGTACTCGTGCAATGTATGTATTGTGAGCATAAGAATCAATTTTAAATCGATTACCCATTGCATGCCTAAGAGTGATCATGCAATTGCAGCCGTGCAATGATAACGTTGTCTTAAGCAAACCGCAGCTGTACATTTTTTGCTGAATAGTTTTGCACACGAAATGTTAAGTGCGAGCTTGTCCACTCATGAGACCTGGGTTGGCCGGTCGGTGTGTCCAAGTTTGGAGAATTGTGTAGAATAAGTATTTAATTGTTCCCTTCATGAATGTTGAGCAGGACAAAATACGTATGTGATGAGCTGGATAAAGGACACCTTACCCTGATTTACGTATGTCTGTATGTTGAACTTCTTTCACACCGTACGTCGTCAACCGATGCTGCAGGCCAGCATCTAGGCTGACCATTGTAGTCTGCTGTCCACCTGGACATGCTCACTATCAGTGGTTAGACAGGCCATCCACATCACTGGAGTGGATTACATCATTATATTTGATTATCACTGCAGATGGTAAATGCTGTACTTTTCTTTTGTCCAGACATCGATTAAGGCCTGCAGTAGCCCGGACTGCCAAACCATGCTGCAGTTAAATGAATCCCGCACAAGCTCCAGCAACCGCGACCATCAACAGTAGCTACGACCACAAAATTCAGCCGAGTTCTCCGCAGTCTGCTTCTACACGATCACAAAAACCACACGTTCAGCCTGCCTTGGTCGTAGTGACGTCGAACAGTTGGTTAGAGACCCACAAAATCGTATAGACATCGTAAGGCTTGTAGATTGAAAATAGAGATGCATATACGCCATAAGAGATGCAGACTCAAAACGGAGAAACACAATCAGATGCCCGCGCACAGAGACCTATATAGATTGATACGGATCAGCGGTGGCCAAGCGGCATCTCCGTAGCCGCACGCGGCTCTTTAATCCACCACACACGGCTCTATTGAAGGGTCAACGGAGAACATACTATCACAGTAGCAAAGAATAATCAATTAAAGTTGTATGATATATACACATTTGCTTCTTGGCAGAACTCATGGGTACCTTTTGTCTCTTGGTCTGTTGTTACAGGCTGGCCACCCCTACCGTAGAGATTCGGACTCAAATCTGGAAACAATGAGATGGTCTCACATCGAGACTTGTCGATTGATATAGATGCTGTGGGGTCTGTTAGGACTGAGAAGCCAGTGTTGGCATGCCTCCCTGGTAGCCTCTGTGACACTTTCACGTGTGAAAGGGCTGTGTAAAACGAGTCCCCCATATGCCAACATGTATTATTCATCTGTTTAACGAGTGCATGCAAGATATGTGCGTGTTGGTGAAGTAACACATAAAGCATCAGCTTGTGCATCCAGTGATTGTTTTCTGTTAACAAATTCAGCAGTTGACATGATTTCATTTCAAACGTTTAAAAATCGCTGTAAAAGTCTCGTAATTATTAAGCATTGCGTACTTCTTTATGATTCATTGCTTGCACTTACAGTTACACGAAAGGCAATACAATTACTGCTACGATTCTGCATGTCTGTGACTGATGTCCTTAAATACTGACCCCAAACACGTTCCTGCGGAGGGAGCTGGTAGGAACGTTGGGTTGCTCGGTCAGTGGCCAGGGTCAACGGCGGCGTGGTGTATTCCGCAAATATGCCCGACTGTGAGGGCGGGCACAAGCCGGCGTGAGTAGGTTAAACGTTGAGTTTTATAAGGGCACCACGGGGTGACCAGCCCCTCCCCACCCAGCCTCACCCCTCCCACCTCCCACCCAGCCCCTCCCCACCCAGCCCCACCCTCCCCACCCAGCCCCTCCCCACCCTCCTCTCCCCACTCAGCCCCTCCCTCCCCACCCAGCCCCTTCCTGCACGACGGACGGACACAATAATCCCCTGCGGGCTGGTGGAACCAGTGGGTTCCTACCAGTATGCTCTTTATCCAGGCTCATTGAGCGTCATGTGGTCTTGATGGAGTTTGTTGTAATGAATGTGTTTAACGATTTTATTTGTTGGTAATCTCATCATCGTGGGATTTGGGCTGTGATGCAGGCAATGGCTTATGCGTGTGAATAGCGACGCTACTGGGTGTTAAACCTCCAATAGGAAGGAGACTTCACATGTGGGAAATTTCACACTAACGGGAATTGAATAGAGGGAATTGTTAGTCCATTCCATAGTAATGTGGAATATCCACCAATGGCTCAGAGCTGTCAACAGGAGATGGGCACGAGTCCATAATTTTTGACCAGCAAGCCATGTAGATTTTTGTCGGATTGACTCTACCCTACACAGGTCACAGAAGTGTGGTTTGTTTCGTTGGTAAAAATGGTCTTGGTATTTTTTAAATTTATTCAATTGTGTTTCCGTTAAAACTTTGTATCTACAACCTGCACGCAATAAAATGCAATTGCTGTGCATTTTGCGTCACGTGTTTTACATGCTACAGGTATTTACATGGTGGATTAGTGGCGCAGTGGTTAGCGCACTGCTACAAACCTGGCAATCTTGAGTTTGATTAATAGCCATGGCTAACAAATAGTGGCAAATGATATCAGAACTGGTTCTGGATCTTCCCCCTACTTCACTTCATCCAATTTTGACCAGCGTAGTGAAGTATGGTCAAACAAACCCCCATGCTCCATACGATTGGGGGGGGGCTTCACCCAGCGGTAGCTTCACAAAAGACGGAGCTAATATTATTACTGGGAATTCCAAAGCTACACGTATAAATGAGGACAATATTAATACATTGCACAGTGTGACATTGCATGCATTTCAAAAAAACGTCATGTTTAATGCCACGGTGCAATGCAATCTAAAAATATTACAATCTTATAAGTTCTGCTTTTTAAAATAGTCTGTTGTTGCGCCATGGTGCAATGGTTCTTACATCGATTCGATCTCCCGCGCGGTAGTTGATGACAATAGGCATGGGAAAGTGTCTTAAATATCTCCCTGCCCACTGTCCACCCAGCGGAATAGGAGGACTTTATCTGGCGGGGTAAAGCGTGAGCACTTCCCACCGCTTTCAAAACGTATGGCTAACATGGAAGAGTAGGCCAAGTCATCTCTAGAGGGGCTCTCTAGAGCTCCCTCTAGTGGAGGTTATTCTGTCAGCGGTGGTAAGAGCAGGTAATTTGCAGGGCTGCACCCTTATCATCTCATTATTTCGTCACCTCTGCGTACGCACGCCCTCCCTGTCTGTCACTGCCCTTCATGGCTCTAACAATTCAGGTTCTGCAAGTCTTGTTGAACGTTGAACGTGAGATGTGGATTCTCACTCAGCATGACTAGCAGGGCACGTGCGCGCCCTTTCAGTTCAGGTCACGTTGTCCGTCCCCCAGGGAGAGAGTGTAATCGCATTGCTCAACGATTTAACCAGGGGGGTGAATGAATTACAAAATGATGTTGATGGCGCGAATAAAGTTTCGCTTGAACGTGTTGTGGGTGGTGGTGGTGGCGGAACGGGGTCGGGGCCTGGGCTGGTGTGGATGGGTGGGCACTCCAACAGGGCAAGTCCGCAGCCATGGAGTCAACATTGGGGGGGGCAAATCTTCCAGGGGGTCTGGGGGTCCCAACCCAGAAAAATATCTACATTTGAAAACTAATTTCCTGCCTAAAATATTTTCTAATTCACTAACACATGGGATGGACTTTTCATTTATTTTTTACAATTATGTCTAATAGTGTATTGTATTTACATTGCTCTGTTTGAACTTTTTTTACCATTTCTTGTTTCATTGTATTTAATGGCAGAGATTAGGGATTAATAAAGGACAACCATAACCACAATCATGTAAACATAAATCTATGCGTTGATTTATATGAAGACAAGTCCAGATATTGTGGCCAAGGTTTAGCAAATTGTTCTTTTTATTTGCATAGCATAGCAATTATAATATATATTGGGGGGGGATGTGTCCCCCCAAATATATATTATAATTACGGTCTTGGTGTGAGGCGTGCCTTGCCCCGTGTGAACTCCACTGCTGGATAATAACCTCCCACAATGCCGTGTCAGTTATACGGTTTGGTTTTTTTGGACCAGACTTCACCGTGCTAGTCAGCGTGGCTTCGTGAGCATAATCGCAGGGAGCATAGATAGTACCCTACAATGGATTGTGCTGCACTGCCCTCTGCTGCCCACTTGTAATATATACACGATGTTTTTCCGTTTATTTAAAAGGGGTGGCGCGAAGTGGATGGGTGGTTAGGGTGGCGGGGTGGTACCCGTCACCACGTGGGTGGATGTGTGGTTGGAGTGAGGGGCGGGTCACCCGTCACCACGTGGGTGGATGTGTGGTTGGAGTGAGGGGCGGGTCACCACGTGGGTGGATGTGTGGTTGGAGTGAGGGGCGGGTCACCACGTGGGTGGATGTGTGGTTGGAGTGGGGGGGGGTCACCACGTGGGTGGATGTGTGGTTGGAGTGAGGGGCGGGTCACCTGTCACCACGTGGGTGGATGTGTGGTTGGAGTGGGGGGGGGTCACCACGTGGGTGGATGTGTGGTTGGAGTGGGGGGGGTCACCTGTCACCACGTGGGTGGATGTGTGGTTGGAGTGAGGGGCGGGTCACCACGTGGGTGGATGTGTGGTTGGAGTGGGGGGGGTCACCACGTGGGTGGATGTGTGGTTGGAGTGGGGGGGGGGACCACGTGGGTGGATGTGTGGTTGGAGTGGGGGGGGTCACCACGTGGGGGGAGGTGTGGTTGGAGTGGGGGGGGTCACCACGTGGGTGGATGTGTGGTTGGATTGGGGGGGGGTGCCACCACGTGGTTAGATGTGTGGTTGGAGTGGGGGGGGGGGGGTCACCACGTGGGGGGATGTGGGGTTGGAGTGGGGGGGGGTCACCACGTGGGTGGATGTGTGGTTGGAGTGGGGGGGGTCACCTGTCATCACGTGGGTGGATGTGTGGTTGGAGTGAGGGGCGGGTCACCACGTGGGTGGATGTGTGGTTGGAGTGGGGGGGGGTCACCACGTGGGTGGATGTGTGGTTGGAGTGGGGGGGGTCACCTGTCATCACGTGGGTGGATGTGTGGTTGGAGTGGGGGGGGTCACCACGTGGGTGGATGTGTGGTTGGAGTGGGGGGGGTCACCTGTCATCACGTGGGTGGATGTGTGGTTGGAGTGGGGGGGGTCACCTGTCATCACGTGGGTGGATGTGTGGTTGGAGTGGGGGGGGTCACCACGTGGGTGGATGTGTGGTTGGAGTGGGGGGGGTCACCTGTCATCACGGGCGTGGATGTGTGGTTGCAGTGGGGGGGGTCACCACGTGGGTGGATGTGTGGTTGGAGTGGGGGGGGGTCACCTGTCATCACGTGGGTGGATGTGTGGTTGGAGTGAGGGGCGGGTCACCACGTGGGTGAATGTGTGGTTGGAGTGGGGGGGGGGGGTCACCACGTGGGTGGATGTGTGGTTGGAGTGGGGGGCGGGTCACCTGTCACAACGTGGGTGGATGTGTGGTTGGAGTGGGGGGGGTCACCACGTGGGTGGATGTGTGGTTGGAGTGGGGGGGGTCACCTGTCATCACGTGGGTGGATGTGTGGTTGGAATGGGGGGCGGGTCACCTGTCACCACGTGGGTGGATGTGTGGTTGGAGTGGGGGGGGGTCACCTGTAACCACGTGGGTGGATGTGTGGTTGGAGTGGGGGGGGGTGCCTGTGACCACGTGGGTGGGTGTGTGGTTGGAGTGGGGGGGGGCTCACCTGTCATCACGTGGGTGGGTGTGTGGTTGGAGTGGGGGGGGTCACTTCTAACCACGTGATGAGGTTCGTGTGGAGGGGGGGGGTGGATGAGTTATGGAGAAGGAGAGGCAATGAAGTGGGGGTGAGGATAGCTCCGACCACGTGTGCCGAGGGGCGGGGTGTGTGGGTGGAAGGGGAGGGGTAGGGGGGTGTGTGGGTGGAAGGGGAGGGGAGTTGGGGGGGGGAGCCTCGTGCCCGTATTTGGCTACAAATCCGCGGGGCTTGCTGGCCACGCGCATGCGCACTCCGCTCCCGCCGGGCCCACACGCAACCACGTGGGGAGCAGCGGCAGCAGGAGACGAAGAGAATCAGAATCAGCAGCAGCAGCGAGGAGGAGGAGGGGAACACAACCACAACGAGGTGGAGGAGGAGGGCTCTAGCTTCAGGTTCACCTCCTCGCAGCGCGACCTCCACCAACAGTCGGCGCCACGGAAGAGGTGGGATGGTTGATGCCTGCGCTGCTGTTGTTGATACTCAAAGTCAAAGTGTCAAAGTGCGCGCACCTCGTGTGCAGCAATGTCCGCGAGCGCCTTGCTGGGTGCGGGGTTGACGAGGGATTATTTGGGGTGGCTTCGGGGTGGTTGGGGGGTTGGTTGGGAAGTTCCACATTGCTGTGGACGGGGCCCCGGTGTGGTTTGTCCTCATGTGTTTGGAAGAGCGGTGCAGCAAGCAGCAGCAGCTGGAGTGGACTTGCAAAAGTGCTTCGTGATTCCGTGATTGGTGGCGTAGCTGGGATGGCGTGAGTTTTACAATTGAGATGAGAGCGACGAGGTGAAGGAAGAGTGTGATTACACAGACGAGGTGAAGAGGGATGATGATGATGGTAAGAATAAGTAAGAGTAAATAAGAATAAGTCAACAAGGGGGTTTAGGTAGCTGGTGCAGCGACCACGGTGAGTGAGGTTGTCAAAGTAAAACACGTGGTGACGAGGTGACGGGCTCTGTCATAGTGTGAGGGTAAAGACGTTACTGACGAGGGGCCGAAGGCGATGTGGCTGACGAGGTTGGTGGTGGTGGCATGGGTGATGAGGTTGGTGGTGGTGGTGGTGGCAAGGGTGACGAGGTTGGTGGTGGTGGCAAGGGTGATGAGGTTGGTGGTGGTGGTGGTGGCAAGGGTGACGAGGTTGGTGGTGGTGGTGGCAAGGGTGACGAGGTTGGTGGTGGTGGTGGCAAGGGTGATGAGGTTGGTGGTGGTGGTGGTGGCAAGGGTGATGAGGTTGGTGGTGGTGGTGGTGGCAAGGGTGACGAGGTTGGTGGTGGTGGCAAGGGTGATGAGGTTGGTGGTGGTGGTGGTGGCAAGGGTGACGAGGTTGGTGGTGGTGGCAAGGGTGATGAGGTTGGTGGTGGTGGTGGTGGCAAGGGTGATGAGGTTGGTGGTGGTGGTGGTGGCAAGGGTGACGAGGTTGGTGGTGGTGGCAAGGGTGATGAGGTTGGTGGTGGTGGTGGTGGCAAGGGTGACGAGGTTGGTGGTGGTGGCAAGGGTGATGAGGTTGGTGGTGGTGGTGGTGGCAAGGGTGATGAGGTTGGTGGTGGTGGTGGTGGCAAGGGTGACGAGGTTGGTGGTGGTGGCAAGGGTGATGAGGTTGGTGGTGGTGGTGGTGGCAAGGGTGACGAGGTTGGTGGTGGTGGCAAGGGTGATGAGGTTGGTGGTGGTGGTGGTGGCAAGGGTGATGAGGTTGGTGGTGGTGGTGGTGGCAAGGGTGACGAGGTTGGTGGTGGTGGCAAGGGTGATGAGGTTGGTGGTGGTGGTGGTGGCAAGGGTGACGAGGTTGGTGGTGGTGGCAAGGGTGACGAGGTTGGTGGTGGTGGCAAGGGTGATGAGGTTGGTGGTGGTGGTGGTGGCAAGGGTGATGAGGTTGGTGGTGGTGGTGGTGGCAAGGGTGACGAGGTTGGTGGTGGTGGCAAGGGTGATGAGGTTGGTGGTGGTGGTGGTGGCAAGGGTGACGAGGTTGGTGGTGGTGGCAAGGGTGATGAGGTTGGTGGTGGTGGTGGTGGCAAGGGTGACGAGGTTGGTGGTGGTGGTGGCAAGGGTGATGAGGTTGGTGGTGGTGGTGGCAAGGGTGATGAGGTTGGTGGTGGTGGTGGTGGCAAGGGTGACGAGGTTGGTGGTGGTGGTGGTGGTGGCAAGGGTGACGAGGTTGGTGGTGGTGGCAAGGGTGATGAGGTTGGTGGTGGTGGTGGTGGCAAGGGTGACGAGGTTGGTGGTGGTGGTGGTGGTGGCAAGGGTGACGAGGTTGGTGGTGGTGGTGGTGGTGGCAAGGGTGATGAGGTTGGTGGTGGTGGTGGCAAGGGTGATGAGGTTGGTGGTGGTGGTGGTGGTGGCAAGGGTGACGAGGTTGGGTGGTGGTGGTGGCAAGGGTGATGAGGTTGGTGGTGGTGGTGGCAAGGGTGATGAGGTTGGTGGTGGTGGTGGTGGCAAGGGTGATGAGGTTGGTGGTGGTGGTGGTGGCAAGGGTGATGAGGTTGGTGGTGGTGGTGATGGCAAGGAGGTGTGGTGGGGGGGGGGGTGAGGAGGTGTGGGGGGGGGTGAGGTGTTGGGGGGGGGGATGAGGTGTTGGGGGGGGGGTGAGGTGTTGGGGGGGTGAGGTGTTGGGGGGGTGAGGAGGTGTTGGGGGGGTGAGGTGTTGGGGGGGTGAGGAGGTGTTGGGGGGGTGAGGAGGTGTTGGGGGGGTGAGGAGGTGTTGGGGGGGTGAGGAGGTGTTGGGGGGGGTGAGGAGGTGTGGGGGGGTGAGGAGGTGTGGGGGGGTGAGGAGGTGTGGGGGGGTGAGGAGGTGTTGGTGGGGGGGGGGTGTTGGTGGGGGGGGTGTTGGTGGGGGGGGGGTGTTGGTGGGGGGGGGGGTGTTGGTGGGGGGGGGGTGTTGGTGGGGGGGGGGTGTTGGTGGGGGGGGGTGTTGGTGGGGGGGGGTGTTGGTGGGGGGGGGGTGTGGTGGGGGGGGGGGGTGTTGGTGGGGGTGAGGAGGTGTTGGTGGGGGGGTGAGGGGGGGGGGTGAGGTGTTGGTGGGGAGTGAGGTGTTGGGGGGGGTGAGGAGGTGTTGGTGGGGGGGTGAGGTGTTGGGGGGGGGGGGGTTAGGTGTTGGGGGGGGTGAGGAGGTGTTGGGGGGGGTGAGGAGGTGTTGGGGGGGGTGAGGAGGTGTTGGGGGGGGGTGAGGAGGTGTTGGTGGGGAGGAGGTGTGGTGGGGGTGAGGTGTTGGTGGGGGGGTGAGGTGTTGGGGGGGGGGGGTTAGGTGTTGGTGGGGGGGGTGCGGTGTTGGGGGGGGGGGTTAGGTGTTGGGGAGGGGGTGAGGAGGTGTTGGGGGGGGGGGGTGAGGTGTTGGTGGGGGGGTGAGGTGTTGGGGGGGGGGTTAGGTGTTGGTGGGGGGGTGAGGTGTTGGTGGGGGGGTGAGGTGTTGGGGGGGGGGTGAGGTGTTGGGGGGGGGGTTAGGTGTTGGGAGGGGGTGAGGAGGTGTTGGGGGGGGGGTGAGGTGTTGGGGGGGTGAGGTGTTGGGGGGGTTAGGTGTTGGGGGGGGTGAGGAGGTGTGGGGGGGGGGTGTGAGGAGGTGTTGGGGGGGGGGGGTGTTTGATGCCCTGCCCGCTGCTGCCGGCCGTGACCTCGGCGTGGCCGCGGCCCCCCCCCCCCGGCGAAGCCATTGGGGGGGGCCTCATTCAGCCGCAGCTGCCGTCTCTGTTGCAGCGGTAGCAGCAGAAGTAGAAACAGTCGCTGTGTAAGAAAGTTATAATATCTTCTTGGTTCTTTCGGTAAAGTCACGTAGAATGGAAATAATAAAATAATAAAAATAAAACATAATATGTATTTTTATTATTGTTGTTGTTGCTAATCCTGCTTCTCTTATACAACTATAATAACTTTCGATTTAAAGCTTTCGTGACTGCAGGGATTCATCTTCTTGGTTCTTTCGGTAAAGTCCGAAAGAACCAAGAAGATGAATCCCTGCAGTCACGAAAGCTTTAAATCGAAAGTTATTATAGTTGTATAAGAGAAGCAGGATTAGCAACAACAGCAGCAGAAGAAGAAGCAGCAGCAGCGTGGAGAGAAACCACGTGGGCGGAGCGCGGTGACATTGCGTGCGCGCACTGTACTCCGCACTGTACGCGGCGTGGGTGACACATGGCCCGCGAGATGCTCTCTCAGTGGCTCCACGATGAGGCTCACGGTGGCTCCACGGGGAGGCCTCGCGCTGGATCCACTAGGAGGCTCGGTGGCTCCACTAGGAGGCTCAGTGGCTCCACGATGAGGCTCAGCGGCTCCACTAGGAGGCTCAGTGGCTCCACTAGGAGGCTCAGTGGCTCCACGATGAGGCTCGGTGGCTCCACTAGGAGGCTCAGTGGCTCCACGATGAGGCTCAGCGGCTCCACTAGGAGGCTCAGTGGCTCCACGATGAGGCTCGGTGGCTCCACTAGGAGGCTCAGTGGCTCCACGATGAGGCTCGGTGGCTCCACGATGAGGCTCAGTGGCTCCACTAGGAGGCTCAGTGGCTCCACGATGAGGCTCGGTGGCTCCACTAGGAGGCTCAGTGGCTCCACTAGGAGGCTCAGTGGCTCCACGATGAGGCTCAGCGGCTCCACTAGGAGGCTCAGTGGCTCCACGATGAGGCTCAGTGGCTCCACTAGGAGGCTCAGTGGCTCCACGATGAGGCTCAGTGGCTCCACTAGGAGGCTCAGTGGCTCCACGATGAGGCTCGGTGGCTCCACTAGGAGGCTCAGTGGCTCCACGATGAGGCTCAGCGGCTCCACTAGGAGGCTCAGTGGCTCCACTAGGAGGCTCAGTGGCTCCACGATGAGGCTCTGGCTCCATGGTGAGGCTCACATTGGCTCCACGGTGAGGCTCACAGTGGCTCCACGATGAGGCTCAGTGGCTCCACGGTGAGGCTCAGTGGCTCCACGATGAGGCTCCGTGGCTCCACATTGAGGCTCAGTGGCTCCACTAGGAGGCTCAGTGGCTCCACGTTGAGGCTCACAGTGGCTCCACGATGAGGCTCAATGGCTCCACGGGGAGGCCTCGCGCTGGCTCCACTAGGAGGCTCACAGTGGCTCCACGATGAGGCTCAGTGGCTCCACGAGCCTTGCGGTGGCTCCACGATGAGGCTGTCTTACATCTCTCAGAATGCCTCCATGTGTATGCGACACCGATGTCTGCGTTTTCAGTTTCATTTATTTGGTGTAGCCCTGTGAGCCATTCGGCTCTTGAATCTGGTGCAACCGCAACAAACAAAAACATAAACAAGAAAACATCTTAAAGTGACTACGCGCGAACAGAAAAATTCAGGAAAAAACTTCAAAGTCTTCCAGAAAAAAAGCACCGTACACCAACGCTGTGTGCAAAAATCCCAGTGGGATGCAAGTCAAACAACAACAACAACAACCACGAGACAACTTAGATTAAGGCCATCACTCTTACTCCGTACTACAACAAACAAACATGGCCAAACCAAAAAACTTTT